TAAAAATTTTTGAAAAAATGAATAGACATCTTCCTGCGGAACCTTGATGGTGCTGATACACCGTGCAGACTTCATTATTAAGATTCTACTAAAACTATAGAACCTAAGGTAAACAAGTTCTGCTTGTTTTTCCGTGTCCGTAGCTAAAGGCTTTTTATAATGACTTCATCCCCGTCGATCCCTCGCGAAGGTGGTAACGTGTTATTTAAGCGATCGTTCGCGCGTGAAACGAAATTGCTTCCCGCTGTTTCCTATGCGAGAGGAAGGTTTAATGGAAATCTCAGCCACGAAGAACCGGCCCTTACTCCAATCGAACGATCGACAATGTAAACAAAGTTAACGCCTTGATCGCTATCCTTAATTATTGGGAGGAGAGCGTTTACGAAGGAGCTATCGAAATTTCATTTTATATTTCACTGCCCGGTTACATTATCGTTCATCGCGTTCAAAATTAAAAATATGCGTGAAAAATATAATTTCACGATCAATTGACGGTCTGTTTTTGATTTTCAAATAGACTGGCCACTCGAGATTGAGTTAGATCTAGGTGCAGATACGCGGAGAGTTTGGCTCACGAGGACAGTACGGAAATATTTTTGGATTTTATCGGTACATCAGCTCGAGAATACGCGAAATTGGAGTCCCTCCAAGTGGACACGAGAATGACCCGATTTCGAGGCAAGATCTCGCCATCTGCGCCATCTGCGCCATCTGCGCCATCTGATATCAAAGCAACTCGACTACTTTAGAGTGAACGCAACAATTTAGTTAATTATTAATATTTGGCCAAAAAAGACGGTAATCGCACCCTAATTTATCTTCGAAATTGAAAATCTGTTAAAACGAAAAGGAAGCTAGCGAGCATCAACAGGCCATAATTCGATCGAAAGCAGTTCGACCTGGAATCTGTCCAACTTTCCAATGATTTATCCGTCCCTTAATGATTCAGGAAGTTTGGATAGGTTTACCAAACATCGTGTCAATCGTTGGAAATGAATCGCGTCGTCTGTCAACCATTTCCCCGGATTTAAAGCGACTATCGTACATTTCCGTTGATAAATCCGGCCAAAGTTTGATCATCAAGCATTGTCGTCACTATTACGCATCATTACAGATTGGCTGCTGAATAACCCGCGGTTTACGTGCATCGAATCTTGGAAAGGCTCCAATATCCCTGATACATAACGTCCAGATGCGTTCGAGCACGAGTACCGTGTGTCTGCAAGACAATCCTCTCTGCAGACAAGCTTCCAGGAATTAATTAGCCTATGCTCGCGCGAATTGGTACAGGCACAAGTGTTCCGTAAACTAAATTGAACTTGCTGGCAAAATTCGTGACTCACCGATTAAATATTGTATTAAATGGACAGCCGCAATTTAATGCAACACGCGAACGGAGGAGCATCGTTTTTTCAGTTGACGAAAATTTCTTCTACAAGATAGGGCGGTACAAAAGAAACAAATCGAAACAAGAAAGAAATGCCTGAAATGAAAAAACCGACTGGATCCGTGTACATATGATATTTACTGCACACTGCGCTACGGGTAAACATAATTAACCGCAATCTTTCGTTGTGCAATCAGAATCACTGCAACTTTGACGATGTTTACTCGGTAAAACTTTCTACGGTTCGCCGTATACACCATACAAGGATATTTTTTATAGCCTTGTCGCGTTAATCGAAATTTAAATACTTTTAGCACGGTTATCCCGAAGAGACAAGATAGAGAAAGAGAGACGGTCTCGCGTTGGTCGTGCTAATGAACTCATCAATAAGGTTATCTACCAGGGATAGTGCATGCAAAACAGTTTTGAGGATCATGAACGGAAATGTATATTTACATTTTATAAGCTTGTAATTCGAACTTTTAAGTGTTTCGTCGACAAAGAATTAAAAGAGGGTGAGTCAGTGGAGCGCGTATGGTAGAATGGCCTACAATTCGGCCTATTTTTCATGATTCATTAAGAGGACGAGGAAGATTATTTCTGCGGTTGATAGCCGGTGAATCATCCACTCGAAAGATTAGCAAAATCTTCCTCTGTATCGTCGGCATCTGTGTTACGCTTTTTAAAGCTTCCCCTTGTTTATCTTGTCTCTCTAGACAAAATCTCCTTTCAGAATTTCTGTCGCTCGTCTTTTCGAATTTCGTCAATTAAGATGAGGGAAACAGTGGTAGCTTTCTCTCGTTGGAATTTTTTACGCGGAATAAACGAGCTTCCGTGGTAAGCTTTTATGGTGAATTTATGAGTGTTGGCTGCGTGGTCAGGTGGCAAAGTCATTTCTTAATGCTCGCTACGGGGGGCTGTTTCGGCGAAACAGCTTTCGAGAATCAGCCCGCAACGAATTGAACGGGTTACGAAAGAAAGTACCAAGCATGTTCGTTTAGATTTTTTTTAGGTACATACCTATATAAGAAGCATGACAGTATAAACTCTGACGAATTACTTAACCGATCAACGAAATTCCCTTGAATAACGATCGATCGATGGAGGGAGGAATCGCGACGGAAAAGAGGAGGAAGATCGAGTACACGTAGAATTGCTCAATTATCCGATGCAGTAATTCCACTTGAGCCGTCGCGTCGTGTAGAGGTAAATCGCCGATGGAACGTGGCGGGTTTACCTTTGTAAATTGGCGCAAAAAGGTTGAACCACGATCACGACGACAGCCGGCTCTCGTTCTTTTACTCCGAACAGAGAGAAACCGAGTACCGCAGGATTAAGGTGTTTCTCTGCTAGTGAATCAGTGGTCGGACACGAGGCATGCTTTCGACCGGAATCGTTTCGATTTTTCTTTTCAAACGGACCCTTTTAATTGCACCTACCACAGAAGCCACTCTTCGCATTCTTTTACTCGCTTTCACCGTCTTTTGCTTTCGTTGATGAATGCACGCTTGCTTACCCCTCGGATAATGAACACCGCGTCATTTCAGACTCGTTTTAAAACGAGACGTTCGTTTATCTTTCTAGTACGCGGCGACAAAACACGTGGTATGTGCCTTTTAACGATTCGAGGAAAGAAGATGAATTTAAATCAGAAATCTATTACCTTATCTTCCATCGTTCTCATCATTTTAGGATTAAAAAGTTATCGTTGGATAAGCGTCCATTTCCGTACCTTCTTTTTTCTCTACTTTCCTTATTATCATATATATTTTCATTGGGATTAATAAAACGTGTTACATTCTCCGAAGAAATTGAACAAGTAAAGAAATAAAAACGATTTAACGATTTGTAGCAACACGTGGCGACCGCTTAGAATCACAGCCACTGTTATTTCACGACCGGCAACAGCTGTGTGACTCCGATTAATGCATCTGGCGATGGCCACGAACTTTTTAGTCCGTTGCCCGGTAGCCGACCGTTTTTCCATTCAGCCGAATATGCTCATCTCTGAAATTTGCGATCATTTATCAACGCCCCTTTTCGCACCGTACGGAATTTCTATTTTCCCCTCGCCTCCCTTTTCGCGGAATCGGCTTCGATCTCATCTCAATTTAGCTTCCTCGAACTCGGTTCTTTGCTAACCAGCACGACGAAGATAATCGATCAAACGATCCATTCGAGAGACCGTTTGCATCGCCAGAATAGCGACAGGAAATTTGTCTCGGATCTTACTTTCAAATTTGTACCGCGACGTAATCGCTGCTTGCGTCTTCTATGCAAATTATTATCCTTGAACGACGGACAGTTGAGTTTGAAATTTAAGTTTTTAGAAGAACCGTGGTGCATGGACGAGCGAGCACCCTCTCGTGGTATCGATTTCTCACCCAGCTCGTGGTAATAAAGAAGCGGCACGGCGCGACGGAGGATTTTCACGCGGATAAAAGCGGTCTGCGGCTGGTCGACGCGGTTACATTGCCAAGGTCGATCTAATCTTGGCCCCCATAGGTAAGAGAAACAGCCCGGTGGCAATAATAACCAGCCAGTCAGCCAGCCACAGACGAAAGTGCAACGAATTCAAAATAGTTCTCGGAAGCGGTGGCAAGGGTCGAACAGAACGTCATCGATTAGACCGAATAGACGCCAGACGTCTGTTCGAGAGCTCTATTGTCAAGGACGAACTACCGAACGACCGACCAACTGACGCGGAACGGTCTGTCTGCAGTTTCAGAATTTCGAATGGCAGGAAATCTTTTCATTATGTCTCGTTATCATATTAACTCATCGAGCTGCGTCAATTCGTTATTACATAGTATCTGTTTTGAGAAAACGACAAATGAAAGTAGTACGAGTCAATAATAATCCTCTGTGAGTTCTGTAAATGGACCAATCCTGTTGATTTTCGAGAGAAAGATAAGAGTTTCGTAGGAAAGGTGGATTGTCCGAGTGGTTGGCGTGAAATAAAAGCTTCGGCTCCAAGACGGAGCATCGATAAGGATTCTCTGTCTGGCGTGTACCAGCGAGCGCACGCGAGCGTGCTCCGTAAAATCGAGACGCCACGATCTTAATCTTGGTCGACAAGGTCGATAGCGAGGAACTCGAGGAGGTTTACGACTTCCAGTTCCCCCTCGATGCCATCGAACGTTCTCTCGCGAACTCGAGGAGGAGGAATTTCTCGAGGTTGTTTCAGAGCGTACCATTGATCCTCGAATTTTCACCAAGAACATCGAATCGAATCGAATCGAGACGAGAAAGAACATTGGTCAAGGTCACATCTCGAGCAGATCGAGAAACATTTAATTCGCATAATCTAGTGAAGGACAGCGAATTGGAGAACAAGAATTCCTTTTCTCCCTGTCGTTTATCATTCATCTCTACTACCAACTGTTTCGCATTTGCTTCGAATACTCTCGACTTTCTCGCTACTTTTAACCCTTTCACGCTTTGGCGGTCAAACGTTTCATGGAAAATACGTTTCTTGTTATTTTATGCTTCGTTATACGTTGAAAAGGAAGCGCAAGTTCTTGTAGTACATACTGATAAAGTTACCTATTTCAAAATTGCAATTAGTACCTATTAGGATTAGAAGGTTTAGTATTTGTAACGTTAAACTCACGGTATTAGTAACGTCCGCCTGCATAGCCGAGTCTTCTTCTACTCCAGCCTTGATGAGATCCTCCTCCTTCTCGTTATCCGGCGCATTCACATACTCGTCGTAATCCTGCTCGAGACTCTTGGTCCGTGCCTGACTATCGTCCATCTTCGAAACGATTTTCTTCTCTTGCCGATCGTCCGCGTTGCTGGCGTTCTTCGCTAATTTACGATCGACCGGCGAGCTGAACAATTTACTGGACGGATTTTCCACGATCTTCTTCACCGATTGACGATCGAAGCCAACGAACGAGGATGCCGCAAATTTCAGTCCACGATCGTGAACCAGCGATCTGCTGAGGTTCCTTGGTTCGTACTTGAAATTTTCAAAAGCATTTCGTTTCGCGTGTCTCTCCGCCTCCACGATGTTCCTGTAATCTCTTTTTATGGTGGTTCTAACCGTGGTCGGCTCGTTGGACGTCAATCGTCTAATGATGTCGTCGTACGTTTTCAAAGGAGATTTCTTATCCCTCTTGTAAAAATCATTATCAAACTCCTCGTCGTCGTCTTCGTTCTGATCCTCCTCGTCGTCATCGTTCTGATCCTCCTCGTCGTCATCGTTCTGATCCTCCTCCTCTTCCTCCTCCTCCTCCTCCTCCTCCTCCTCTTCTTCTTCGTCCTTGTCCCTATCATCGTAGCCATCTACAGGATAATCGTAATCTTTTGGCCTGTCCATCTTTTTCCTGTTCGTTCGAAAGAAATACCTCGACTCTGTGGAATTGAATTTTCTCCAATTGTTATCGAATCTCCTCGATCCTTGCAGATCGTCAGGATGGTGTCTCTTTCGAACGTCAGGACGCCAATCGTGCCTGGAAGGCGCGATCCTCTGTTTCTTTCCGTTTTTCCACCAAGAACGATGCCTGTCGTCCTCGTAACCGCGGGAAGGTTTTTCGTAATCGAACTGGTCTTCGTACTCTTCGTACTCTTGGTCGCGAGTTCTCGAATGGCCGAGTCTGCTGCGGTAGGTCCTATCGGCCCTTCCCATGTAACTTGTACTCGGATATCGGGGTACCTGCTCGTACCAACCTCCTGTCCCGCGATAACTACCACCTCGGCGATACTTTGCCGAGTAACGCGTTTCGAGGATCCGATTCGGTCCGTGCGGTCCGATTATCCTCGCCGTCCTACGAGGATAGGATCTCTCGTAGTAATAGGGACCAGGATCGTAATCATCCTGCTCGTAGTCATCCTCGTAGTCAGGCACCTGCGACAAAGAGGATTCATGACGATTTCTCTTCCCGTTCGAGGACTCGTGCCTGTGCCTGTGTCTGTGTCTAGCCTCGCTTGCCACCTCCTCCCGCGGATGATGATGCCTAGCCTCCACCGCGAACAGATCGAACGCCATCAGAAAGATCAACAACAACAACAACAACAACGGCAACGGCAACCTCCTATCGAGCGTCATTTCGTCTTGGAGAAACCTCACTTCTCAGACACCTTACATTATCCTAGCCAGCTCCACTCCTCGATCGATTCTTTTCCCTCAGAATCCTGTCTGTTCAAGGATGCATCGCGATCGACGCGCGGCTCTGCACATCAAGAACCACGATCGAGACATTAATGATCGGTTTAAGAGGGAAGGAACGATGCTCTCCGGTTCTCTGGTAATATGGATGGCCAGAAGGCAGGCGGTTGTTAGACTTCTTCGAGAAACGAACGTAACGGTGATAGGGTTCACCGTTGATCCACGTGGTGATCGCTACCGCACCGAGCAAGAGTTACTTTACGCGGCAACGGATAGATGTGCTTTTGGCTACGTTCCAGTTCACTCGATTCCGTAAAAATCGGTCGACAACGGTAATCCTTCGACGATCACTCGCGCAAACGATTCCTCTCACGTCTCGCGACTTCTTTTCCCTTCGTCGATCTTCTCCGTGTCCGCTTTCACGTCCATCCTGCACCGAACTTGTTCGTACGTCTTTTAGATAAATCGAACCAAGCCTTCGACAACGACGAGTTCAAGTTCACCGATAACGGATCAATGACCGGCGATCGATCGGAGGGCTTTATTTTCGACTGCGAAAGATTTCAACCAACCGGCACCCCACACTAATCGTGGTCAGGTCCAGTAGACAGAGATTACTGGGAATGGTATCGCGGACCGAATGTCGCGGCCGACTGAGGCCAGCCTCTCCGGCCGGCGCGGCGGCCTGAGAGATCGCGGAACCGAGTGCGCATGCGTGCGGGCGATATTCGTCTCCCTCTCCGCCCCCTCCGTCACCCTTGGGCCGCCGGCTTTTCTGCGTCCCCTTCGTCCCTATCCATACTTACCTGTGCCGCTGCCGGTGCTCGTGTCTTAAACTTAACGTTGGTAAGGATACGCGTGCTAGATTTTACGGAAGGCTTAATCGGCAGGGGTGTTCGGTAAATTGTTAAAATATAAGCTCTGACCGATCGTTTAGCGAATCCGAACGAATGAATAATTAAAACGCACGATGTATTATTCTAAAACAAATGCAATTCTCAAAGCTCTCGCTTAGCATCAGGGTGAAGCAAGATCCGTCGGACCACCCTTTTCTCGTCCCATTCACTTTCGTGTCGCCATTCAGAAATGTCCGCAGGTGATTGGAAATCCGGTCGAGATGGTTGGCGCGAGAACGAGAGGTCGATAGGATCGCGACGCCGCGCCGCGCCGGTGTCTTACAACTAACCGGTACAACTGGGACTGGTTTTTCGTCGAGTACGGAGGTCGTCGGTCGCTTTTTACCAGCCTTTTAAGCCGGCCACGGTGTGCTCGACACGATAAATAAACACGGTAGCCCTTCTGGACGGCTTCCGCTCCGATTCGATTCTCGATAAACGCGTTTGGCTCGCGACCTATCGCGACCACTCATCGCCTCCTTTTTCTCCCCCGAATCAAGGGAGATGGAAAGGAAAAAAGGCCACAGACTGTTGCTGTCAACTGTTGATCGGATCTTGCTCGATATCGCTGTGATCTTTGTAGCTGGTGAGGCGACAACGTGATACAGTGTCAGAGATAAAGAACGCAGCGAGATGTTAACAGTTGACTACTCTTGATCGACGCGAGTAAGAAATTCTTTTTATTAGAAAGTTTCGAGACTGGTTAATGGGTTGACGATATCGTGGACGAAACGTAGACCTCGATCGTTTCACTTTCGCCGTCTGGACGATATTAATTCTCTTCCATTCGTCAGAATTCGCCACGCAAAGACGAGCCGGTTCGCATGGTCGGCAAAACGACGATGAAATTGCACGGGATTACGAGCGGTGTCCACGGAACGCGCGCAATCAGCCTTCCAGATAAATGAGCCGTGATCCCAGGTGAGAGGCACAATAAATGACTCTCAAAGTTCCACCGTGTAATACACCCTCGTGGAATACCATCGTTTCTTCGCGCCAACCGAGAAAATTTAAAAGAGACACGCTTTGGCTCTGCTGCCCCTAACAAATGTTCTTCAGATTATATTTTTCTTAGGGACCTTGGCGAATAGCGCGTTGATACCATTAGAATTGCAAAACTAACGAGTCAGAATTGAAGTTTTAAATGACGTTGAAACCAGACCAGCTCTGTTCTGGGATTATTCTCTAAATTGTTGCGAATAAAGGGGAATAAGCAAAAGAGCTTAGCTGTTTGCTGCTCGAAACGATCGCGACAAAAGACATATGCCTAAGCTTTAAAGAACCGCTCGCTTCCGTGGAATTCCATCGAGATATTTCGTGGCCAGGAAGGAAAATTAGTCACGCGGATTTAGCCACGGGATCAGGGTGAATGGATCGATTCGTTCCGCCTTCAGAGAACGCGAGGCCTGGTAATCTCGTTTTCGACAGTGACGACAGTGAGCTCGTGAAATTTCCTTCGGAATTTCTTAACAGAAATCGGCCCAATTGTCGTACGCTTAATTACGTCTTTCGCGATGATCGAGGACAGGAAATCGTGTAAGTAAAGATTACGCTAACCTACGAGAAAAGTCGAGAAGCGATTGGCGTATAAGAATGTAGCGGGACACACTGCTATCGATCTGAAAAACTTTTGCCTGGGTTCACGAGGTTATCTAGCCTGATTATGCTTGTAGGTCACTTTGTTACTCTCCGGAATCCCACTAGAGCCGAACGAGTCGTTTACTTCGTTCTTTCACTCTTTCACTCTTTCACTCTTCAATTGTCGTTACGATTTACTCTAACAATTGCGTAATACGCACCACCAGGTCAATATCCTTATTTATGCATCGTTTGAGAAACGATCGATCGTATTTGGAATGTTATATCGTGAAAAAATGCGTCGAAGAAAATGAGACTGAAATGAGGCTGCAATTTCGTTTCACTGGAGAAATCTACGTTTCAGCATTCTTTGTTCAGTGTGAAATAGTAGTGTAAATAGTAGACGAAGAAGGAATCTATGGTGGGTAACAGGGAGGAGCTACGTTTCATTGGCGATACTCTCAATTTAGTAATTAAGCGTCTAGCATTGGAGTTAATTTATGTGATTTTCTTCGTTGAGTCGACCCTTTGCGACTAGGAAGCTACGTATGATTCATCCCGCTCGAATATTCTTGGCTATTCGTAATCCTGTGATCTGTCCTATTTAGAATCGTCGACGACAGAAGTGCAACTGAAATACCTACATAAGTACATGAACTTTCGAACAATTATAACATTCTGCAGATTTAGATTTCCTACGTATTTTCCCACGACACGTATCGCATGAGCAATCATCGATTCGCCGGATTAGAGCCAGACCAGTTACGACCCGAAATTTTTAACTCCCTTTTCCAAATCCACCTACAACCACGTTCACCGTCCAAATCGAATATATGTATAATAGAAAGAAGGAAAAAAAGAAAGAATTTAATTAGTTTTTGCACATTTGGCTTTATTGTTTCGTTATCAAACGCGGTGCACCGGCGCGGCACCGTATTACGCATTCGCGATCCTTTGGCTTACAGATATACAACGTTACTGGCTTACGTAAGAATCTAATACCGCTTTGTTCTGCACCTATGTTGTCTGAGATATGTTAAAGGCAGGTACAGGAGATACGTCGGTGAACACTAAAGAGGTACGATATAACACACGCTATGAGTAGCTTTCTTCTTTAGACATGGTGTCGTACAAAATAGAATCGGTGCAAGAGGGGTACGATACGAGTGCCAGAACTGGAATTTTTCACATTTGCATTCTTCTCGCAATATCGTTGCTATCAAACTATCAAACAATCCATATTTTAACGCTAGAACAACCTAGTCTGTCGCGATCATAGATTTCCGATTTCTTCTGCAAAATTAAACTGCTTTTGTCGAGATAAGGGATCATTGCGTATACCAACTTATTTCACATTCACTGTTTATTTATTTTCAATTCAGAAATGTATATACGTCGAACGGCGGTTGTTCTAGCATTAAAGTATACATGAAAATATATAGGTAAATTGTTTTAGTAAAATTCCAAGTCGAACGATCGATGAATTTTAAACACGTCACCGTTCTCTTCCGTATTTCTACGTTTTTGAGATATTTAAAATTTACAACTAAGCTCGATACGGATGAAATTCGATAACGCGGTGACGGTAACGTGTTAACATCGATCTATCGAAGAGTTCGTTTAGTTTTAATAGTATGTTATATCTTACTCTATTTTATCATACTCGAGTTAAAAATCGAACTGACGGAGGTTAATCGAACCGAATCGTTCGATTCAAAAAAAAAAAAAAAAATACACATAGGTAGCTGTCTTTGAGAATTGAAGAAAAAAAAAAAAAAAATACATGGTCCAAGTGTAAAGCAGGCTCCTCCGTCAGGCGCGAGGAATCGTATCCTAAGAAAGCTCCCTTAAAATACTTAGAAAAAACTTTTGCGAATAAGCTTACACGCTAAAAAGTACATCGATCATGATCGTGACACTAGCGAGAAGATCCGATCGAGACGATCGTTACACATCGAGAATGCTTTTTTTATTCTTTTTTTTTTGTTTTTTTTTTTTTCAATTTTAATCTCATCCCATCGATCTCCACTCTCTCGCACTCTCTCTGTCTTGCGTCGAGAAACAGAAGTAGATACGATTTTCTTCCGTTCGTCAACGTTTACGAAAATACGATTGAAGCTTTTCACATGACCGTCGAGACGAAGAGGGTGATCAAAGATGCCGCGATCGTCATCGTGGCGATGCCGATCCTGGACGCTGCCGAGAAGTTGAGGTTCTTCATCAAATCCTCAGGTACATCTACGTACACTTTATCGACACCGATGTCCTTGATCAGGGTGGATAACTGTTTGGCGTTCACCGCGTCGCCCTCGCTCGACCAAACGGTCAAGGTTACGTCGTTGCTGATGTTGGCACTCTTCTCCATCAGATATTTGATCACGGTGATGTTGTTCGCGGCTGGACCGGCTCTTACGGGATAAGTTATCGGCTGAGTTGGATTCTGTTCTTTCAGAACGTCGATCATTTTCTGCACTTGCTCTTCGGTGTACCAACCATCGGTGATTTTGTCCTTCTCTCCGTACCTGGAAACAACGGCGCAACGATCGAGTTAAGTACAGCTACTTGAATTATACAGGGCGTCTTAAAAAAGATGCATATCTTATGAACGCTACCTGGTAGTCCAACCAATGGACAGTGTACAGTTACCGATCGTTTTTGCTACAGAAAGGAACGACTTGGCATCCACTGGCACAGTAGTTGCGTTTACCGGTCCAGCAATTATATCCGCGTTAATGAACACGGGGAACTTCAACTGGAAATGAACAAAATCATCTAATGAACAAAAGGGGTGCTGCTGATATCTATATTGAACGTATTGAAATTAACTGCACAAACCCTTTTTATTAAAAAAAGAAAAGAAAAAAAACAGGATGATAAAACATGAGATTTCTCGAGGGCAAAAGTAAAAATATAACGCTCAATGTTTCTAAAATATCCTCCTATCGAGTTAATCGGTCGAACGATGATCGAGAAAGGCTTCGCAAAGATCCAGAAGCAAACGTTATAAATACACGCGAACAAGAATATTAGTACATACGTTATTGCGAACAGTATCGAGGATAGGTTTGCTCGCGTTGAAGGCCTCGATGGTCTTGAAGTCTAACTTGACGCCCTTGGTCGCGTTCTTCTTTTCAATCACGGTCTTGAGGAAGTCATCCAGCGACAGATCGCTAACGTTGGCTGGTGGATGAGCCATTATCGGAATCAACTGACTGCTGTTTGTGTTATTGTTCATTTTTCCCATCACCACGTCAGCCTCCAACATCATGATATCGGCTGAAAGTAAAAATAAATTTTGTATCGCGAATGTTTAACCGAAAAGAATTTACTTTTCTTAGTTGAAACGGCAGGAAACGCGCGAAGGATACGTATACATATAGGTACGTATCTGGAAAGTTGGCCACGAAGCAGGTTGCCTGGTTTCATTTTTTGATTAATCAAAGCGTAATTGCGACGACATGACAGTGAGAAGCTTTGATCGGTCGCTGAGAAATTAGTAGACGAAATTTGAAAGGCCAGACAGCAATGGATACGACATTCGTACGTCCTGTTTTCGTCGTCAACTACGCGATCAATCACGGGATTGGAGGATCAAGGCCGGCTGTATCCGAAGACTGACCTTCCTCTAAGCCAGCTTGAACCATTCTTCGGTTCTCATTGAAATTCAGCGAATGCCGGCGATTCGTTTCTCGAAAATCTTTCCACGCTGCCATACGGCTGTCGTATCGGCTTCCTGAATATTAATTACGCGGACGAGCATCCGGTACGATGACGAAACGTGTCCCTAAATATAATTCCATCGAATTACCTTGGATAGAGTGGACGAATTTGCTTGAAAAACGATATTGGCTAAGTACTTGGATGTATTTTAAAAGGTATTTTTGACGCGTAATCAAAAAGGTAGACGAAAAAGGGTTTAATCGCGGATATTGCTAGAAATGAATCTCGTCGTTGTTGCGAGTTATTCGTGTGACAGCTCAAGCAACGATGGTTTAATCAATAATTATCGGCGTGATACTACTTGAACGGGCGTTCGAAGTTCGACCACGAACTTTTGACACGATTTAAATTTCTCTGTTGCTTGGTAACGACACACCATCGCTACGGTATTAAAGACGATAGACCGAGACGGTATTAATCAGAATGGAAAAGCTGTTTCAACGATTTCCAGACTTGTTCTTGTAAAGCAATCGGGTATAAAACGGATCTCAAAGAGTAATAATTGAAGACTCAACTTACCTGATTCAAGTGCCTGCGCGAGTTCAGCCTGGCTGTTCACGGCATGGGCCCATACGATTTTTGTCAGGTTGTTATCGATGGGAAAGAAACTCTTCGGGTCTGTGGATACATCGCACATGGCAGCTTCTGAAACAGGTGAAACGTCGTAATCAGTGCACCTTCAACGAGACACGACCTTCCGCGTTAATACGCTCCCTCGACCTTTGACCCAATATTCGGTCGCTTCGTAATTGAGCGGACTGCGAATTCCTCGCGAAGCTGCGGGGCTAGATAGATCCGTCGAGGTTTTCGTGGAAGGGGCTGCATGCCGGAGAATCTCGCCCTACTTCTCCAGTCTCATTGTACTCGGAGAGAGATCGATAATCACGATTCATTCGTTACCGTCGTTACGCTCCTCTTTCCTATTTCACGTCAAAATAACCGAGCAATGCACAATTTCATATTAGCTTTTCTCTCGCGAGGCATCGTTTTCTTTGCCTACAATTTTATTGATTAAACTTCATAAAATTCAGTGCAGGTGTACATAGTTCGCAAATTTGACTCGGTCGAATCGATATCGGGCGAACTCCTGATACAATAGTTTCAACTGACCCGTTTCCGGTTCAACAGACACATGCAGGGTTCGCTGTATGCATCCATCAGTCTAGTCGATCGGTTACCAATCCACAAGGAAAACTGGTGATTGTCTTTTTTTTATATCCTATACACAGAAAATTGGAACTATCCTAAAGTTAATGTATTAATTCGCGGAAACTCGAATAGGTGAGGTTTGGTATTTCTATATCGTACACCTTGTTAAGAAATAACCACTATAAAAAAAAAAAAAAAAAAAAAAGTGTATTATATCGACCGCTCTTCTGTACGAGTTATAAATAATCCAAGAGCATGAAATCGCACGAGCGTGCCATGACAAAGAGTAATGTCGCGATCAAAAAATACAGCTTTTTAAAATTTAGCATCAAGTAAACCTTCGGGTTCCTATCTCGACTTCTACACGCGTAACCTTCTATGTAGAAGCGTATCCTGAACGGCGACATTTCCGGCCAGCTTATTTCCGAGTCATCGATTCCGTACAGTGGTTGGCTCTGTTGGAGAATCGGTCGTCGACCACGCTGATACTAAGAAAAATGCAACACTCGACCCTTTCTTTCTTTCTTTCTTTCTTTTCTCTATCCTGTTGCCCGTTCTTTGAACCACTGCGTGGTGAGGCTACCGTAGCGAGGTGAGACCGACCTCGAACCAGCACCAGTTACAACAACGAACCTCTAATTGGCTGAACAATCGATCGTCTGTCTCCAAGAGGCTTGACAGTTCTTAATAATGTCTCGTTTTTCTTACGTAATACTTGGGTGTATTCTTATCTGGGTAAAGTTACGCCTTCGCGTGACACTAGAACTCGTGATATTTCATCAAGATGTCTTCATTTCCTGACATTCCCTGAAATTCGATGCCGTGATTATCGACGATACTTACAAGTGTTACTTTAAGAGAAGACGTCCATTTCGTTCGATACGGCTCGCGCCATTACAGTGAAAGCAGCTCTTTACCATGATAGTCGTGAACCGGATAACCAGCTCGCATCCCTCTCGACTACTTTCCACGAAGCTTAGACTGCACTTTTGCAAGACGGATTTCCGCCGGAATTACCTGGATACACGCTGCTATCGAGTTCAGGCCGCTCAGCCGGTTGGACGGCTGTGACTTATAGCCGAGCTATAATCGAGCTACCTCGAATCCGGCTTCCATTTGCAGCCAAACTATCGGAAATTCCAATTTCCAGCACCGATCGGTCGAGCACCGATCGGATTTCAACGAAAATCAAGGTCTCCTTTCGATAAATATGCAAGGCTGTTCTTGAACTCCTCTCAAAGAGTGAAATTTCTTTCTAAGAGACTTCCAATTTCCAGGAAAATGTCTTTGAATTTCCACCCCTGTCCACCCCTTTTCATATTACATACATACGTTCTGTGAACGTATACGGTGTCCTAAAGCTGAAAATATGGAATAAATTTTGTCTAGACGAGGTTTCTAGTGACACACAGCTATAAAACTGTGACTTCCCGATCACCCAACTAGTAGTATCGTTACGTGTTAACACGCCCACTCCAGGGATACGACATTATTCCATGCGGATCGTTAAACTCGTAAATTATAATACAGAAAACTTATTTCTTTCCTCTTCGTAAGCTAACTTCGAAGTATCGATTGTTGACTATACGTATGTATGTATGTATGTATGATGGATAAAACGACGTGTACCATACACGGCTGACGGCTGATCAAGTTTTAAAGGCCGGTCAACGTAAAATGTAAAATCATCCGGAAGGTCGTCAAGCTACGACGTCGTTTGCTAAAGTTTTACTATCGCCCTGACAAGATACATATACAAGTCGATAGAGACAGGTTTGCAGCCCTGACGATGACAAAGTAGTCTTGATACGATAATAAAGCGACGAATTACACACGGTGGATCTACTTTATACGATACCATAGAAGTTTACTGTTTGTTGGTATGTACCTCGTGACGGGAAAGATTCGAGATGTCACGTTCTGTCCACTTTATTCTTGATCCTATCACGAATTCGTGATGTAATTCAGGGTTTCAGCCATTCTTAATTTGTCCTCTGTACACTTTCGTAAGCGTCCAACGTGATCGCAAAGTTTTTGCACCACGAAATTCTCTTCGGTTCTTCGAAACCTTTTGTGACATTCCGCTGAACAATTCTGCGTAGATATGTTCGTTTAATCGATACGCATGTGTATAGCTCTGTTTTCGAGTGATTCAAACGATACGCCGGATATCGGTATCAGAGTGCAAATTATTTGCACAGAACGTGCACTGCTGAACAACGTTTTCCACTCGCGAGAGTTTCATAATACCTACAGATAGGCCCTCTATTTTACCGAAGAAAAAATAATGAAATTAAAAAGTAACATATCTTACAAATGTATATTTTATACGAAGATGCAATATTATAAAATAGAAGTACTTGAAAGGATACTTAGGAATTGATCCCCTGAATTAAGTGATTGATCGCAAATGTATTTTTATTAGTTGAGTTTATTTCCATCTTCATTGTGTATCGCCGACTCTCCGAATGGATCTTTGGTGTCTATAGGCAAGCATAACGAAGGGAAAAAATGTCAAGTGCCAGAGCCTTCAAATTCTTGGTAAAGCTATTAAAAAAAGTATGCCAAGTGTAAAAGACAAGATTGATAGCAGTCAACGTGTTAAATTTAGAAGCTACTGTACTTTGATAAATGGTTTCAACTGTAAAGACCTGCTTTCGTGGCCATGACAAAAAAGTTTTGAAAGAACGAGTCTATCTCTTGCAAAACTACATTCTTCCAGCTAGATCGTGCTACCTCTCGTAAAACCGGAAGAATCGAATGATCCTCCACTCAGAATTCACCGTGCGATTGACTCGAGGTTGAACGCGTTTTTCTAATGCCATGAACAAATATCTTTTGTCTACCTGTGTCAAGATTCATGGTACTCCCGGTGTATCTGTGATTGATACTATTCTGAGAATCGACCGTCCGTTATCGAGTACATTTCGCAAATTTTTGTCACGTTGCAACACGTTTTCCTTCGTGTAATCTGGATCTTGACGTAATTCTAGACCTTGTATACGAGAAACTTATGGTAAAAGTAGTTTCTGGTTTTCATAGCAACGGTCCATATTTTTCTCTCTCTTAAAGGAAAAATTTTCACCTTAATGGTACCGTAACGAAGCGCAAGTTGAGTAGCATTAATGTTATATTAATTTGGGGATGAAAACATTGGGGTTAACTAACTCAAATGGAAAAGTGAAAGGAAATTGTGTTTGAAAATGAAAAGAAAGAAGAATTGGTTGGCGCATTTAGATGTTTAATAGGTTGTTAAGGGGTGTTGTAACCGTGTGACGCTTTATCATAGACAAATATTTTCTCAGCAGCCCGTATATTTTTCTTATTCCATCGAAATTGGAACGCGCGGCCCTCGAGACTGATAATACCTAACAGAAATTACACCACATGACTCACTTTCCTTGGTATAGATAAGAGTGAACTCACCTCCTACCTCCACCTACAACGGTAAACACCGTGTTTTTTCCTCTTACGTAAACGAATTCAGATTCTACCCGAAGAATCGCTCCGATTCCGCGATTGCAATTGGCAGCTGCAGAATTAAATGCCTTATCGTCGTCGTTTATTTTCTCTACCTTTCCGTACGATTTCATTTTCCTACCTCCCGCTCTGGCAGTTCGATGATTGCTCCATTTCAACAGCGCCTTTTTTTATTCTCTTTGCGTTCAACAGGGTGTCTTATCTTCCTCTGGACGCTCCTTTTGCCGAATTTATTTAACAACAACTATAATCACGTCTTGATATTTCTTATCAAAATATTCGAATTTCAAAAAGGACGAACCTTCAATTTACGCGTAGGTATATCCATTTTCTGCGATGAAATATAGCCACGAGAATATGTATATTGCCGTCACACCATTTCTGCCCGTGTTCACAGAAATCGAGAATAATATTTACGACAAACGATATATGGTAAACGCGACTCGTTTCGTTGCCTCTGTTTATAAATGACAGTGTCTCGTTAATTAGCCTGCTAACGGGTGCTGCTCGCTTATCGTAGCTAAATAGAATATCTCGTGTATATCGATCCTTCGTACGGTCGATTAGGCTAATTAGTACTATTAATATGTTCATAACGGGACACGCCCCTTTGCGATGATTAATTTTTCACTAATTGTTTGCGTTAGCTTCCCTTATATCGGACTGCGTGCGTTTACATTTCTTCAAATTAATTAAAACGTAAGAGAACTATCGATCAAAATTTTTATCAGGCACGTACAATCATCGTCCAAAACGAGAGTTGGGCAATTCTTGGTACAAAGATATTGACAAGCTTATGAAACAAACTGGAAGATATAAGACCTGAAATATTATATCAAACCAGGGATATAAACCAGGGAATTCTTCCCCGAGAAGAATTTAATTCAGCCCATGATAAAATGAGATTGAAAACGGTGGCAAAGGTCAAAGGTAAATCGACATAACATCGAAACCGTGTAAATTCGCAATTTGTATGTAAATATGTATACATAGAAATTCAATTTTGATTGAAATAATAAATAGATATCAGGATTCTAAGGTATATAGTATATACACTCGTTTTCGGTTCGGTAAATACACTTTGAAAGTTTTGCCGCGCAAAAGCTCGAATATATCACTAGAAAACCGCGTTTACCTCGCAATTATACTCGAAAATCATTGTGCCGTTTATCATAAAAACGATAATTGCTCCCGTTTCAAAGGGAGGAAACTTCTGTGGAAACGATCCACAAAAGTCAAATAATAATAAAAATTGTTATTTTCCAGGAGACGAAAGCAACAGCTAGTAGTGTAGAAGGCGTGTAGAGTGCGCAAAAAACAGCTTATTTTCTCACTATTTTTGCACGGCACATCGTTTGCATATAACCAAGCAATGGTAATCTATTTTTAAGAGCAGCTTGTGTTACAAAGGACACCAGTGAAAAAAAGAAAAAAAAGCGTTGGAAAATGCCAACAGATCGTCGCGTCGGGTCGGGTCGGGTCGGGTCGGGTCGGGTCGGGTCGGGTCGGGTCGAGCCGGGTCGGATAGAGAAGAGAAACGCGAAACGAAAGCGCGAGGAAAGTAACCTAGAAGAGCAGAACAAGCTTTTACGAGTTGAGCAAAACCGGGTTACGCCCAACGTGAGTTTGCATTTCGTGATTAATCACGCTTCGTGCATATTTCGATGGAAATGGTAAGTAAATTAATATGTTAAGATTTGTAATTGCGATATACCAGTTGTCTGAAACTGTACCTCGCCTATAATACACAATTTTTAATTAACGCCAACTCTCCTATTACTTGAACAAGAAATCATTACTAGAGTACACTCGGTAAGCTTCTGTTATTTGAAATAAATGAAATTTCACCGTGTTTCTCTATGAAATAAAATTATTTTTAATCTATATACGCTAGCGAAATTGCTTCGAAACTAATCCGAGAGCAAAAGTGTTAATTTCGCGGCTGTCGAGCGGCGCGAAATTGCAAGGCAAATATTGTTAGCGGCTCGATCCGCGACTCTTCGCAACGTCTCCCGAACGTAAATTATAATTCGCCATCGCAACGATCAAGAAAGACACTGTTGAACATCCTGACTCGTCGACAAGATCCATACTGCTGTTAAAAATAAGCTTCAACCACACTATGAACTGAAAATCTTACAAAAAAAAAAAAGAAAAGAAAAGAAATTTCAAAACTTCTACCCCATTTTCGAGTGACTCGAACGATCGACTGCAATTGTTACGGGCGCAAAAGATGACACCACTGGAAACATTCATTCGATCTCATTCGTTTCGTTGAAACACGATCGATAGGATGACAATACGATTTGTTGGAAGAAAGGTAAGAAGAAAACTTACGGATCGCTGCGAGCAAAAGAAGAAGACTGGTTACGGTGGTCGTGGCACCCTTCATGGTCCCTTCAGGCGAACACTGTATACTCTCGTAGAGAAACAGAGGGAGAAAAAGAAAAATTGAAGAGGATAAAACGGGCAGGCGCGTGTGAACAGCGTGTATAGTAGACACAGACGAGAAACGAAGGTTACTTCGAAGAAAAGAAAGAGAGGGAGAGGGTCAGAACCGGCAGGCGCGGCTCTCTGGTCTAGCTGAACGACACCCGGTCAACTCGGCAGCCACCAAACGACTGACTGTTGTCCCGAGCCGTCGACCGATCGTCGAAATCCAACCGTGCACACAATATGTACGCGGAACGGAACGGAGCGGAGCGAAACGAAGCTGAAACCGTTTTGCCGCCTGCCACCAACGCTCTTCTACCCACATTTCATAGCGTTAACCCTTTACAAGCTCGCGTTTGCCTTGAACCATATGTATGTAAGTACCTAATCTACTGCTTGTGATTGAAATTATTTTTCTCTTCATAGAAATATAACTACGATATTTTACGATTGCCTCTGTGCAATGTAATTACTAGGTAAACGGGGTTGATGAATCGTCTATCTGATCAACGACAAATAAGAGTTTATAATTTTTTCAACAACGATTCGTAACTAATAATCCATCGTCGATGACTAACGATCAATTAAAATTTCAGTCATTGTTGAATTTGAGTTGGACGGAGCCCATTGCATGCACACGTGTCCAACACTTCACGGTCCCAGACAGTCAGTGAAACGTGGGGTGAATAAGAGAGCGTGGGAAGGGGGAGCAGGTACGAAGGGAAAGGGCTGCCTCTCTCCCCTTTTCTCCTCTCTTTATCGCTATGAGAAGAGGGGAAGGATGCGTGGATCGAATTAGAAGTCGCTTCGGGGAAAGAAAGGATTCGCAACGCGAACGTTGTTTAGCCTACCGCGCCTATTACCCCCTTCCGGTCCACCTCGTTCTTTTATAAATTCAATTTCCGCATTTCTACACCGTCGAAAATACCCGTTGCGTCGCGCCGCGCGTCGCCAAAATATTTTTGCAATTTTCCACCCTACCGTTTCCGTTCAATGGTTAATTAAAAAATTATTAATTTAAGTAGGTATTTGAGATGCAGCGTTAAAATACATAACATCAAGGTATATATAAAAATCAAGGCGAAACTTTAAAAGGAGGGTGAACCGCAATAACGGTCGAATCCTCTGTAGTTCTTTTATAGGCGTAGAACTACCCCAACAACGCTCACCCTAGATTAACATCCACCCTTTTTAGACTTGAAAGTTAGAGCGCTCGCGTTGATTGGAGCTTTGTTTTCGATTATTCGCAACTCCGCTCGAATATACCCTCGAACGAAACGGAGTCAACGAGAACGCGTTGTTCCGATAGAATAATAATGGAGCGTAAAGAACCAGGTGCCACCTTATCAGAAAATTGTTCAAATATAACGTGCAATTGATGGCAGCCGATCGAAACGCCAGGTAACCAAGAACATCTGTGTAAACGGTATACATACATACATACATACATACGTGTATTCTGCCTTCGATTGGCAATACGGAAGTATTTTAAACGATAACCTTCTGCTTTTTTTCAGCAATTAAGTTCAAACTTTGAACCGAGCTTGAAAATGACAGACACGGTGAGGTTGGTGAAATTACCAACATATGTAGGTGTGGAGAGCAATTAGCACACTCCTGAGATATTTTGCTCGGTAATTATCTGCTTAATTATAGCTTTGATTGGACTCACAGAGTCAACACATTCTTGAGATACTGCTTGCCTCGAGATACATACAATCTCGGTTAGCTCGTCCACTCCGAAATACATTGTATGTATTTACCTACCATATCTTACCGGTTCGAATAGAGTTCACTATCAGTTTAGAAATATATATAAAATACAGAATATAGCATGATCAGAACTGAGCACTGTATTATAAATTAAACTTTAACTGGGTCGGTCACGATACTTAAGGGTTAAACATTCGTGACCCATTCTATCTTTTTAACCGTGAAACGTATGTATTTACCAACGGGACTGGGACTGACTCGTGGAGAGGGCAGAAGGTGGTTGTAACACGCACGAGAGGTGTCGGGGAGAAAGAATTTCCCAAGAGTTTAGCGGGTCGTTTCGCGAAACCACGTTCGTAATTCAGGATAAAAAAAACTTTGGGGGAGCATGAAAAAGACCGCAATTACCAAATACAGAAAAAATTGCGTTACGGTCATTGGGGAAATTGACCCATTAACAGGAATTGACCCTTCTCCGCTCTGTACACAGTAACGACACCCTTCCCTACAATTTTACTCGAGTTTTACCAATTAACCACGCGATAAATCGTAGAGCGAATCATCGATTCCATTCATCTGACGAATTCTATTACGAAAACGGTGTTTGTGATTTTGTAGGAATCGTTTGCGTCATTGAATGTTAACAAAAATTGATTCATCAAACGAGATAATCGGTCCTGCTAACATGTTCTTATCTTGTATTATCTTGTATTATACATATATGTAGTAGGTATAGAGCTAAAAGTATTAACTTCAAAAGTGAGATATTTCACGTAATTATTAATAATTAAGATTATCTTAATGAAACTGGGCGTTTCAATATTTGTTTGATTTACTACACTCCTAAAGAAAAACATGAATGTGGTTGAAATCATCGAACGTCGTTCGATACTTCAACTCGAGGCGTGACAGATAAGAGAATCAGTTTTTTTCCGTGGATAACGAAGCATCTCGATGCGATGCGACGCAACGCAACGCATACATTTATTAGCGGTTCTCTGCAATAATAAGAAACTCAGGCGGGGCGTATCTTCGATAATTCTCGTAAATTTCCTACGAATCGATGAGACAAGGAAAGAAAAATGAAGTATAAGATTCTTAGAGTGAAAAACGTTCACGGCCAGAATTGTCGCTATGATGTAAGTACTCGGTGTTACCCTTCGTTCGCGAACCATTTGACAGATGTTTTTGGCTCGACCCTCGGCCAGTTTGGCTAAACGACCCCTTGATGTCGTCGCGTTCAGAATTCGTTTGGGGCTCGTGTGCCGAACACATGTCGCGTTCAGCAACAAATATTTCGTTGAAGTGATGTTGAAGTTTGCTCGTTAGAATACTAATAGCGTTCCTGCGTTCGTGATTCCTAGCAATTTTTCTTTTTATTCGTTCGTTTTTTATGGCTGGCTGAAATTTTTATCTAATACCATAGATATGATTCTGCTGGTTATCACCATCATGAAGTGAAATTTTTGTTTTAGAATAGACTCGAATACCTGAGTATTAAACCTTGATCCTATCCTCTACCTGGGAGCCTTGAAAAGCTTTTCAAACGATACTCTTCCGGGTCTGTAGGCACAAGCTTTGAAAATGTTTCTATCGAGCAGGCTGGCGACGAGGTCGCTTGTAAATCGGCCATAACTCCGAAAGCTTGTCCTTGACTCGTTCCCAGGCCAGGCAGGCGAGCAAGCAAATGGAAATGCATCGGTGCATTCTGAGTTTTCCAGGTCGACGCTGTCTCCGTGTACCATCTTTGTGGATCGCTGTGTAAGTGCACGCGTGCGCCTTGTATCTACCTAGAGTCTGGAGGCAGACTCAGGGCCGACGCTGTTGAGATACAATAGAAAAATGGGAGTTTCCCCGAGACAATGGGGAATACTCCTTTGTCGCACGAAGCGAAAGTCCCCTCGTCTCTCCCTCACCCTTTTCCTCTTTCTCTTTCTCTTTCTCTTTCTCTTTCTCTATATCTATCTCGCCCCTCAACTCGCTACCCTTCTGCCTCTTTTCTTCGTCTGACTCGAGTGCTCCCAGATACATATCCCCTTTAAAACCCTTCATCAAATCGAAACGGACTCGGGCATTCCTGCTTCGCGCCACCAGATGGAGCACGCGATATCACGATTCTCGCTAGTACTCGCCTCAATATTTCCCACTATGTATGTATGGTCACGAACAGGCCGTGGATTCAGTCAAACTCTTTATCTTCTTTCGAATCTTCTTTTTTCCCCTCTATCTCGCAGGCAAAAATTCTTCATTTAGATAGTTAGTATTTTCCACAGCCATTGTTTGTCACAAGGCTAGTTTATCAACAAAGTTAGTCAAGGGCACTTCCTCAGTTTATTACCTACTACGTGTAGAACCACGTTGTAAGGAACACTTAAAAGAGTACATGTATGTACGTATAATAAATACATACAAGAAGTAGATTATGAATGAGATAGAAGAAAAATTGTTAGTTTTAGTTATATCGGTTTATTTATTTACAAGTACGAACACAAAGCCATATCAGTTGATAATTACTTCCTTGATGTTTCATTTCCATTCAATTAATCGAGTTTCATATGTCGAACGGTTACTCGCGTGTCTTTTAGCCCTGGGGTTAACACTTACGTGGCTATCCGCTTGCAATGCACACTCGTACTGAATAATTTACTCGGTGCATGAATTATTTTCTAGATGCAAAATGATCACGGCGCGGTGCGTCTTGTAAAACGATACGCGCCACTCCCTTTATCGCGTTTATCGTTAGTTTCTATCTCGTGTCGAGCAGCGTCTCTCTGCCTTACTTCAGTAAGGGAATTGCACTTCTCGAGACACGATCTTGCTGAAAAGGAGATTGGGGTGAGCTCGATACGTTCGAGAGCTCTTCGACGACGATTTTTAATCAACATCGATCGAAACTTCCGGACACAGTATTGCCTCTTTCAACATCGCGACAAGAATCTTACTCTTCCTTCGATATTTCAATATCGATTTACTTTTTTTAAATAAAAATGTTTCAAATATTTGAGTTTCTTTAATTGAGCTTATTGCACTTGAGTGGAACGTATTTATGGATAGCCAGATACAATAATTGTTCCATAATTTCCTCTTCCTTAGCAAGACTCACTCTTAAAACCCCGTAAATGATTATCGAGCGGCTACTGTACCCGCTTGCCCTCGTAAGGGTTAATAAGGTAATGTCATGGCAATCTCTTTATCAAAATGAATGTTGTACATTATATGATTCTGCGCTATTTAAAGAGGTACGTAATATTAGTTTTCTCTTTGTGTCACGACGCGGATTACAGCTAGTATTAGAAAACTAATGCTGTACCACCCTGACAAAATGTCGTGGAGTAAGCTCGCGAACTTATGCCACTTGGGACAATTAATATATGTACATTAAAATGTCAGAGGTTAAGTGTTGTTGAGGTTAACAGAAAATATTATATAAGCTTCGATCGATACCCGACACCGTGTCGTTTACCTGCTGTTGAGCAAATTGTTTCGGACGGGTGTCTTCAACAATATTGGTCAATGGTTGAGGGTGTCCAGGGTGGTCACAAATTAAGTGATGAATTGCACAACCAATGATGTGTAGGAAGATAGACTAATCACCTTATCAAGGTACAGTAAAGGTATATACATGTCGACTTATCGATTGATAAGTTGCCGCACAACTTCCGCCACTTTTTGACAGAGGGCGCTAATGCTAACTTTCGGAAAATCAATCGGTAAATCATCAAATAGTTTCCGCAATTTCTGTTATTTAAAAATTAATATATTTATATACATAAGTGCATAAAGTATATTCTCAAAAATATATATATATGTAATTTAATACATTGTAATGGTCACGTACAAAATTGATTTTTTAATTATTATTTCCGAATATTACGTAGTAGCTTCGTGTGAATTCGCCACAACGCCCTATCTGTTGTAGCTTACGGGAGGTTAAAGAAATAGTGTAAAGTTTTGCCGACAAAAGAGTGTTTACGATAATTTCACGGACACGGTTTAAGTTCGTGGGTGAATTCAATCGTGAGACGGGTTATTCCTTTCAAATAATACTAATTCTGTGCATTATGGCATCTGGTAAAAGTACCAGAGAAGTTTTATTGTCCCTTGTCGATGACATTGAGTTGATAGCAAAGTTAGTAAATCAAAATATTCGAGTCTTTGATGAGAAATAAATCCTGTTCTTTGTCTTTTTAGAGAAATGATAGAAAATACGATAGCTCAGAAACCATCCAAGTTATCGAGCGAGGAACACGCTCAACTGACTGAATTGTTAATTGCCAAGGACAATGAACTTAAAGCTACTCTGAAACGAGCAGCCGAACAGGCGAAAATTAACCTAAAAATGGAAGCTTTAAGAGCTGAAGTCGAACGTCAAGATCAAGACATCCAACAGTTGCAAAGACAATTGAAAGAAGCTGAACAAATTCTGGCTACTGCCATTTACCAAGCGAAACAAAAGTTACAATCTATCGCTCGCGCTAATAAAAGACCAGTTCCATCGGAAGAGTTGATCAAATACGCGCATAGAATTAGCGCGTCGAACGCCATTTGTGCCCCGCTTACATGGCAACAAGGAGATCCTAGAAGACCGTACCCTACAGGTAAATTATTTCTCCTTGTGTCTTTTATATATTTCTTGTACAGACCCTGTAAGGAGATATTCGTTATTCAGATATTGAAATGAGACTGGGATACCTTGGAAGATTAAGCGATCTTCCTCTGAACGGACAAATGTTGGGCACCCATCCTGGCATATCGTCGGACTTACACAGAGCTGGACATCCTGTTGGTGGTATGCTAAAAGCTGCAAAAGAGCATTGCATTACTGCTGTTTTTATTATTTCTTCATTTCTGTACAAATCGTGGTTGTTATTTTAGAACCACCTGTATCGCAAGCTAATCAATTTGCGTGGCACCCATCCGGTGAAATTCATATGTCGGTGAGCGGACAAGGAAGCGTTGCGATGAACACGCATAAACAAGAAACAGAAGACGTTGAAGTTATGTCCACCGATTCCTCGAGTAGTTCGTCTAGTGATTCACAGTGAGCGTTGTTTGTTTACTGACCATGGAGAAAATTTATTAGTAAGCAGCCAGTGGAAATATGGTAGGTGAAATAAATTTTCTTTTTAATAAGTAACACCAGATTCGAAAACATAATTTTATTATCAATTGAATGTTCTTTTTTTTTTTTTTTTTCATCAATTTAAGAAATTATAGAAATGAAAAAAGACAAATGAAATTTCTCGTATTTTCTTGTTATTATAAACTATTCTGTCAGAATATTTCGTTACTTGTTGAAATTGCTAAACGGATCCAAGTAAAATATGTGGTAAAAAATGATGTAAAATCCGATGTATGTAATACGCTTCGGAATTGGCCTGTAATAATTATTTTTTGTATTTATGGAAGTATACATTAGAAAAGAAATGTATTTTCTTACCGCACGTTTACTCTGCAACTTACCAATTGAACGTTATCTTTGAAATTCGTTTTTTGAAATAAAACATTTTCATCGATGCAAATGAGGCCGAACAGTTTGCAGTCTTCTTGAACCTTATTGATATCTTTGTACAGTAAAATTTCTTGCAATTTAAGTCCCGGAAATGTATGGACTTTACTATTATATCCCCAACTCATGACTTGCAGTGCCGTTCTAAAACATATACGTATGTATCGTAATAGTAGTAGTAGAAGTAGTAATTGTTTGAATTTGAAAAAAAGCGTACGCGACGCTTGCCAAATGAATGTGAGAGATGTAAAGCGGTGTTCGGTTTACCCTCTTAATTTCGGTGCATTTATCATAGCTGCGCAGACGAGTATCGGAGCTGGAAGTTGTTGGATTAACGAGAAAACGCGAACGTAGTTTTTCAAATGACAAGCTAGCGATATTTTTATCGATAGTTGTATATCCGGAGATTTTCTGCAATAAAGATAACGATATAAGTGTAAAGTGTACCGCGAAATAAGTATGCCTATATTATTGTTCCGTACCTTAAGTAAAGTGGAAGATTCAATGCTCTTTTCAAAGATTCGGCATCACCCATGTTTAGAAGGATATACAACGCTTCCATCTGTTGACGATCGTTGCTCAGCGTTAGATTCTGTAGACATTTATCGATTGAAAGAAAATCTTTGTTGGTCGATTTGTCGTATAACGTTAGCAACTGTGCCATGCACTCGGCAAGATGTTGATTGTTAATTTGTTCGCTAAATTCTAACTTGCTTCTCTCGCATAATCTGCAATTGTTTCTTTCGATTAGCCTTATTGATACCGCATCGTAAAATGAAATCGTACCTCTGTGCAGCATAAATTAGGAACCGAACTATCGACTCGAACAATTTAATGCCTGTAGAAGAATTTTCTATGCGTTGAATGATGGCATCTTGTCTTACGGCTCTTAGTCGATCGAAGATAAAATCGTACACCACTATCCAATCGACGTCTGTACGTGTAGCTATCCTGAAATAGAAGTACAACTCGTTGATCGAACGAATTTGTAAATCGATAGTCGAGAAAATGATTGCTACGGTGTTAATTATACTTGGTAAACAAATATCTGACGGTTGATAATAGGACGGATGCGGGGCGCAGTTGATTCGGATCAGTCATAACTGATCCTGCTGCTGAACGGATGTAGCATTTGATGGTTTTTTTGGGATCTGCCTTTGGCCGTGTTGCTCCTTTTGGGCATTCATCGATTTCGAATCTATGTAATAAACCTTTCTCCTCCCTACTACAAATGTTTTTATATTATATTAGCTTTTACAGCTGTTCGTATCCGAGCAGTTTCTTTGAGGTTTTCTTTGGATAAAGATGTACCGATATGGGAAAAAGATGATCTTCAACAACTGTTCCTTTTAATAAGTTACTATGTTTACTAAACCATTGCGGTATTAACATATTCTCATTGCAACAACTATGATTACAACTAACAATTATGATTTAACAACGGTGACATTTGTTTTATATAATCATCAATAAGAAAATGTTGATGCAAAATTTGTTCTTGGAATGATATTCAAAGGTATTTAACTGCATTTAATAATGAGGTATAGTTATACGTAGGTAAAACGATCGTTGAACAATTTTTCTCGATATTCCATATCGGTGCTTGTTGGAAACTTATTTTTATAATTTGAATTGTTTTGCTTTCGACTTACATCCGTCGCTCTCTTCCTGGACACATTAACAAGCATGTACCTTGTATAAATTCGGTCATTTTGGAGGATTCATTTAATTAATAACCGTAATGTAATGGTTATGTGCTTATGTTCATACGCGAACAAAGACGGGTAATATCAGACTCGCTTTGGGCTGAAGTGGTTGTCATTCTCTGTTTCCTAACTTCATAGTTGTTACGCGGTTGTTGCACATGCGCGCCGTAAGTATGCGATATATGTTAGGATGGCACGTGTATTGCGGTAAAACCATCTCGCGCATAAATTTAAAAGGCAAGACTGCATCGAATAGATACATATGTATGTATATACAGATAAATAAATTACATGTGTATTCGAATATTTACTTAGTTATTTATGTACATTTATTTACAATATTTATTTTAAAAGAAAACGCTAGATTAAATAGAATCCGTGTGCGATGTGTAACGTGCGTTCTTATAGTGATTCGCGTATTATACACAAGTGTCCTTTTCAATTGTTTGCTTCATGGATGCGAAGCAAAATTTATTTTTGTCTTTCTTTTTATTTCCATTTGTCTTTTTTCTTTCCTTTTTTTTTCATTAGGTACGATACGACACGATAAACGTTTTTTGAAAAGAGGAGGTGCATGCATCCCTGTTGTGAAAGAGAAAATTGGTGTTGACATCAAGAATGAAAACGAAGGGGAATGTTGTTGAGCGTCCTTGTTGGTTGCTCACACGATACCTGCTGCGCAGTCATCCCTGTCGAAATCACCGTTATTATGCGAAGGTTAATGCTCTTACGTAAACTTTCTCGCCTCTTTCTTTTAATTTTGTATGCTTCTCGTTTGACAGAAGTTGACGTTTGTCCGTTTTACTGTTTAATTTCTCGATCGGATCAATATCGGTTAATGTGCTTTGCGGTTATTATTATTGAACATCATAGTGTACTGCGATTTTAATTTCTTTCTCACAATTGAACGCTACGTGTCCTCTTTGTTTCGATAAAAATGCATTGAAACGAATGCGAGTGCAGTTACGGATGCAAGCACGTAAGTACTTACTTACTTACGCTCGAGATGTTAGTTTACGATGAGAAACTGTTTCCATAACGAATTGCAAAAATTTATTCGCGGTGTCCAATTATCGTGCATTATAGAGATTGGAGAAGAGAATAATGATCGAATCACGTGTAACTATACCGAGAAAACCGTGACACGTACGATTCTATGAAAACATTCGTGTTCTTCGATTTTCCCGGTTTTTTTCTTTTCTTTTCTTTTCTTTTCTTTTTTTCTTCTTTGAAGCAAACGTTAATTTAATAATCGTTGAATGATCAATGTTTTATCGCGTTCTCCGTCGTATCGTAAAAAGGTGTTTTCTTATTAACTTTTCGAAGGTATCACGCAAGTCGATTTATTATATGTAATTTACGAAGTTCCAAAGAAAGAACGAGTAAGTAAGTACTTATGCCAGTACCTAATATGCATGTATATCCTGACCGTGAAACAAAATCTTATGTACCGTGTTTTATTAGGGTATTAAGCGTAACTTTATAAGACACGAGAGATCAAACAAAGCGTGTTTAAGCTTTCGCATGATTTGATCAAATTTGCTTTTACGATTTTTTTTCCATTTGTTGTTTGTTGAAACGTTGTTCAGTCGTTTCCAGAAACCTGTTCCTCGCATACGCGCGCCCACACTGTGTATGCACTCCTGTTTGCAATCGAAATTTGTTCTACCTATATTCGTCCTGATCGAGTTCGTTTCTCGTCGAACGATCGTTCGGTTCACGATCGAAATATCGCGCGGAGAACATTACGTGCTAAATAATGCAACATTGTACTTACGTGTGTGTTATCTTTCGCTGAAAATTTTTGGCACGTTCGTCCAAACGAAATAATGGAAAAAACTCGTTGTTAGGATATCGACAAAGCCTGTTCGTTATCGCTTCAATAAGATAAAGGCGCGCGTTTACCTGCAAAATTGAATCGATAGTTTCTTATTTTCTTTTACAACGATACGAACGAACAACTTATTATTATTATATTCGTACCAGAACGTGTAGGAAACATGTTTTATGCGAGAAATGCGTCACGAGGAGCAGATCGTGTTTGATACACAACGTTCGTTTTGTGTGTATCGCTGGAAATTCCTGTGACACCTTTATAGGGGAAGAACGATTACGTTACGGGGAAAGAAAATTGTACGTGTATAATATGAAATTGATGACGTTGCGGTTTATATCGTCAGGTAGAATTAAGAGTAAGAGGATCGCTGGCGATTCGTGGAGTACCTGTGACCTCCAGAATTCCTCTATAGAGAAGCGAACAGCGCTACATTGGTCCAGTCTTTCTTAAAGCATCGTTGATTTTGCACACAAGCCGCGCGTTAAGTCAGTAAGTCGTTAGAACAGGAGAAAGAAAACGCGGCGCGGCGCGTCGCATCGTTTAGTTTTGTTCTTTTGCCTTCTCATTGTCGGACTAATCGGCTGGCTTAATATTATGCGCGTGTATTGTTAAGAAAGATCTATCGATGGTGGTAGTTTTGTAATCGAAAATAACAACGAATATTCAAGCACTTATCTCCGTTAATTATCCCGAGAATTATAGAACAAACTGTTGATTCAGCAAGTTAATGGGTGGGTACGATTTTTCGCAAAAATTTCCTCAACAAAATTTATTAGTTTGTTTGATCAAAAACGATTCTTCGTTATATCGTCGATATAACACATTTTTGGCAGAATCATCTACTTTACGTAATAAATGCCCCACGGAACTACATATTTAGTTGTTCGTTCGTTCGTTTCAACCTTGGCTTACTTTTGCAAATATATCGAAATATCTGTCCTATTCAAATTCTTTTTAATTGTATATGCACTTTCTTATAACACTTATAGTTAGATTAGATAAAGCGGAATGTCGTACTCTTGTTGCTCGCGTCAATTTCCAACTTATTCCTCGATACGTTAAACCTGCACGATATTTCTGCAGTTTCTTTTTTGCCCAGTCCAGTGAAAAATCTTCGTTGTATCGCATTTAAACCATGAAATATTTTTATAGATCAAAAATGACGCACTGGAAGAACGTGTTATTGCTTCTCATAAAGGTTTCTCTGTTGCTTCGTAGTTGCCTGTCAGGTGAGTGAGAAGTGAGAAAAAAAGAAAAAACGCGCGATTTATTTAATAGTTAATCAACATAATCGTCGTTTGTCGATTTTAGAAACGATTATAACAGCGTACAGTGATTTCGATTTTGAACACATCGAACCGGAGATAGCCGACGAATTGAACTGGACGGAGCATCCTTGCCGGCGAACTTGTATAGATGATGCACCACCGATGGAATGTCATTACACGTTCAGATTGGAAGGTTATCGTACTATGAGCAAAGCGTGCTACGACTGTCCGTTCAATTTTACGGACTGCTTTCGGAAGCATTGTATTCCAGCCGATGGTGTTAAAAGATCCATTTTAGTGGTTAATCGGCAGATGCCTGGACCGCCTATCGAGGTACTTATAGTATATTGCGCGTTTTACAGATCTATTCTAGATACGTACATATAACCGAATAACGAAATAAGCCAACGAGAACCGTTTGGTCAACGGTGAAAATTATACGTAATGTTTTGCATTTTCATAGGTGTGCCAAGGTGACAGAATAATCGTTGACGTGATAAATATGTTGCATTCCGAAAGTACCACGATGCATTGGCACGGACAGCATCACGTGAAAACGCCGTACATGGATGGCGTTCCTTACGTTTCTCAATGCCCGATTTCGCCAGGTTCCACATTTCGATACGATTATATCGCAACAGAGGCTGGTACACATTTCTGGCATTCGCATTTAGGTGAGATTTCAAACGATCCTCTTTCGTCAATTCTCGGTCAATTCTTGCTGTTGTAATCCTAGATAAACTATCGTTTCAAGGTTTTCAACGTGGCGATGGAGTATTCGGTGCGTTGATTGTACGCGTACCTCGAAAAATAAATTGGCACTACGATTTATACGATATCGACCAACATACCATACTCCTCTCCGATTGGACACACGAATTGGGAATTGATCAATTTTTGAACCATCATCACGCTTCCGGCGACAACAAGCCGCCGAATCTGCTGATCAATGGTCTCGGTCGTTTCGTAGTGCTTCGAAATAAAAGCGAAACTGGCAACGGCAAAGACAACGGGAACGCTTCTACCACGATGCCGGTCGCAACGTTTACCGTTAAGCGGGTAACGTTAAAGTAAAATCCAAATCTATCGGAACAACATTTACCGATATAAATAATAATTTAATGCGATCCTCCCGCTCTGTTTGATCTGTTGCAGAATACAAGATACAGGTTCAGGCTGATTAACGCCGAATTTCTCAATTGCCCGATCGAACTATCGATCGACAACCATACTATGCGCATACTTAGCTCGGATGGACGCGACGTTGAACCTATCGAAGGTAACAAGTACTCTTATGTAAAATTCGTAAATAAAAAGAAATTTTTATTTCTACTTCTTTTCTTCTAATTCTCAGCGGAATCTCTTGTTAGTTACGCCGGCGAAAGGTTTGATTTTGTCGTTGAAACGAATCAAAGTGTAGACAATTACTGGATTCGATTTCGGGGACTAATGGATTGCGATGAAAGATTCACCAAGGCGTACCAAGTTGCTATATTACGATACGAAGGTGCCAATGATCAGGATCCGAAAGATGTAGTTACATACGAACGCGAATCCAACGATTCTTTAGGTCTGCTGGTGCGTTTACAGAATCTTTTTACCTTGCGATCCACTTCTTCGTTAATTCTTTCTACTCGATTGTAAATCCATCCTAAGTACACGATAAAGCGATAATTTGTCCATTCTACTTTTAGCAAGTGAATGCTTTAAACGAAGGTACGGAAACGAACGGAAGCCTGAGTATACCGCTGTTGAGAGCTATGGATGGAAACGACCAATCTAATATCCAACTTCCGGACTACCAGTTTTATGTTTCTTATGATTTTTACAAGAAAAATAATCCTCATTTTCATCGTGAAACGTTGTATGCGTTCGATCAAGGTAATTAGACGCGAGCTAATTTACATCTGCTCTCGTACGCGACTAATTCATTTAATTATAATTATATGTTTTCAGTGAAATCTAATGTACGGCTACTCACGCCCCAACTGAATCACATCTCGATGAAACTACCCTCCGTACCTCTCTTATCTCAAAGAAACTCCATCGATCAGAAGCAATTTTGTAACGCGAGTACCGTCACAGACTGCGAACGAGATTATTGCGCTTGCACTCATGTGCTCCGTGTCAAGCTCAACAGTGTGGTCGAAGTGATTTTGGTCGATGAAGGTTTGCCTACCTATCTATCTACCTATTTACTGATTATCGATTCAACGATTATACGTATAGATTTTTCTCTCTCTTAGGTTTTGCTTACGATGCGAATCATCCGTTTCACCTTCATGGATATCAGTTTCGCGTAATTGCCATGGAAAGAATAGGAAAAAACATCACTGTCGAAAAAGTAAAAGCATTGGATAAAAAAGGAGCGATACGCAGAAACCTCGACCACGCTCCTCTGAAAGATACCGTAACGGTACCGGACGGCGGTTACACCATCCTACGATTCTATGCCAATAATCCGGGTGAGAATATTTATCGAACAACCGTTTTTTTAATTATTTACCACAACTTTCCTACTTCTTCTTATCATATGTTTTTTATCATTTTTTCAGGCTACTGGTTGTTTCATTGTCACATTGAATTTCACGCAGAAGTTGGAATGTCGTTAATTTTCAAAGTCGGTGAACATCAAGATATGCTGCCTGTTCCACGAAATTTTCCTTCCTGTGGTAACTGGCAACCAAAAAATGAACAAACTACTGCCATTGATTTACCCGATACTTCTAACAATGTTACCACGTACTCACTGAAAGATACCGCCAATACTTTGGCAAACGAAACTGTTGAAAATGACGTACGACAACTTGTCAAACTATTGCCGCAAATTTTACGAATGTTGCAAAACTCGTCTTCGTCACGCATCTCGATCGTTCCCTATTTTTTCCTTTATTTCTGTGCTATCCATGCTATCATTTAACTTCGAACCCTAACTATTTACCTATTTACCTTGCAAACGTTCGTCAAATTTTATGTACTTAATAGATCGATTCTTGCTGGGCGCATCTTTCACAGGGTCGACAATTGTCATGTATATACCAATATTGAAACGTATCACCGATCTTTCGGATCCATTTCAAACCAAAAACAAAACTTATGTATTTTACTTTTCTACGATCTTACTTCTAATAATTTTCAGCTATCGACTGAAATGATATATTTCATTGTAAGTATTAGATACGATAGGGTAGGATGATAGGATAGGATAAAATAAGACACGTACGTAACAAAATTTAAATTGACAAAAATTTAAACATGCCACAGAGCAAATGAATTATTGTTTCATTTTTATATGACTAAACGGGACGCAACACACATCTCTTTTGCGTTCTAATTCGAATTAAATTTAGCTTATTTTTTAACAATTATCTACTATGCTGTGATATAATTATGCTACAGTAATGCTTCGAAATAAGCAAGTGGTCTCTGCTTCGAAATAAGCAAGTCGCTATCCCCTCTTCTTTGTTTGAAGTCGCCCGCAAAGTGAGAGGTACGAGAAACGAGTGAGAGGTCCATGAAAGCGCGAAGCCGATGTTTAGGGTAATAAATTTCACGCTCGACTGAGCAGTGACATCGGTTAGTAGAAGAAGGATGGAATATATATAATGCTTTCTCAGTCTGGTATATTTGCTTCGAAATAAAGCATAGTGCGAGAATGAGAGGGCATGTTATATTCTATCCTTGTCCAAAAAATAACATCGCTGTTCGGCCGATCACTTTATGATTTGCCGCTACCTCGGATCTCTCACTCGTTTCTCGCGTTTTCTATCGTCCCGTTTCAAGAACAAAGTCAAGCCGAATAGGTACCTGCTTCGAAATAAGCAACTGTTCGGTCCCGAGCCACTTGCTTATTTCGAAGCATTACTGTATATAGGTATGCCCGTCAAGATTGAAATGCTATTTAAAACGACAACCGCTACTTTGTTGTGCGTGTGTTACAACAATTTTATGTGACGGATTGTACGAACCAATTGGACATGTATGAACGAATGGCTGCACTGTTAAATAACTGCGAATATTACTTTTGCTACATGTAATTGTCAAATTTTATATTAACTTTTTCATAAATCGATGCACAATAAATTAATGCGTCTATATTAGTCACCTGCCGAGTTTTCAATCAACTTTCTTTCGATTATTAGCGATATTAATAGTTATACGTTGATGTATGTTTCTTGAGAAACTGAAAATTGATAAATAGCATAGCAAACATCTTTTTGCGCTGGTCTTTGGAGAGGATGAGCCAGCAACTTTGCCATGTTGTCGTGCAATTTTGCAGCATTTCTTCCTACTTCTAATATATAGGAAACATTTTTTGTATCTAAAGTTCCTATTTCGCTATAAATTTCTTCGCACAAGTTTTCAGAACAAGGTGGTTCGTGTACATACAATACATCCACAAAAAAATATGGATTCTTCGTAAGATTATCTAAAGATGCTTTACTGCTATAAAATTTTGGTATACTGGTAGATCGTGAATATAACAAAATTACTCTAGTTACAAACTTTGGCCCCGCAATGTCACCTTTCTGCATTGGTAAAGGTAGCTTCGGTTCAATTTTATGAAATAACTGTCCAAGATCATACGATTTTTCATCTTCTTCTTCTTCTTCCTTTTTCTCTTCCTCAGTTTCTACTCCTTCTCCCCTTCCTCTTCCTTTTCGTCTTGCTGCTCGTCTTTGTTTATGTTTTCCTTCTCTCTTACCTTCTTTTTCTTCTACTCTTTCATCTCCCTCCTGCTCTTCCACCTCCTCCTCTACTCTTTCTTCGTCTTCTTCTTCTTCTTCATCTTCCTCTTCGTCTTCTATAATCTCTTCATCAATGAGATTCAAACTATCGATAATACTATTGATATTATTGGTAAAATCACAAATCCATTCTGCGCTTTGAGAGTTTAGAATCATTAGTGCATATTCATGACTACGCTGAATGGTAGATTTGATGCAAATAAATTGTTCCACAACCCGTTTTATCATGAACAAAGGCATATAATTAGTACCTTTGGAAAGTTTAAACGGTGTACAGTCCTTTTCTCTTACTGTATCTATTACAAATAAAATCTTTTCGGGTAAATTTATTTCTGGTAAATTTTGTACTAATACGTTATTCTCATCGGATTGTGATATCTTGCGATCCGGAGGATAACAACACACACTATTATCAGTGGTACTACTCATTTTCAATGTTTTTATTTGCATCCATATATTATATTCACGCGCAATGTGATATTAAAATTGTCAATTTTTCTTCTATTATTCAAATCTTGTTGAAAAATTATCCACAATATTCCAATTTCTATATATATTTCTTGTTAATATGTATTTTACGCAAATGTACGTTACGTTAAGGTACTACCATACTATTGCCTGCTAGTGCCTATCCACGTCTATCATGCGTTTCACATTCTGAAATACGACGTTAGAAGCGCCGCCACGATAATTTTAACCCTAATCCCCTGTGCCATCTTACGCCATGATTACAGATGCAAAAGACCGGACATGCCTTTGTTTTCGAGGGTTCCAGACAACCCCAGATGAGATTGCTTTGCATGCAGAAAGCACAGCCGATAGGATAATCGTGCCTGTTTTACCCGTCGTTCTTTCATCTGCAAGACCTACATGAAGCTAGTCGGAAGAAATAATAAAATATAATTATTTTTAAACAAGTGTATTTCGTTTTTAAATCGTTTGTGATTTACAAAAATATCATTTTCATTGTTTGTGAGTGAACAATTTCTTAATTATTTACAAGTTTGATTTATAATAAATAATTATACCCATCACTACCTCGAACAAGTGAGTTCCACGATTTGTTCGTTTTTCGTTCTTATATTTCGCTAGATCCGGTCAAACCCATCACTAATCCGAACAAGTGAGTTTCTCGATTTGTTTGTTTTTCGTTCTTATATTTCGCTAGATCCGGTCAAACCCATCACTATTCCGAACAAGTGAGTTTCACGATTTGTTCGTTTTTAGGTCTTATATTTCGCTACTTTCTTGGGGTTCCTGACACCCCAGATGCAATAATGTCGGTATGCAGAATCATCGGAGCTCCGGGGTCCTCAGAACCCCGAGGCAATATAATTTAGGTATACAGAATCATCGGTACTTCGGGGTCTTTAGAACCCCGAGACGATATAATTTTGGTAAGCAGAATCATCGGAGCTTCGGGGTTCTTAGAACCCCAAAGCAGTTTAATTTTAGTATACAGAATTGGCGGTGCTTCGGGGTCCTTAGAACCCCGCGACGATATAATTTTAGCATGCAGAATCATCGGGGCTTCGGGGTTCTTAGAACCCCAAAGCAGTTTAATCTTAGTATACAGAATTGGCGGTGCTTCGGGGTCCTTAGAACCCCGCGACGATATAATTTTAGCATGCAGAATCATCGGGGCTTCGGGGTTCTTAGAACCCCAAAGCAGTTTAATTTTAGTATACAGAATTGGCGGTGCTTCGGGGTCCTTAGAACCCCGCGACGATATAATTTTTGTAACCTACATGAAGCTACCTGGAAGGAATAATAAAATATGATAATATTTAATTTTTCTTAGTGTATTTCGTTTGTAAATCGTTTTTGATAGATTGTGAGTCTATTTTTAACGTTTGTGACAAATTAGTTCTTTTGTAATTAGCAATTTTATTTCAATCATGACGCGAGCTGAAACTTTTTAATAATTTTTTATAATAAACAGATTTTGTGATAACTGATAGTTGTAATTGATTGGAAATCGTTTGTGATTTACAAATACATCATTTTCATTGTTTGTGAGTGAATAATTTCTTAATTATTTACAAGTTGTATAATAAATAACTGTAGTGGGCATGCACTACAGATCCAGTCGCACCCATCACTATCCCGAACAAGTGAGTTTCACGATTTGTTCGTTTTTAGGTCTTATATTTCGCTAGTTGCTTCGGGGTCCCTAACACCCCGGTGGCATAATATCGATATGCAGCGTCGCCGGTATCTCGGGGTCTCAGATACCCCGAATGCCGTAATGTCGGTAAGCAGAGTATCATGGTGTTCCGGGGTCCCTGACACCCCTGATGCCAGAATGTCAGTATTGAAAGAGTGTCACCGGTGCTTCGGGGTTCCTGACACCCCAAGATGATATGTCGGTATGCAGAGTTAGTCATTGGTGCTCCGGGGTCCCTGGCACCCCGGATGCTATATCATTGGTATGCAAAGATGGTCAGCGGTGTTTAGGGGTCCTTAATACCCCAATATGATATCAGGTCGGTACGCAGAGGGCATCATTGGCGCAGCGGGGTCTCTAACACCCCTTGATAACATCAGGTCCGTATGAAGAGGGCACAACCAGTATGATTTTTCTCCAGAGTCAATAAAATTTACTTAATTTATTTTTTTTTACTTATTAAATAAGCTCATCGAACGGAAACAACATTTATGATTATATCCCCCTTCTGGGTCTCAGCCGAGGACCCCATTTATATTACTTTTTCCAATTATTTCATTAAATTTATCCCTCATTATAGGCCAAGGCCATCTCAGTATCCCTTACATCCCTGCATTATTGCCATCCCGGCATTCCTTACATTCCTGCAACTCCAAAATACCCCCTTTTTTTTTTTTTTTTTTTAACGTGGTGGAAATCTTCAGAAAGACACCTTCAGCCCCCCTGGGGAGGAGCCGGAGGTAGTGTGGGATTTTTACCCACTAAAACCACCACGGTGGCCTGCACTAGAGCGGTAGGGAGAGTCCTTTCACCCACCGCCATGTGCCAGATTCCGCCGACATCGGGGGCCACGACCGATGCCGACAATCCTCGGGCCGCGTGCAGTGGAGACCGGGGCCCCAGCCCCGGAATTCCACTATATCCCTACATTCCTTACATCTCTTTATCCATTACATCCCAACATTCTTTCCATCCCTACATTCCTTATATCGCTTTATCCCTTATATCCCTACATTCCTTACATCTCTCCATCCCTTAAATCCCTACATTCCTTTCATCCCTACATTCCTTACATCTCTTCATCCCTTAAATCCCTACATTCCTTACATCTCTTCATCCCTTAAATCCCTACATTCCTTTCATCCCTACATTCCTTACATCTCTTCATCCCTTAAATCCCTACATTCCTTACATCTCTTCATCCCTTAAATCCCTACATTCTTATCATCCCTACACTCGTTTCATCCCTACATTCTTTTCACCCCTATATTCCTTGCATCTCTGCATCCCTTATTATAAATATATTATAAAGACTGCTTCCAGTAAAGGTAAGTTAGTTCCATTTTTCGCCACCAGAGGGCGCTGATTCGACATCGAAATTTTAGTTCACATTTTTGCCGCCAGAGGGCCAAAATTTCGGCAAGGCTTAGTTCCTTTTTTTGAAACCAGATGGCGCTGATTCGACGTCGAAATTTTAGTTCAAATTTTTCCCGCTAGAGGGCCAAAATTTCGACAAGGTTTAATTCCTTTTTTTGAAACCAGATGGCGTTGATTCGATGTCGAATCAGCGCCCCCTGGTGGCAAAAAAGGGAACTAAATCATGCTGGCTTTCTGGCCCTCTTGCGGCAAAAATGTGAACTAAAATTTCGACGTCGATTCAGCGCCCTCTGGTGGCGAAAAGAGGAACTAAATTTGTATAAAACCGTAGGCCTTATAGCCGCAAAAATTTCAACAAATGTAAGGAATGTAGGGATATAGGGGATGAAGCGATGTAAGGAATGTAGGGATGGAAAGAATGTATGGATGAAAAGAATGTGGGAATGAAGAGAATGCAGGGATGACGAAAATATAGGGATGAAAAGAATGCAGGGATGTAAGGAATGTAGAGATATAAGGGATGAAGCGATATAAGGAATGTAGGGATGGAAAGAATGTCCGGATTGTAAGGGATAAAGAGATGTAAGGAATGTAATGATATAAGGGATGAAGCAATGTAAGGAATGCAGGGATGAAAAGAATGTAGGGATGAAAAGAATGCAGAGATGTAAGGGATGCAGAGATGTTAGGAATAGTGAGATGTTGCTGGGATGTAAGGAATGCAGTGATATAAGGGTGCAGAGATATAGTGGAATCAGAGATATAAAGGGTGCAGACGGAATAATAAAAAAAAAAAAATACATACACATTGAATTGAGTACACATTGAAACTCCTCCTAAGGAGTTTATTCAATAAGCTAAGAAGTTAAATACTGCAAATTAAATGAACGCGGAAAATAAAATAAGGGTATATGTATGCCTTTAGCTACCTACATGAAGCTAGCCGGAAGGAATTAGAGAAAGAAAAGGAACTCGGTTTACAATATTTATAAATAATATATAATATATAAAAATATATGAAATCATTTATCTTGTTATTTTTGTTATTTTATTATAAAAAATCTTCAGCATAATGACAGTTGCTCCAAAAAATTAAGAGAACTTTTGCCCATAGAATATGAAACAGAAAATTTAAGCGATTTGGCAAGAGTCCTGAGTATATTTTGCGCATGGGTACTACAATTATTTATTATAAAACAAACTTGTAGATAATTAAGAAATTATTCACTCACGAGCAATGCAAATGATATATTTGTAAATCACAAACGATTTCCAATCAATTACAGTTATCAGTTATCGCAAAATCTGTTCATTATAAAAAATTACTAAAAAGTTTCGGCTCACATCATGACTGAAATAAAATTGCTAATTACAAAAGAAGTAATTTGTCACAAACGTTAAAAATAGACTCAGAATCAATCACAAACGATTTACAAACGAAATACACTAAGAAAACTTAAAAATAATCATATTTCATTATTCCTTCCGGCTAGGGTATCTGCAAGGCACAAATATGTCCATTGTCCAGTTTTCTACTATTGTCTACTATCTGTAGTCAATGCGAGGTGTGTATGGGTACGTAAATAAGCAATGATGTTACGTTTGAATATTTTGAAATGAATGCTTCGCGTTAGGTAATAGGAACAGTTATCGTATAAATATCTACAATAAAATATGCTTGCACTGAAAGATTATGGTAGCAGTGACGATAATAGCGAGTCAGAAAATGACGATGAAAGTACAAAGAGTGAGGTTAACTGTGATGTCGGTGCAAATAACAAACCTGTTGTTGAATTACCTCATGCTGTGGAAAAATTAACCGCGTCTATAAACATACAGATTTGCTCAGCACCAGAAGTAATACCAACGGTAAATATTCAACGATAAGTCTTTTAAGTAGTTTTAATTAAATTAAAAGTTGATGTTAATTGTATTGATTCGGCCATTCTGCTCTACTGTATTATAGGGATCCGAATTATGTGTAAGACACGTAGATTCAACCATGGAAGAAGTTACGCACAATCCAAAGTACGAGGAACTGTTTGCTCCAGATATTGGCCCTGAGAATCCTTTTAAAACGCAACAACAGCGTGCTGTAAAAAATATGCTTTCTGGTTATGTAGAAAAGGCTCACATAAGCGAATTTCAATTCGAAAATCAAAGAAGAACATTTGCCAGTTATGGTATGCTCGGTTGGTGATGCGCGATATTTACAAAATGAGATTCTTTGCTATCCCAGTAATTATGTCTGTTATAGGATACGCTTTAGATCCGACCGTAGATGGTAGCGCGGAGGAAGGTAGATCGATAATAGGAGCAAAAGAAGCAGCAGAAGAATCTGGAGGCAAAACTGTATTTGAAAATACAACATTAAGACCTTCCGATAAAAGGAAAAGGCATAGAAACGACGATCCTGCAGATATCGAAGGGTTCTTGGGCCCATGGGGTGGATATATAGATGAAAAACGAATTGTCAAACCGACGGAGGAAGAAGCTGCTGAATTGGAAGAAATATTAGCCAAAAGAAATAGAAGAGGAAAACCAACGGAGGAGAAACCTCTCGAAGAGAAGACGGTGTTACATAGTACGGCCGGAACAATTGTTAAACTTTCAAGCTTAACTGGCTTTTTTATTTCATACAAAAATTTATTTTTTAGTCAAAGACAGTGTCGACTATCAGGGAAGATCATTTTTGCACGCGCCTCAGGATGTTGGAGTAAATTTGAGATCGGAGTCACCGCCCGATAGATGTTTCTTACCAAAAGCACAAATTCATACGTGGGAAGGTCATACGAAAGGTATTTCGCAAATTAGATGGTTTCCACGGACGGCGCATTTGTTACTTTCTTGTAGTATGGACTGCAGAGTAAAGGTGGGTGTAATTTGAAATACGAAAAAAGAAGAGTACTACACGAAAAAAGATGGGTTTTAATTTGATGCTGATTATTATCGTTTCAAGTGTAGCTATGGGAGGTGTATAAAGATAGGAGATGTATTCGAACTTATTATGGTCACCGTCAAGCTGTAAGGGATATTAGTTTTGATAACGATGGACAGAGATTTTTGTCAGCTGGGTATGATCGTTACGTAAAACTGTGGGACACAGAGACTGGTTCGTGCATCAGTCGATTTACGAGTAGAAAAATCCCTTACTGCGTCAAATTTAATCCCGACACAGATAAACAACATCTATTCGTAGCTGGAACAAGCGACAAAAAAATTATTTGCGTAAGTTGTAAGATTTATTCGATAATCGGTAAATTTTACAAAGCTCTTACGCCAATTGCATACTCGGTTACAGTGGGATGTACGTTCTGGTGAAATAACTCAGGAATATGACAGGCATTTAGGAGCTGTTAATACAATAACGTTCGTTGATGAGAACCGAAGATTTGTAACGACTTCTGACGATAAAAGTCTGCGAGTTTGGGAATGGTATGAAGTTCTTTGTTCATCGTGACAAGCGTTTAAACTTTCAACGCAACGATGAATAAATTTGTGAAGTAATTGAACGTAGCCCGTCTTTTGATTTGAATAAAATTTAATCATTCTTCTTTGTGCAGGGATATACCGGTCGATATGAAATACATTGCGGATCCTTCTATGCATTCTATGCCCGCAGTAACTCCGTCTCCTAATCAAAAGTGGCTTGCTTGTCAAAGTATGGATAATAAGATTGTTATATTCTCTGCATTAAATAGGTTTAAAATGAATCGTAAAAAAACATTTACGGGTCACATGGTTGCTGGTTACGCTTGTGGTTTAGACTTTTCCCCTGATATGAGGTGAGAAAATTGTTTTATTTACTTTGAAACTTTGGAAGTATATATGTATTTTTTGTTTTTTTCTTTGTTTTTTATATATATATATAGTTACCTCGTATCGGGTGACGCGGATGGCAAGTGTTACATTTGGGATTGGAAAACGACTAAATTGTACAAAAAATGGAAAGCGCACGATGGTGTATGTATCGATGTATTGTGGCATCCACACGAACCTTCGAGGCTGGCTACAGCTGGTTGGGATGGAAAAATAAAATATTGGGACTAAGTGTCATCGGCGATTATATTTTTACTAAAAAAAAAAAAAAAAGAAAGAAAGAAAGAAAAAAAGGGAAAAATTATATTTATATTTTATATCACGTGTACAAGGAGATTTATTTCGCGCAAAACTTTTTAATTACGGTATTAGATATAGATGGATGAATGAAGAGATCGTAAAATTGTTCAAAAGTATTTTAATCGCAATTGATAATTTATAGTTATTTTTCGCGATTGTGAAACGATTCACATCTAAATACGGATAATGAATGAAGAAAGCATCTTTTTTTTCCGTTTTGTAGCAATAAATGAGGCGTAAAATTAGTCATATTGCTATATTATATAATAAAAAAAAAAAAAAAAGAAACTACCAAACATTTCGCGTATTAATTTGTTCGTATTGAGATGACAAGTTACTAACTCTACTTTTACATGGCGGTGGTAAAAATCAATAATAGCACGCGTCATGATGTCTACCGTTTTCGTTTCGTGCGTCGTTGCAGACTTAATGTTTTCCGTGGTCATTGGTGTTGTCCCGTCGAATATTTTAAATTTAATTGTTCGATTGACAAATGGTTAACGATATCTTCACTTTTCAAGTTGTTTTGATTTAATATGATAAACCAGTTGATGCAAATGCCTTGAAACTGTGCAAAGATTCATCGAAAAGTGTTGATAAATGGGAAGGTAAGAATATTTTCACCTTACATAAATATGAATATACATTTGTCGGAGTTTTATAACTTACGGTTATACAATGGAATGAGATCATTCGAATGTAAATAGACATTGAATGTTTACAATAAACACGTGGTTCTAATATGTTGTATGTTGTATGTAAGTACGTAAGTACGTACATGAAACATTGAAAAATTATTATTTCTATATGTATATGAATTTTGATATCATTGAATTTGGCATAACCGAGGTATTGTTGTAAAAATTGTACGTATCACTTTACACGTTAGCGATAAGAGTAACATGTTTATGTCTTTAGTGTTAGAATAAAAGAAGGTAATAACCGACTATCTTACGATCTTATATTCACCTATACCGTAACAGGTTCAACGTAAAGATGGATGGTCCTGGATTAGGATATTCGTATCATCTTCCTTCAGCAGGATGGAATCTTAGAGTGAGGAACGTTCTTTCGCAGTTTAGTGATCTCTTCAGTGAATTTAATAAATACATTGCACCTGCTTATCATCACGATCGATGCGAAAGGTATTTCATTTATCTTGCATAGAGGCAACTGGAATATAATAATGATAATATGTTTTTCTGTAGATCGGTGCAGATGCGATTATATTCCATGCATAAGAGAGAATTTGTTATGGTATTTGTTGCTTTCTTTGCATGTTTTGGATTAGCAGTGTTTATTGGACTAGCGGGTAAGCTCTCTGCTTGAACAGAGTTACTTTTTATCACATGTAATATCGTATTCACGTATACTTGTATTCTTTCGCCACAGGTCCTCCTATCACTTCAACTACCGAGCAAAGAGCTCATGTAAATGGCAGTGAAATAGCTACCGGTCCTTTTATTATGAAAACACCTTTGTTATCCACGTATAGTCAACAACTATGGGTTATCGCAAAATTATTGACCTCTAATAATGATGGTATTACGAACATAAATCACTGAAAGAATATTCACATCCATTTGTAAGATGCAAATTGTAATCATGATATATTGATTTCTTACAGATGAAAGATATGACAAAAGTTTTCAAATAAGCATCTCTATAGATGGTATTACCACTGATCATAAACTTGTACCTATTTTGTCTTCTGAAACTGGACACAATAGGTATGAAATCGAACTTAACATATTTTACGTAATTTCTTCTTTCTATATGAATCTAATTAAATATATCGAATTATCACTGATATATGTGTGCGTGCGTGCGTTCGTGCGTTCGTGCGTGTGCGTTTTTGTTTTTTTTTTCATTATAGGACTAGACATTTGAGGTGCGAAAGACAAACGTGCGAAGAACTCGTAGTTGCTCATCTCGGATTTCTCGATTACAGTTATTATATTATTACTGTTCGTTTTCACGGCCTCGAAAGCTTCCATCAACGCTACATCATACACGAACTCACATTCTACGTCAGTAAGCACTACCCGAAATAAAATGTTTAATTTAAATAGTTTTGCAGAATCGACGAAATAATCGTACTTGGTAATATTTTTACTTATTTACAGTACAAAAATTACAACCCGGCGTTCACGGAATTCGAAATTTGGTTTCGATTTATCTTCTTATTGACTGCATTCGGAGTTATGGTAAAATGCAAATATTTTTTCATATATGTACAATGTAATATACGTACATATATGCATACGTTGATTGAAACTGAACATTTTACTATATTTTCAGTGTTGGTTCGGGCATTCTCTTCGAAAATATCCATTGCACGACTGGTCGATAGAACAGAAATGGATCTCTATATTACTTCCATTATTAATTTTATATAATAGTAAGATTTGATTTGATGATTTGTTAGAGATTTAGTGTTTGTCACTTTTCAACAAATGTTCATTTCTTTGTCTCTCTTCTTCTTTCAGATCCATTGTTCCCAATGACATTTTTGATCAACTCTTGGGTGCCTGGTATGGTAGATGCAATTTTGCAAACGACATTCCTTTGTGCAGTTCTCATGTTTTGGTTATGCGTTTACCATGGTTTAAGACAAGTATGATTTTTCGTTACTTCGTCAACTTAAACGTAGTTTAATGTAAACGCAATGACAGTGGGTTGCCTGCAAAACTGATGTATCCTATATTTCCGACAGAATGAAAGACGCCTGATCACGTTTTATCTACCAAAAGTTTTAGTAGTTGGATTGCTATGGTGTTCGGCGCTCATTCTTGCGACCTGGCTTCGTTGTACAGAATTAGAAGATCCTACTTATAATTACGTTCTTGACACATCGAATTATTTCGTAAGTGTCAACAAAGAGAAGAGACTATCATTTACTTACACCTAATATACGATATGTGGTTTGTTATCAATAATGTCCTGCATGATTGCAGGGTTTCAAGGTGTTCTTCTTCACAGTAGGAGGCTTTTATATCGCGTACTTGCTCCTCTTAATATTGAGGGCGTACAGTGAATTAAGATCTATGCCGTACTTCGGTACGATAAACATGTTTATAAAAATGTTATTTGTATTTTTCGGCTATTTACAGTATGTATATTATCTTTTCTAGATCTTCGATTACGTTTTTTAACGTTACTGGCTAGTGTTGTTTCGTTAGTTTGTGGCTGTGTGACAGCACGACAGTTTGGAGCTGGTATTTTCGAGGATAGTTTTGCTTCTCGTCTAACTACTTATTACCGTTCGTCGGCTCAATTTATGGCTCTCTACGGTCTTCTTAATTTTTATTTGTATACCATGGCTTATGTGTACGCGCCTGCACAGCAACAAGTCTACGGTCAACGTAAGTATTTTACGTACTCGAATGATCGGTATGCATAGCGTATAATAATAATCGCCTATTTTACGAACGATAAATCTTGTTACAATTGATAACAGATTCCTCCATAACAAAGGACAACCCTGCATTTTCTATGATTAACGATTCCGACGAAGATGTTATATATGGATCGGATGAAGAAGCGGTTTACGGATCGGATGAGGATAGTAGACGGCCTTTAACCCGTACTTCTCGAACCACGAGTGATAGTAATTAATTGATCAAATTAACTGTTCTTCATAAGGAAAGAAAATCATTTACAAAACAAATATAATAATTATAATAATAACAACAATAATGATGATAACGATGATACTAATAATGTAAAATAAGGAAACGGTAAATGACGATGTGTTGTAAAATAAAAAATGGTAAGGTAAATGATTGTTTTTAACGATAAGTGAAACTGAAAAAAATGTAACTGGTTTCTTGTACATATTTGTGTACATACATACATACATACATACATATGTATACCGATGATCTTACTTCTCGGTAAATGCGTAATTATTTGCGCTTCGTATTAAAAGCAACATTCGTAAAGTATTTGACTTTGATGTTTATACGTTTCCATGAATTCTATTTAATTACTGATCGATGTATTAATATAGCAAACGTTGTCGCGATGCATTGTGATAAGAATGAAAGTGGAAGTATTTTGTATGCAAGAAAGTAGTTTCGCAATGGATTACTTTCACGTACTTACATATGTGAAAACAAAGAATTCATTTAATTAAATTTAATTTAATTAGATCATTACCGTGTAATGTTCGTTATCTTATCTGACCAAATACGTTTTACCAGGCGTAAATCTAATTTTTTAGTTTGTTATGTTCATCCATATATGGATCCGTATTATCGTCTATATTAATATCAGTGCAAAAATTGAATAAATTTTATCGATACAATTCAATATAATCATTTGTAATCCTTACATTATTGTACATTAATATACAGGGTGTCCCAGAACTGGGTCGAGATCCGAAGAAGGATGATTCTAAACAACTTTTTCCTTTGTCAAAATGTTGGTTAAGACTTCGTTTTCTAATTATTAACGAAAAACAATGGCTAATGAGAGCACAAGTAGAGCGCGAGTTCAACTGCGGGAGTATTGGCTTCGAGAACCAAACTCGATCGTAGTCGCGAACAAACTACTCGATAGCGCGTCGCGTCGGTTCGTAACCGACACTCCCGCGACTGAGCCTGCGCGTTATGCGCGTTCTGATTGGTCGGAAAATAAATGATAAATTATAGAAAAATACAGAAAATTACAGAAAAATAGTCGTCACTATGAATTTAAAAGTTTGAAGATTGCCTTTTACGTGCTAAACTTCCCGTTGAAAGCCTTGAAAGCGTAAATCAAGGCATCGTTTGAATCGAAGGTTACTGTAAACTTGAAGGCAGGTACTTATGTATGTATTTATATGTATACAAACCCATAACTGTTGAGAATCGTTGAACGTTATTTTCGAATTACAGTGGTTTATTATCGTACAGACACACTTTTGTTGTATATCTGTCTCGTTAATAAACATAATATTTTTACAAAATCAAATATATATGTAGGTAAATAATTGCATTGATTTTAAATTGCGTTTGCTAAGAGGTTAGAACGAATAAGTAGAAATTATCTTAATTTTTGTAACGATTGAACGTATATAACCTAAAACATAGTAATTTCTTTATTTGCTAGGTATTCCTTTTATTTTTTTATACGAAAATAGTACCAAGTGTAACGAGACTGTTTCAGGTGAACCCATTCTGAAAAAATGCCAAAGTCAAAAGAGTACGTGTCTACTGATGACGATAGTAGCGAAGAGGTATTTTACTTTAATTACTAAATATTGTACATATTCAAATTGTCAATTGTTTGATTCGTATGATGGAAAATTGGGTAGCAGCGCATAACATATTTATTTACTTTGCAAGGAAGTGAAATCAAAGAAGCCGAAGAAGAGGGAAGCGGATGAGACCGTAGAGAAGACTGCGAAAAAGACGAAAAAGGAATCGACCGAGAACGAAGAGGCCGTTTGGGATTTAGGAAACAATCGGCAAGTTACAGTGAGAGACTTCAAAGGAAAATTATACGTTGACATTAGAGAAATGTATTTTGATAAGGATGGAAATTTGAAGCCAGGAAAAAAAGGTATTAGAAAGTTCTATTTTAATAATGAACAGTAGACAAATAAGAAAAAACTGAAAGAAATGTTTTTTCTGCGCAGGTATTTGCCTGAACATGGCACAGTGGCGAAAATTATTAGCGGTTACGGAAGATGTAGACAAAGCTGTAAAATCTAAATCTTAAATATTTATTTTTTTACGCGTCTTTTCTTTGCCGGAAACTTATTACTTTACGTATATATGTGTATATTTTACCTGTAAAATGTAACGCGTCAAATCGTTCTGCCTCTGTTGTCAGATATTTCTAATAAAGAATACTTTTCATCCGATCGAAGTATCGAGTTGTGTAAGTACATACTTGTACGTGAAATGAGAAAATTAAAAGGAAGAGGGATGGGCTCCAATCGTATTTCCGTGTATCAAGAAAAGAAAAGTATTCGAGTGTTTAACTGAATACTGTATGATTAATACATTCGAGATTATTTAAAATGAAACGCGATAATAGCGTTTCATATTTTTTTTCCCCCGGATGGAACAATAAGTAGTTGGAAAGGGAAACGTGTATTATACACGCAGGTTGAAAAAAAGTTTTTGTACAATTTTAATGGAAAATTAAACTGAAGAACGTTCAGGCTGGTCCATGAACAGAAGTTAAAAATTTATCTAAATCTAAATTGTTCAGTAATGTTCGAGGATCCGTTAGATGCTCTCGTTTTTCGAACTGTGGAAAAAAAAGAAACAAAGAGACGTTATACGTATTTTTGTTTGATGACCGTACAGAAAGAAGAATAAAATTAGTTACGAACCTGGTTATTTTGTTTCGGCTCAACGAGCATATTCTTTTGAAGTTTTACGACTGAGGTGTCTGAAATTTGTAATATTTTATACTAAAGTATATTTATTTCAATTTCATAATACATAGATATGTGTGTATGCGATATCATATGATTTTATAACATGAATTACCTGTGATTGTTTCTTGATTTTTGTCTGTTTTCAATCGTTTTTTGTTATCAATCGTTTGTTGTAGATATTTATTTCTTTCATTAACGGTGGAAGTTTGAAGAAGGGAGGTGGTGGCAAGCTTTTTCGTTTTCGAGAAAAACGGCCTATCGATAGGAGAGGAAGTGGCCAGCGGCTTGGCGTGTGTACTTGTTGCGCTTAACGTGTCCAGAGACGTTTCGCAATGATTTTCGTATTTCAGAGGCGACTTTCTATTTGCTAATTTCTTTTTAGATTTTGGCGGCAGATTGAATATCTCTTCGTAATCGGTGGCTGTCCATACCTTAACGCATTCGTCGTTACTTTGATCGTTCAAGACTACATTAATTTGAAATTCCAATTCGTGACTGCTGTATCTTCGTCTTCTTTTCTTTAACGGAGCACTATCGTCGTAGAGAAAATGGTATTCTACCGAATTTGGTGCAACCACGTTGAAATTCGTTTTACCATCGCATTTTTCCACTTTTGATTCAAGTTTGTTCGGTTGATCAGTTTTGCACGCAGGAACGAGTTGTAAACTCTGAAGAACGTGCGATAAATTCTTGGCACTTGGTAAGTCAGAATTGTCTATAGATACAGTTTTGATAAGATCATTTTTCTGATTAGATGAAAACTTTGTTTTGTAATCATTCTCTTCGTCGCTAAACAAATCTCGTTTTACTAGATCAACCTTAGATTTTGATAAGGCGTTTGCTTTACCGCTATAATTAGCTTGTTTTATTGCTTTGTACGTATTTTTCTCTTTGTAACTTTCTTCATTTTTCATCGTACTAAACTTGCTTTCTTGTGAAATAATTTCATTGCTAGTCTTATTCAAGATAACAGGTATATCACTTTCTTCGGCATTGATCGCAATACAATTTTTTGAATTTATTGAATTTCCCGAATATTCTGACGTTTCCAATCTCCTTGTTTCTTTATTTTCCACTCTATTTATATTGAAAATTTTATTTTCCGCTTCCGCAACTCTATTTAATTCTTCTTCGCTTTGAATCGCAACATCGTTTTCTTCGTTATTATTCGTGTTATTCTCGACAATCGTGCAGATAGGAGGTTTGTTTGAATCGTTCTGCACATCCGTTTGCTTTACAATTTTTAACGTCAAAGTGTCGTTGAACGCAATTTTATCACTATCATTTTCTCGATTTGAATTTTCCTTCAGTCTCTTGCAATCTTTCATTTCTGCTACGTTGTCCACGTTTAAACGTTTTACGCTTGTATCATCGGTATTACCAATACTATTATCGTTGCTGCTACGATTGTCATTGTTGATGTTATCGTTATCGTTATCGAGCTCGTCAATTTTCTTCTTTTTCTTTTTTTTCTTTTGTTTCTTCTCGCTAACTGAATCATCATTCTTCTGAATCTGAAGAGACGCGCTACGATTCTTCTTTTGTTTTACGGTTACATTATTTTTATTACCCTTACAAATAATTCGTTTCTGTCGGGTTGTTCTACGGGTAAGACTAGATTTAGGAATATCTCTAAATTTCGTTATCATACGTTGACGTTTTGCTTCTAATTGAACGACTAATTTCTTGTCTATAGTCAAACACTTTTGCTGTTGTTGTTGTTTTTGTAACAAAGAAAAACGTTTTACGGACATTGTGGGTTTGAAAGTATGTTGCGCTTTCACTATTTTTGCCTTTTGCTTAAGGCTTTTCGCTGTACAATTTCCTACGTATAAATCCTGATTCCGATTTCCATCTTCTGAATTGATAAACGCTGAAATTTTTGAAGATAAATTAGTCAAGTTTTCTACACCGGTCTTAGAACTGCTCGGAGTTTCGGAAATATCTGCTTCGTTTATTAAAATTTCATTTTTGGCCGGAGTTTCTTGTAGCAGCTCTTCCTCCTCCTCCTCCTCCTCCTCCTCTTCTTCTTCTTCCTTCTGTCGATCCCTTTCATTTTTCATTACCGAAAACACTTTTAACGGCGATGACTCGCATTTTCTTAAAGCGATAATTGCTTCTTCGGTACGATTCGTACATAATACATCCGTTGATTTGATCGTTAATTTTGTCAAAGTACTTGCCGAGGTAACCAAATATTCTGTATTCGTTGTTTCTTCCTGTATTCGACGCGTAGCAAGTTTGCATATTGAATTGTCATTGCTCGTAGTATCTGTATAAATTTGATTCGAAATTTTTTTATTCTTTTTGCTGGACGATGATGTTTCCAACGAGTTTGTTACTTTCAATTCTGGTGAAATGGACGAAGGTGGTAAAAATGTAGAAATCGGCGAGGAAGATGCCGAAGGTGAAGACGAAGACGAGGGCGATGATGATGATGATGAGGAGGACGAAGAAGAGGACGAGGACGAGGAGGAGGAGGAGGAGGACGACGATGAGGATGAAGAGGTCGAAGAAGAGGAAGAGGATGATGCGTCTCTGTCTAAGGATTCTTCGCAGTTGCGCAAATATCTTTTTTTGTTATCAACTACCCTCGCGCAATATTTGGCCGTACTGCTATCGTCCGTGCCGTTTTTATCGATAATTAATTCTGCATTCTCGTCTTTGACACGACAATTAGCTTTGTTACCTTTTGTACAATGCGACGTCGAATCTCGAGAACTGGCTGATATTTTAAGCTCTTTTATTGCCTCATCTTTAGGCAAATTTTCCTTGATCACTTCAAATTGTGTTATTTCTAATTTTTCAGATAGGCGTGTTTGAAAGGTGCTGCTCGAACCGATAACGTTGCCGGGCGGCACGCACTGGTTCGTGCATTGCGAGGAGGATGATATTACAGGCGATTTTTGCAAATCGTTTGCCGTCTTTGACGTCTTTGACGTCTTTGACCCTGATAATTTCTCCGAATGTTCGTTCTGCTCAAAAGTAGGTTTATAATAGGGGGAACAGGAATGGAAGGTTTCTTCCTTCGGATTATCGGTCGTAGTTTCTTCCAAGTGTTTTGGAGTTAACGCTATACAAGGTGTTGTCGGAAATTCCGGAGTACTTATAAAATTTCGTATTTTACTCGAGTCTTCGTTTGTTTTAACAAACGGCGTGATACTGCTGCTAGGACTAAGTAATCTGGGTGTCGGTGGAACGTCGGAGTTCTCCAACTTTCTTGGCGTTTCCAAATCAATCAAATTAGGTATTTGTAATAATTGCTGCGAGACATCCGTGGAAATTTTCGTCAACTCAGAGAATTGCGTATCATTCCCATTCGTCGACATTATATTGTTCTCGTTCGTCGATTTTTCACATCTATTTAAATTGGTTTTTAACGTTTTCAATGGGACATACTTTTTCATATTATTTTTCTCAACTTTCGAATCGTCGATTGTTCTTGTTGCTGTTATCGTTGCCGTCGTCGTCGTCGTCGTCGTCATCGACGTCGCCGTCATCGTTGCCATTGTTGTTATTGTTTCTATCATCGTAGTGGTAGTAGTGGTTGTTGTCGTTGTTGTTATCACTAACGATTCATCGACACGATTCTTCTCGAAAATGGATAATTCGTCCAGTTTGTTCCGTTCAGAGACAGTTTTATGTTTATTCTCGTTACTACGCGTTGGCAAAACGTCGTTTGTCTTGGCACTATCGATATCGAACAACGAATTTTTATCCGGTATCGACACGATATTACTCTCTGCCTTTTCTTCTTCTGTCGACAACACCTTTCCTTTTGTCCTTTTTCGTTTTTTCTCTTTTGCAGCGGCAACCGACGACTCTTTAGTCGGTAGACTTTTGATACTTTTTCCTTTCGACGCGCGTGATTTGCACTTTTCTTTATTTGAAACAACGCTCTTGCTTTTCCGACGATCGTCTTCCGTGTTAGTCGTTTGTAAAGATTTCCTCAAGTCCGCGTCCCATGTGTCCTTTACCATTTTCGTTGATTTTAATTTCTGTTCGGACAAAATGCTGACATTGTTTTCGTCCTTCCGACACTTTTCCGAAACGTTTGTAACTTTCGATACAGAACATTCGGTTGTCGCTACGGCAACTTTGTTTGACGATTCGATAACTGTTTCCGGGCACGTCGTTTGATGCCCGATCATCGTAGAATTAGAAAATGGTGGGGACTTGAAAAGACAAGTTCTACATACCGATTTAACGTGTTTTAAGGAGGACACGTTTTCGCTATCGCTAACCGTTCCACTGGATGCAATATTGCCCGTTACGGTTCCCGCAATTGTCACTGCCGACGCTGACGTCGAAGCTATTACCTTCGTCGGTGTATTGAAATCGAGAACTCTTATATGATTGCTTTTCCGTCTGGGTGTAGATAAACTCAATCTATAATTTTTTGTCCTGCTTTTCAACAACGTTCTCGGAGTGCGTTTAGTAATCGGGTCGACCGCAACAGCCTTGCAATTCAATGGCTGCTGCTCGTCGTCGAAGTTACTTTTAACCGGAACAACAGCTTTTTCAGTAGCTTGTACAACAGGTGTCAAGTCGATGTCTGACAAACTTTGATTTTGATTGTTCTTATTGCAATTGAATTTTAAGTACGGAGATAATCCCGAGCCAGACAAACTAACGTTATCTTCTATGTTTATAGTAGGCATATTTGAACTATCCACTAATGTTCTTGCACTATTTTCGTTCCCGTAAAGAGTAATCGATTCTCCGACGATGAGTTTGCTCGTGGTGGTGTTGGGTAAAATGGCGGGACTTGTTATCGAACTACCTGCCAAATTATTAACGCTCCGAATCGATCTACATTTTCCTTTGTTGTTTATTTGTTTATCCTGCCTCTCGCCTGAATGGATTGTTTGACGAGTCATCGACGTCGACGATGTTGACGATGTTGACGATGTTGACGACGTTGATGATGTTGACGATGTCGTTGGTGCTACCTTTTGAGGAACATTTACAGTTTTCAAATACAGCGTCTCCATAAAATTTTTCCCATTTTTACCTGTTGGATCCTTTGGAACGATAGGAACGAACCGCGACTTTCTTCTAGACGGTATAGAACTTGCACATAATATGTTGTTTATTTCTTCTTTCGAACACACTATCAACGTTGGCATCGTCATTATGTCTTGTTCATCGAATGTATTGCCTTTGTTACCGTTCAGATTATTCTCCGATTCGTTTTTAGCTTTCGACGGCTTCGTTCTTCTTACCGTCGACTTTTTTACCTTTGTCTCAGCCGCGTTAATATTTCGAACTGTTTCTTCATTGATACAAACAATTTGTTGATTTTCAATGTTCGATGATTTTCCATGTTCCTCTTGCCTACTACCATCCTCTGAAGAAACTTCAAATGTCGAAACCTTCGATTTCTTTTCATTCTCAATGTCGACCGGTACAACTTCTTTTCGACTCTCTAAGCTTTTTTCCTCGTACGTCGTCGGACACTTGTTCGTAATATTGGCATTTATTATACTTAATATCGCGGCAGCGTTTTGATCTTCCAACACGTTATCTTCCTTCTCTTGCTCTCGTTGGTCATCTTCGACTCGAGCATTTTGTTGTCTCGAAGAACTGCGAAGTCTCTGTTTTAACGGTATATCTGTCACCTTTACCTCCTCGGATAATTTCATATCTGATATTACCAACTCTGTTGTTGAGCTACTATTCACCATTGTTGAAATTTCAATTTCTTTCTCTCGCGATCCATTCGTCAACTTCGTTTTCGGTCTATTATTGGCTTCGATGTCTTCATCGGGACTCGTATCCGCTTCTATCTGCGAGCCGATCATTTCATCGAGAAATCTTTCAAATACAGGATCAGATTCCGTTGCCTCTACTATCGATTTAATCGCGTTACTTAAGTCTGCCATGACAGAGGTATTTGCTTCGCCGTTCGTCGAATCATTTAAATTTTCCTCTTTCGATGATACATCCGTTGGAAGTATTGCTTTGTTAATGTTCTCGGCAATTCTTTCTTGTAATTCGGTACGATTCAACAACTCTTTCGTCAGTAACTTATCGTGACAATAAAAAATTATTCATTATTAATTAGTTCGTGAATTAGCGTTAAGAAAAAGAAAAAAGTAAACAAACCAAAAACATTGATACGTACACTGAGATTTTCAATTGGTTCGTCGTTGCTTTCTGATTCGGACTCCGGTGTATCGTACGGGCTAGTCTGGACCTCCACGCACGAATAACTCCGTAACTCTTCCGTGCTTGTAGCCGCAGTACATTTTTCAAACGTGCACGAATCTTTTCCATTATTCGTTTTACACGTATTATCTACTACAGCATCTTCTAGATTTTGCGCATCTTGATTAGTACCTATTTCAAGCATTAACAATCAAGTTATATAGTTACCTTTAATGTTTATTTAATCTTACCATCTATATATATACTCATCTACATATATATTTACTATTATTACTATTACTGTTGTTGTTGTTGTTGTTGTTGTTGTTATTGTTGTTGCCGTTATTATTATTATTACAACTATTACTATTGCTATTATTGCCAATACTTCCAACTTCTTCTTCAGAGCTGATATGTTTCTTCTCTTCCACGTGAATGCTACCACATTTAGATTGTTCGCTCGTATTTGTGTGACCAGGCAAACTTTCTAATGGTGTTGTCTCTATGCTATCGTAACTATTTACTACAAACAAACAATGAATTCATTAAAACGTTTAGAATGAATATTGAATATTCTTCAGAGCTTATGAGCGTCTACCGTGACCAGCGGCCGAGTTGATTTGTTGCGATGTATTCGCCATCACTTTTGTACGTTTGCATCGTTCACGATCGCTGTTACTGTGACATCTTTTACGTACACTGCTAGATATTATGGGAGAGCCATTGGATACTTGGGAATTACCCTGTATACATAGAAATATTACACCGCTATTAATTGATCACCTCGTAATTAATCATTTTATCTAAGTACCTGCGAAGGAACGTTGATATTAACGACAAAACGTTGTCCGCGGGTTTCTTCTATGAGAAATTTTAACTGTTCTAGTAAATCTCCACAGTGTTTCAATTGTTCGCAGTCTGTAATTTTGTTCAGGCGTTCCTGAACTGTACAAAAATTATATACTTCTTTACACAAGTTTTTAAATAAACTAAACATTATGTATAAGCCACATATTTAACTATAAAAAAGACTTACTTATTATGTTAATAGCAACAAATTTTTCAATAACATCTATCAGTGTCATTCCGTTAACTTTGGTACTAAATCTTTTCCCACTAGAAAATACTGTACGACATTCTTGTAAATGGGGACAAGTCTCTAAAAATATTTTGGCAGCTTCTAGACACCTTTGACCTTCTAGGTATCCTAAAATTAATGTTCACAATTAACTATTATCATTTGTTTCAATGTTTCCTATGTATCCCAGTAAAAATATAAAATATAAAAAATAAAAATTAAAACTAATCTTCTCTATAACAACTGTAAATATAATATATATGTAACATTAATTTATTTATTTGTTTATATGAAACTAAAGCTGTAGTTTTGGCGCTTTAATTCGTAAGAGTGAAACAACTATCAAAATGCATGTCAGCAAAAGCAATCGCATTCATTTTTTCATGTTTTAGTATCACAATCAGAATAAAATATTTACATTCCCGCCACACAACAAGTTATTATTATTACAAACATGACGCTTGAAATGTATGTATACATCGCGTTACTCTTACCAAGAACCAGTCTAGCTATTTCCGATGGTAATAATGTTTCCATAATGTTTATTGATCTTTAAGTTTCACTCGCACCGATGAAAGTTCATTATGAACTCTTAAAAAAATGTCAAACAATGGCAATATAAGAAAACAAATCTTGAATAGGACTGTAAAGAGAATACATACATATATATGTACATACATACATACATACATATACCGCAGTTCACCAGAGTCCATAACTGCGACGCGCAGGTTGGAAGATGGTGGGGGAACGCAGCGAGCTCTCTGCTAATCGCTTTCCACTTCGTTTGGAAGTATCGCCAATCAGGGCGAAGATGCGCACTGGAGAAGCGCGAAGAACGAAAACTGGTCTTTTCGCAGTTATGGACTCTGGTGAACTACGGTATATATACATATGTACATACATAAGTAAAGTACATTCTATGATACAATTTTACCAACTTTAAAAGTTACATAGGTTCTACAATTTTCTACCCTATGTCAGTGACTTTCACAATACACATCTAAGTTTATATAGTCTGTCTTTGCTGCACTTTGCTGTGAATATTGTATTTTGTATGTACCGATCGATATTGAAATTGATAACAAGTACTGCGATATCTTTTTTATAATATCTGTCGAAAGCAACACACATTTGTTACTATTTTCTGCTATACTAATCATCATCTTTAATTTCATATTATAATAAAGTACTATTTTAATTAGGCCATTGAAAATGTTAATATTGTACTTTTGTAATAATATTCAATTTACAGATTTATAAACAATGGGAAGTTGGCAACTAGAAGTTGGACGAATGATGATGTATATATTATTTCCAATTGGAGTTTATTATTATTTCAATCAAACAGAAAATATTGAAGAGTGGATAATTAATGAAAAGAAAAAGTATGGTACTACGAGTAAAAAAGATTATACTCACTTTTTGGAGTTTATAGAGGAGTACAATAAGAAAAAGCAACAGAAACAGCTTGAAGAACTGGAAGCTAAATACCATAAATTAAATACATAAAAGAGTAATTTAAGGAGTTTGATGCATAATTGTTCCTTCGATTCATTAGTCAATAGTAATGGAAAGTTGGATTAATCCGTTTCAGCAGTTTATAATTATTTTTCAGGTAATCATTTGTAATGGCATTTAGTTATGGAACAATTCTGAAAGGACATATCGATAACATACATTTAATCATTAAAATTAAATAATATATTTAAGGGTGCAACATGTAATGCTATATAGTATAATTTAAATAAATTGCTTGGACAAAATAGAAAATTTTATTTTTCCAGTTATTACGTTAATTATATTTATCCTAAACTCTATTATCCTTGAATGAAAATTTTGAACACATACATACTTCTATAGTAAATTTTAATTATAAAAAAGACGATACAACAATTTGTGCCAATACTGTAAAGAAAAATGGTACCAAATGTATATTGGGAAAAAAGTACATACATAGATCCAAGAAGCTGCGGTCATTTTACATGCAGTTAATAAAAATCATGTATGTATGTATGTAGCACACGCATGTATTCTACGTATTGCAGGGTGGATACCACTCTATATTCTTTCGTGACTATAGGATTGTTGTTTCTCTTTCGTATGGTACCCGGCAAGAGCGGCGTGACTGAAAATATCTGCAGCTGTTGATTATAGAATTTTAACAAATTGGGTGTACGCAAAGTATCTATAGATACGCCGTTTTGTCGCGGATTTTTGATTTTTATTCTTTGTTGTGTTTGAATATATATTAGTCTTTTAAGATAAATTAAATAAAGTAAGAACAATCACCATAGCTACATAATGGCACAAGTACGATATACTCGGAATTTATTCTTACGAGGAATGTGTATAATATACATTTTCGCGTTTCTTAGCTTTTACATACAAATTCCAGGTAAATATTTCATACATTTATATTCTAATGTTCCTTGTTATATTTTCTGCTTTCTTTTCCTTTTCCTTCATAGCACACATGCGTATTTTTATATTTTAATTAATGATTTTTTTATACGAGTTAAAAGTTATTTATAATCATTAAATAAACTTGTTAAGTAAGGGTGGTAACAAAATAAAGATTGTCCATTTTTGTAGTTATTACTTTACAATGTGTAATAATGTAAATAGAATTTTTATGATATATTTTTTATTACATCTTTCTGATAACAATTTTTTTCTCATGAAAAAGGATTATACGGCGATAATGGAATACTACCAGCTAGAACTCAATTGGATTTAAAAGGTCGGGCACCTTTGATTGATAAGTTGAAGCAGAAACCAACGTTATTATGGTTTGCTCCTTACTTGGGATTAAACGTGGAATACATGTTGGATGTGGTATCACTTATCGGAATTCTTCTTTCCTTTGCAGGGTAAAAATTTATATATTATCTCTCTTCCTTTCTTTCTTTTTTTTGTCTTTGTTCATTTGAATGATATACAAGTAATAGTAACGAATGAATTTTTTTTATAGATTTGTTTCACAAAAGTTTTGCATCGCATTGGTATTTGCATTACTTTGGGCATTATATTACTCTTTGTATCAAATTGGTCAGATATTCATGTGGTTTCAATGGTAAGTATTCAATGCTTATAATTATATATGTGTTTTTTTCATTTACACGACACGAATCCATTATTATTATGGTTTGTTAATTAGGTTGCTAATCTTGTGTTCTAAAAACGATTTGTAAATAGCAAATATGTGCAGAATGAAGAATTGTAAAATGATACAATTGGACTGCTATGAAATAATTAAGATTTTCTGTATAAAAAGTAAAAATTGTTTATCAGTTGTATTTTCTATGTTGCTCATATTTTTACAGGGATGTACTTTTATTAGAAGCAGGATTTTTATGCATACTTGTAGCACCATTTTGGTATTCTCAGCATGGAAAAATAAGTACTCCGAGCGATGCTGTAACTTTTTGGACCGTACGTTGGTTACTTTTTCGCGTAATGTTTTCCAGCGGAGTAGTAAAACTTACTTCTGGTTGTCCTATATGGTGGAAATTGGATGGTATAGTATCAGAATCTAACAAGAATGTTTATATATATATATATATATATTTATATATCTCATTTGTTTCAGGTCTAAATGTTCATTTTGAATCACAGTGTATACCTACCCCCTTGGCGTGGTACGCGCATCATTTGCCAATATGGTTTTTACGTTTCACTACAGTGATTGTGAATATTTTTGAACTTGTCGTTCCATTTTTATTCTTTTTCCCGAACAGAAAAGTGAGAATAACAGCATTTTATATGCAGGTAAATATAAGTGTATCGATATATCGATATATTTAGATAGAATTTGATATATAACGATTTAAGGTGATTGCTTTTTATTTTGATTATAGGTGTTTCTACAAGTACATATTATAGCAACAGGGAATTATAACTTTTTTAATTTCTTAACTATTTGTTTGTGCATTTCTCTGCTAGATGATCAATTTTTTTATAAAAGAAAATCTAAAAACAATTCCTACAGTCGTACGAAATATCTTTCTACGATATTGTGTATATTAGTTTATGCAGGAATATTTTATGAAACGTACGTGTATTATAATCTTCGAGTGACAGATAACTGGACCATTCAAAGCGATATCGGTACGTATGCCATTTGTAAATTGTAAATTATTATTTTCCTTGTTATAACCGTGATGATTCGTTTTTTAGCATTCACGCAGGAACAGTTTGATTATGTTTTGTCACGAATAATTCCTATTTCCATCTATATCGGTGTAATATCCCTTGGTATTACAGCTGCAAATGCGATTGTTGCTTCTTTATTAACGGTAAAAGGAATGAGAAACAAAATTTTTACGACCTTTGTTACAATTTTGTATACAGTAGCGGTTTGTTTGATCTTTGCTATAAGTATTGTAAGTAAATGTTATGACTATGTACATACTGGGTGTTCGACAACAGGTGGGAGATTTTTTAAGGGGTGATTCTTCAATCTGCCCCGGACAGATACTTGATTTTCGTCTTATTTTGATCCCTAGAATCACCCGTTAAAAAATCTCCCACCTGTTGTCGAACACCCTGTATATCGTATATGATAAAGTGAACCATCGAATGGTCTGTTGTAACGAAAGCAAAAATGATTTCTTCTCCGTCTGTCTTCTTCTATAGGTACCCTACGCCACGCTACATCATACTCATAATTCGACGATACCGACTCAACTAAGACAGGTACAAAGAAAAGTCGAACATCTTCGTTTGGTAAACAGTTATGGATTATTTAGACGCATGACTGGTGTGGAGGGTAGACCGGAAGTGATCATCGAAGGAAGCGATAGTATCGATGGACCGTGGAAAGAATACGAATTTTTATATAAGCCAGGAAATGTTAACAATTCGTTGCCGTTTGTTGGTAAGTGAATTGTTTTTGAAAATTTAGAGAAGCTGAAGCAAATCTTCGATGAGATTGAACATGCCTGATCATTTCGATCGTAACACATTTTCTCGATGTTTGTCGTTTTCAGCTCCTCATCAACCGCGACTCGACTGGCAAATGTGGTTTGCTGCGTTGGGTACATATCATCAAAATCCATGGTTAATGTCATTAGCGTATCGTCTTTTAAGTGGTCAATCCGAGGTATTGAATTTAATGAACAACGTGGAGAGCCCGTTCCGTGAAAAACCACCAAAATACATTAAAGCTAGTCTTTATCGTTACCATTACACCCCATGGAGTCAATCGTAAGTACTTACTTGATTGAACAACGTTGCTAGAAATTAAACAGATAATTAACTGGTAGCTTTTTCTTTATCGTCATATACTTGTTGCACGTTAATTTTATTGTCTATAATTATGTAGGTGGAATAAGCAAGCCTGGTGGACAAGAGAAAAGATCGAGGAATATTTGCCAATATTTAGTCACGATCACCCACCGCTTATCGAGTATTTGTCAAAGATGAAAATCATTCAGGACAAGCCAGCTTTCAAAGTAACGAACGAACCGTTGAAACTTTTCCTTGATAGCCTGAGATCTTTGGTTCATAAAGTAGAAGCTAGTCTTCTCCTGTGGGGAGTTTTTACGGCAGGTTGTGCAATCATTATGACTAGCTACAATAATTCAGTTTTAAAGAAGAAGTAGTTGACCCGATTGGTCTGTGAAAATAATAATTCACAGTTGATTAAATTTATAATGAGATTTACGTATACGCAGTGGAAACGATACGATACGATACGATACGATACGGTCATACGGTTATCAGGGTTGAGATACTTTCGTAACTCGAAGTGAAGTTTGACTCTCTGTTTTTCTTTTACATATACGTATATCTGTTGTTTCAATGTTCAGAATATGTTAATTTTAACGACAGACTACTTTTACAATCGTATTACGTCGATATTCCGTCGAGTTTTTTCTTATATTGGTTTATAATCATTAGTACGTACTTCATCTCTCTTTCGAGAGGTTTAATCGAACAATAAAAAATCGCGACCCATTGTAACAATCACCTTAGCGAATAATGTTAAAAAAGCATTCGATCTAATAAAAAAAAACCACAGGGTTTATTTTTATTATTCATTGTACAAAATGTGTTTAAGTCAAGTTTACATGTAATTTGTATTTAAATTTATTTTAATACTTGGAATTATATATAATTTGCATTCATCGTTTAATGTGTTTTAACAGTTTGTCTAGAAATCATGGAATTTCTCATATTCTTGTTCTAACATTTATATTATTATGATTTGTAAAATTGTTTCTTTTTTCTAGTTTAATTTTTTTTGCCAATAACACAGAAATGCAATAGAAGCGGAATGAATAGAATATTTTTCTAAAAACCAACTAGCCGTAACCGTACATAATAATTAATGGTGGCGTAACGTAAATTGGCCGACAAGAAAATGTTAAACGGTTCATCGTCGTTTCATTAAATAAAATACTGTACTGTTTACAGACGAAATACAAAAAATGAAACTAATAATTCAACCGTTTAAAGAAACGAAATTATTGTGGGGGTTATAAGTGGGAGCATGGCGCCACGGCACCTGGGCCCCTCTTTCCCGTGATGGCTGCAAGGTGTTGCACGAGTATTACATACATCCTTTCTCGCAAGCGCTCCATCACGGGCCTTGTCGCCATATACGTATATATGATCTAAGAACGTCAACCCAACTGGGACGTGTTCTAGTGGAGGACGACAGGGGGAGGGTGTTTCCCCAAAACGGGAAAAAAACGCGGGGATGGTTTTTTTTTTAAATCTTTAAAAGAGTATAAGAGAAAGGTGTGCAACCTTTTTTCATATAAAGGATTTTGGGAAATCGAAAACACGTTTATTACTACAATAATAAAGAGGGATACTTCGATTTTCGAGTATATACCGTTCGATCGCTGATGAACGAAAAACGGTTAATAAATCAATTTTACCATATTTTATCAGCTTACATCTTTATTACTTTTATCGAATGTTTGTAACTTTTTTATTTTCGATACATCGGAAGATTTTCCATTCGAATTTGTGTTCTCCGTGGTATCTATTACATAAACTTCTGGCAATGCAGTTTTTGACAAACCTATTGGATACCGAAATAGTTGTTCTAAACGAGTTTCCAATAATTTGAACGCTTCCTCAAACCTATACGATTGTTGCGTCAAAAATTGATTCGATCCGATATAACTTTCATTAAATCGTTTGAAATGTATTAAATTTTTGAAACTCAACATGGTTGCATAGGTTGCTTCTATCACGGATACATCCTTTTCCGTAGTTATCTCTGTTTCGGAAGTAGACGATGAATACCGAATCTCTTCGGGCATAGTAAATAACGCGTAATTTTTTTTAACGGTTTCCATGCGCGATTTCCTGTGATTATCGCTTTGTAACTTTACATGCCTACGAGTATCGACACTTTTTCTTTCGAAGGATATAGCATTGCATTCAGAACGAACCATTGTTCCGATTTCTGTTAATTTATCGTTGCCACTTGAATCCTTTCTATCGGTCAAGTTATTATTATTTTGCTGTAACAAGAATATTTTGGTTGGACGTATAGAAGCATTTCGTAAGTAAGACCGTTTATCGCCGACATCGGTAACTTGAAATAACCGATTTAATTTTTGAAACTGCAATTGTTGCTCGTGACCACCAATGTGAGAAATGACAAAATCTGGAGTACTCATTTCTGCCGGTTTGTCAACTAAAAACTTATCGTTTGTATTTAAATTGTAATCAATGCATTTACTTTCGACCGATTTACTTGATTTCAATTTTATTTGCGAATCAGAAGGAGGTGGCGGTATAAAGTGAGAATCTTCTCGTTTATCATGATTTGTTCCAAACATGCGTAAACTGCATTCATCTATAACTTGAAAGCGTTTTTCCGTATCACTCTTCAGCTTTGCATATTCTTTCAATGAATATAAAAGTTGTTGATCTTTATCGGTTAATTTTATATTAGCGATGTTATCGGGTATGCGAAGTTTAGCATGTAATTGTTGTAAAATACTGTACAACTTTTTTGTATCGTGTGATAACTGTTCGGTAGTATAAAGCTTATTCTTATGAACGAGCGTTGCTTTTTGTTTTGTATAAAAATACTTGATTAATTCTGTATCTATATTATTGTCATTGTGTTCGTTCGATGGATTCATAATTTGATCAAGTGTATCCTTGTAAGATATCTTTTCCCTCTGTTTATTTCTGGTTTTGTTGATAGTAGGGAACTGATTTCTATGTAGTTCAGGCAGAGAAATGCCTCTTTTAATGTACTTCTGTAGAGCTGTGTGCCGATGTCTCAGCTGAGTTCTAGTTTTGCTTGAAAATGCTTTAGCTATTCTCGACCAATTTGGACCAAAACGTGCAAACAGATCAAGCAATTTTGAATCTTCTGCAAACGTCCATACTTTCCTTTTTTCAATTTGATTGGAGATTAATATTTCATAACGATCATGAAGTTGAACGGTCGATCTATTAGGCATTAATGCAGCTGATATTTTACGAAAATTTGTACCATACTTAATAACAGCATCTTTTAAAAGTTTATCTTCGGCTTTAGTGAATCTACCTTTGATTAAATAAGGCGACAAGCTGTACGTCCACCTGAAGTAAACTTGTTGTTTAGTTCTATTTTTTATCCAATTGGCCACTTCACCCCAGGGAATAAAATCACCGATTTTAAATATATCGACCAGTTTTAAAAGTCTCTCGTCTTCTTCAGATTTCCACGTGTAATTTTGAACTTTAGGCAACTTTTTAGTCGTGTTGTATCTAATAAAACATTGATACGCAGTGCGATTTGTACTCAAATCTTTAGCAATTTTGTCCCAGTTTTGAAATTTATGTTTCTTTACAATTTCTTTCAATTTAACGTCTTCCGATTTTGGCCAAACGTTTTTGTTGATATCAGGATGAAGGAAAACGTTCCACATAACACGACAATCAAGCGGAGAATGTATATCGTCAAAATGAATAGACGATATTTTGAACCAATCAAATTCTTTTTTTTCTAATGGGCCAACAATTTCTGAGAAATCTGTAGGTGGGAACGTTTTGTCCTCTCTCCTCTCCTCTTCAACCTTAATAATAGATTTAACTGTTAGCCCATCAACCGTCGTACAATCTGTCTTTTGAGAACGTAGTACATCAGCGATAGCTTCTTCTTTTATTGCTTTTAGAAGTACGTTTCTTTCCTTAATTGTCCATGAACAGACTTTGGGAAGATTTCTCAGCTGCAGTTCTTTCCAATTTTCTTTTAGTATTTCATCTTCGTTTTTAGGTGGAAAAAAGTAATTTCTATCTTTGAAGTATGGTATACCAGCATTACAAATTAAAATCTTTGTATCTCCACCTGAATGTTTCTGTAAACTTGTTTCTATCACTATCAATTTTTTTTCACATTTCTGAAGAGCAGAGGTTATGTGTCTTTTTAAATCTAACAAAGAGGAAATTATTTGCTCATTAACGTTCAACACACTATTACAATCTTCGACATTGCATTCCATAACGTCGTTTTTACTTTGATATATTTCTTGCAATGAACAATCATTGATAGATGCTTCCAAGATATTACTTTTTTCGAATTGATTTATTTCGTAAGCAGTTTTAAAATTACTTTCGTTACGACATTGAGGCGAGATGTTTTCTAACACCAATGTATTGAATAAATCATTGTCACTCGTTAACGTGTTCATGACTAACGAATAAAAAACAAATCTTTTATACAGCTTTTAGTTTCGGTTGATTATATGCTTTTCATGCCGATTAACATGAGTACGTATATACATATACATATATAGGTAAGTACGGATAGGTACATATGTACATACATACATGACAAGTATCACCAAACGTAACAATGTAACAATTAGAAAACATATACTTACATATGATGAAACAAAATACGTTTTACATACACAACTGAAGAAATCAATGAACACCTATATACTAGTCAGTACACAATTCTGAAAAAGTGTTGATGTAAATCAATCATAGTATCAGTTCGTCTAGTGAAAAAGCACTAAAGGGGAAGGTGCCCTTACCGCCGGGTCACACGCGAGCACGCAGCCATTATGCCTCATTCACAGGAGAAATACCTTTGTATTGGCGTCGAGTCTCGAACACGAAAAGTGGCTCCCTCTGCCGGATAGGATGGTGCATAAAACTGCGAACGCATACCAAACCGGAAGCTGCATAAGAGCCACTCTCTCGCACTGTTGAGGAATGAATCGCCTCACTTCTCTGAATAAGCATTTATTTGAAAAAATTTCTTTTCTCCTGAAATATGTACAAAGGTATTTCTCATGTGAATGTGGCATAATGGTTGCGCGCTCGCGCGTGACCCGGTAGTAGGGGCACCTTCCCCTTTAGTGCTTTTTCACTGTATATGTATGTATGTATGTATGAAGTACATACCTATTTCTGCCATATTTTTATCAGTTACATTTTCTTTTCTCTTCTATCTTTTAATTTTCCACTGTATGTTTATAATGTATGCACGTATGTACTTACACGCAACAATGTCGATCGATTTAAAGATTTTTTCGAGAGTAAGCATAGGTGCAACATAAAAAGTAGAGATAACATTTAATCATAGTTCACACATTTTCCTCCTGTTTAGGAGAACTTGTAAAATAAACATACATGATGTATATATATATATACATATAGATGAGAGAGAGAGAGAAAGAGATAGAAATAACAGAAATACAGCGGTTTTGATTTAATGAAGAAAAAAAAATAAAGAAATTGTAAAGAAAGTTTTGACATTGGAGCGGAAGTTGTGCACATATGTTTCCGACGTAGCTCCTGCAAAGTAGTACATGCGCAGTTTGTACAGTCTGAATATGTCGGCTGGATAAAATACGTTAACTGTTATCATGAGCAAAACGATTTCTTTTGGTTAAGTTTATCGTCATTAAGTTATCGTAAAAAAGATTGTAATTGAAAAGTTTGAAGGTACGGATAAAATGAATGTACTTGACTGAAGAAACTGAACTCGCCATATTGTACGTTAAAAGATTAAATAAAGGAGGCCTTATGTCAAGTCAGTTCAGTATTGGGAGGGCCGACGACGTGTGCCAATATGAAGAAGCTATTTTCAAAAATCGAAAACACGTCGAAGGAACTCAACAGTTATATAGGAAAGGTTTTTGTAGTAGGACGTTGCACTGTCACTGTCGAAGAAGTTTTAGCCGAAGGTGCGTGTTATCTTCAACCTTGAATATTCATCACCCCTCCTACCTACATAAATGTTTAACTCGAATGCTCGGTCAGTTTTTTCGCTTTTCATACACAATTAAGAAACTAATTATACGATAACAAGAACAAAGCCGATAGATTAACTATACTCGATGAACAATCGTTGATTGCAAGAGGTTCGGCGTATGTAGAAACGATCTAGGATCGTAATGACTTTTGGTCGGTGCGTGGCATTTATACTTGTAATGATGTTTTGATAATGCGCTTGTAGGAGGATTCGCTATTGTATTCCTGGTTAAATCTTCGAGCGGACGTTATGCACTTAAACGCATGTACGTTAATAACGAACATGACCTCAATGTATGTAAGAGGGAGATACAAATTGCGGTAAGTTTTTTTCTTTTAAGTAGAAATTAATTGTTCCGTTACAGCAATGTAAAAAATTCGTTTGCAGCAATGTTTCTGTTTCTAGAGTAACTTAAACGGTCATAAGAATATAATAGGATACGTGGACAGTAGTATCGCTCACATAGGAGGAGGAGTACACGAACTTTTGCTTTTGATGCCTTATTGCAAGTCCCAAGTTCTTCAGATGATGAATAACAGGTTAAGCGTTATTGCATTCTATGTGAAACTGAAAATATTAATGAAACTATGGAAACAGGGAATGATAAAGTATTTGAAACGACGTGAAATTAAAAAAAAATAATTCAAACAAATTTGAATGGTTTTAGGTTGCAAACTGGTTTTAGCGAATCCGAAATTTTACAAATATTTTGCGACGTTTGCGAAGCTGTATCCAGATTACATCATTGCCAGACACCGATAATACATAGAGATCTAAAAGTTTGTTGAGCATCGTTGTCAGTTAATTTTGTAAGGAAAGCAGTAGTTAATGGTTACTATCGGTTGGTACGAAATATTTTTCAGGTTGAAAATATATTGTATTCGGATACTGGTCATTACGTTTTGTGCGATTTTGGTTCGGCGACAGCAAAAATTTTGAACCCTAGTGTGCACGGTGTGGCGATAGTTGAAGAAGAAATTAAGAAATATACGACCCTTAGTTACAGAGCACCCGAAATGGTGGATATGTACTGTGGCAAAGCAATAACAACAAAAGCAGATATATGGGTACGATTTGAAATTTAAAATTTCAATCATGAAATATGTTTCATGGATAAGAATAATTTATGAAATAGCTCGATTGTAATTTTTGGTGATTTTTAGGCATTAGGCTGTTTATTGTACAAACTTTGCTTTTTCACATTGCCATTCGGAGAAAGTACACTCGCTATTCAGTCAGGAAACTTCACGATACCGGATAATTCGAGGTTTGTACTTGTACATTGATCTATAGGTTATATAATGAAAGTAATAGAAGAAAAGTTCACATTTCAGTAATATGAAATTTTGAATAGGTATAGTAGAAATCTTCATTGTTTGATTCGTTATATGCTCGAGCCGGATCCTGATAGTCGTCCCGACATTTACCAAGTTGCTGTGATCGCATTTCAAATACAGGGCAAAGAATGCCCTGTACAGAATTTACACGTATGTATGCACGCATGTGTAAATGTCAAATATTTAATCTTTCGTGTTTGTGAAAAGATTATCGATAAAAATAAAAAGCGAAAGAAAATTTCGTGTTTCCTCCGAATTGGAGACGATATGTAATATATGACGAGTAAACGTGTACTATGTGTATGTACACATATGTATGTCGAATAAGATTTGATCAATTTTTTTTTTTTTTTATATATATATATAGAAAACGCCAACGCCTGTATTGGAATCTTTAGCTTGTCCACCTATGGAATCGGAAAATGTAAAAAGATCATCATTGGTGAAAACACCGAAACCGAGTACGACTCCGGTAACAACCGTGGAGGGTACATCGGTTACGCCGAGACAACGACCAAAAGGACAAGCTGTAAGCGCCGGTCCTATAAGTTTAAGCGGCCAGATAGTGAGTCAAATATCTGGTCAGGGTAGTCAGTGTTTGCAGTCGCAAAGTTCAGCAGGAAATTCGACGATCGCGTTCGTTCAAATGGGTCAACAAGTTGGTTCATTGAACGTACCATCTCAGTCGTATATCGTAGGTCAGAGTATGCAACAAAATGTTCAGCCGGCAGTAGGAACGAACATACAAGCCACACCGTCGTCTCTCGTTCAAGTTACGTCGCAAATTTGTACGAACAGTCAAACCGTTTCATTCGTACAAGCTCAAACTCAGCAAGCGCAGTACAGTCCAGTACAGCAGTCACAGAGTTCGGTGATTGGAGGAAATCAGCAATCTCCCGTGACTGTTCAGGATAAAAAGAATTCCTATTACTTTGAGTCAAAGTCGGGCAACAAGAAGGTGGAGGAAGAAAATTTGGAAGCATTGTTTCCACCGTCTGGTAAAGAGATACTAGATTATAGTTAGTGAAAATCCATTTGAATCGAATGGTGTTGATCGATATTGGTACATTGTTGCAGGTTATCCAGATCCGTTTAAAGAAGAGGATAACCGAGCCATGCCGCCACCGGCTAAAATACCACCTCCTGTAGCTCCAAAACCGTGTAAAATTGTACCGAAGGCGTCGAATATTTCTGTTAATTGCCCAGCTCCAAAGTTGACAGCGGTTACTTCGTTAACTTTGAAATTAAATGCCACAACGGGAGGTAGCAAGGGGGCGAGTTGTATAACACCGCCAACTTTACCGAAACCGGTGAATAAAACGGAAAGTTTGAGTCAGAATATCAGTTCGAGTACATCACCGCCGGATAGCCCAACATTAATTTCTGCACGACATCGAAGAAATGTGAGCGATACGAGCGCTTTCAACAAGTAAGTTAATTCAGTATCTGTCACAAATTGGTTTGTACGAATCGACTCGAATATTTCTCTTTATATGTATAAATGATTTCTCTGTACAGAGCGTTTGCAAGCGAAACGACTCAGTTTTTAGCACCGTACGAAGCTTCGGTTAAATCACGATCAGAAGATGTTACGTCTCCCGAAGTTGTAACCGATATAAGACCTTGTCTAGGATCTAGCGCTTCACATGTACGTATTGTAAGTACATAATGCGCACAGATTTATCTTTTGATTTTCTTCAGTTTAATTTTACACAACATATACCTTTTTTTATCCTGCAACGTATTTGTGTATGCAACCTTTTTTACATTAAGATTGTTTAATTGTACACTTGAAGTCGCATCATCATCATCATCATCATCATCATCGTTATGCGCAGAATTATCTTGCTTTTGTTTTCGCTTCGCAATATTCTATGGTTAAAAATATGTGTGAACAGAACCTGATTACAACTTTGAATAATAAAAAGATAACGACACTTTGAAATAGGGCGAACTGTCGAGCGTAACCGCAACCGAAGGGAGATCGTTAAGCGCGGATGTTGCTGCTTGGAATCCGTTCGAAGATGTTCAACCTTTTAATCAGTTAACCGAAGATCATATTTTCGGTGCGGAATTTGATAAAATTAGAAGGGGAAGCAATGCTAGTACAAGCGGCGTAAAGAGCCGCGAAAGTCTTGTTATGACGTGTACTACAGAGTTACCAGAAGATCCGTTCGAGTCTGCACCTTTCAGTTTGCCAAGTAAGTGTCATCAGCATCAGGTTTCATTGAATGCGAGTGCGAACTCGTCGCGACTAATCGTTCGATTAATATGTTTAACAGGAAAGAAGAACAAAATTGGATCAAAGACGGCAGCACTTGCTGGAGGTAATGCATAGATTGCTTCGCATACTGTCTTATTCCATTTTCTTTCTCTTTCTCTTTTTCTTTCTCTTTTTCTTTCTCTTGCTTGCTCGCTCGCTCGCTTTCTTCTTATTTTCATCTCCTTCACGAGTTTATGTAGATGGTTTTTTACAAATAACCACGTAAGCATACGCATAATTGATATTATTTTATCTTGTTAATTTTCTACCAAATAATCAATTCGTAGCTAAGAAATTCTCAGGGCTGTATAATTTTCTACTTGTTAGTTTATATTTGTTTTTGTTTTACGTTTATATTTACTCAAGTGTTGCCGAATGTGATATAAATATGTGATTTGTAAAATGATGTATCGATACATCGAAAAAAAGAAAACGGAAAGAAAAATGAGAGAACTTCATAAGAAGTCGGAAATATTAAGGATTAAGGAACTCTGCGTTCCTTGGATGTTAAGAATACATATAGGGTTAATTAAGTATACACGAAGTTACGATGAATCGTGTTGTCGAGTTAGTTTAACGTAAACTAATAACACGTTACTAAGTTGTTGTTCATCGTAACGCGTGCGGATGCGAAAATTCGAGAGAAGTAGTTTCAAGCTCGTTAGCCGTTATAGATAACGTTTACGTTAATGCTGTTGCGTACGATTATTTTTTTTTAGTTGTTTGTTTATTCCATGCACGAAGTAAAAATTATTTAATTTACAGAAAGAGAAAGACGGGGTAGTAATTTTTAGTTAAAAAATTCTGATTCGCTTCATACCGATAAAAGGATGAATAATTTTCAACAATGTTACGAACTTGTTTTTATTATTATTGTTATTATTATTTATTTCTTCAATTTGTGTTTTGAATAATGTCAGTTACCAAAGATATACGTATACGTTTCGTTTAACGTAGTTTGTATGTACAATATTTACGTTTACACGGTTAAAAGTGCAGAAGAACGATATCGCAGTTGACGGACAAGAAAAGTTTAGTACCGTAGACAAGAATGATTCGAGCGTTAAGAGGCAAAGAAGTACTAGTATTCGTGGACGGATCGCATAAAGTCGAGGTCGTAGAGCCGGCCGGGTTGACAAATAATGTCAACCAAATATTTTCAGTAAGTCACGTTAAGGGGAAAAAAATTTTTCAACGGTAAATAGAAAGTTGAGCAGTTTTACGACAGTTATCAATACGACAAATATCCGATCAATTCTTTACACATTGTGCGTATGCTTATTCAATGGTATAGTTGAAATGTATGTAACAGTTTCTTGTGTCTGTTGTACATACATTTGTAGATAAATGATGAGTTGAAAAAAGGGGAAAAAACAAATCTATACAAAAAAAGAAAAAGAAAAAGAAAAAGGAAAAAAAAAAAACAAACAAGAAAATCTGGTAGATCGTGGTAATGGTACTATGTATGTCGATATTAAGATATTCTTCCACGCGTTAGAAAGAATTTTTCAATTAATCGTCGTTTCCAAATCCCGTTGATATAGTAAGTACGTGTTATTTTCGCGTTAAAGTTCCATGAACGATACATCGTACGTAACATTGTTGACGCAAACTATACGTACAATCTTTATTATGCTTAGCTTGTAATTTCGAACGAAATTGAACGGATACGTATGGTACCCTCTGGTACTTGAAGCCGTTTCCTTGTATTTCTTTCGTTGTATCGAAGAAAGAAAGTAAGAAATGTTGCCTTCCTTCTTTGATGAAAATATTGTATCAAAGTCGAGGGACAAGGAAAAAGTGTATCGTCGTTGCATTATGCGTTTTGATGCGCACAAGTAGTATACATATACGATACACGGTTTGGGTAATGTAATAATGTAATGCGTTGCGCTGGCAATAGTGATACTTTATAAGTAAGGTATAATTTTACTTAACCCTTAGGTACCATGGTAGGGTCAGATTTGACCCTGTCAATGTGAAATGTATAGTTTTCCTAATGAAAAGCAGGTAAACATTATTCGAACGACCGTTTATTATTCTGTAACTATAACTGTAACTGTAACATAAGAAATGCTTGATCAGACACTGCTACTTATGTACATTAAAAAGCAATATAAAGTACATGTCTTGTGTCGGATGTTATATTTCTAAACCATGGTAGTTACGGGTTAACTGATTACACGTAAAAATGCATTTTCATTATCGCGAATTAATATTCGGTTAAATCGAATGACGAATGAGAAATTGACGATAATATCGGTGACGATGGTGATGGTAATGGTGGTGGTGGTGGTGGTGGTGTTGGGAGGGCGAGAAGTATAACGAGGATGACGAAGGGGGCGGGGGTGGAAATTAGGAAATGCATCATTCGTATCGAGAAACGAATATAAGCCAAGAATCAGGATCAGAAGTTGAATTTTTAACGCGTACAATTTGTAAGGAATTGGGCATCATCGAATGAGAGCGAATCTCAGGTTAAATGTTTATAGCAGAACGAATTCCCTCTCCCCCTTTGATGTTTTTTATATTGGCGCGTTAACGCACGAACGAGTCAAGGGTGAAAGAGCAAACAATTTTCATTGTTTTCCCTGATTATTAATTATTAAACGTGAGTTGTAACAGGTATTTCCGTAATTCTATAATTTCATAAGAAATTACGTTTTCGCGAGTTCACGTCGTGTATCTATCTGTAATTTATAATCCTCGTGTACCGGTATTCGAACAAGGCAACGAACATTTCCTTCGCTTTCGTATTCTTCTCTGCTAATCATTGGTAACATTTTTCAAAACTTTTGTATTTATTCGTCTTCACTGTCTGGAACACCCTAATGAGTTTGGGAGGCGCAAGCGGTTAATTTTCCTTTATTCGGTAAAAGCTCTTAAATTTGTTCGAGCCGACGCGACGCAACGAAAGAAGTTCTCAAAGTTGTCCCGCATCGTTCGCCTCCCATTGTGCCTCTGTTTCGTGCAACATTCAACTCTTGTACAACTATAACGATACGATACGATACGATACGATACGATACGATACGATACGGGACGGTAAAGGCAAACGCAAACGCAAACGCAAACGCAAACGCGACAACCTCTGGCACGAATACGATGGCATTTGAATCGCGAACACTGAACAATAGTGCGAATCGAGAGAGCATCATAGGAGGCTGACAATCTTGGACGTATTCGCTGTATTTAAATAATAATGTTACAGCAATAAACGTGTACATTACTTTATGATATATATGGGGTATTGTTTTTTTATATTCTATCAAATTAACCGAAAACGCAGCAATTCTTTGTTTGATGAAACGTTTCGCGATCTTTTTTCTTTTCTTTTTTTTTCTTAAACACACACACACACACAGTCGCGCACAGATAAAAAGAGTTACATTATTGTATCGCGTAAATACGATTGAATCGTGTTGCTTCGACACAAAGATCATTACTGCGTTTTTTCGTACATCATCCTTAACTCCCTAAATCTGATTAGGACTGTTCCAGACCATGTGTGGTGACGGTTTATAACGGTGGTGGTACTAACTAACATTATTTCATAGAATAAACAAAAAGTGAAAAAACATAGGTGAAAAAAGGGAGAAACGGCGCAAGTGAAAGAGGGAGGGTGGGACGAGGTGGAGAGAAAAGGAAAGAAAGGAAGGAAGGAAGGAAGGAAGGAAGGAAGGAAGGAAGGAAGAACGGATAAAAGAGAAGAGAGAAGAGAAAAGTAATGTTATCTGGCTAAATATTTGAAAGAAAACGTGTAAAAACCCGTAAATAATTAGGGTAATTGCAATGGCACAACCTTTCGTAAAACGTGTAGAAGGTGCATCGGCTGAAACAGACCTAATCAGACGTTTCCTTCTTCTCCTAATTTCTCTTCTACAGAGAAATCATTCGAAATACGCGAGCGCTTTCTTCGTAGATAAACAAATAAGCAACTAGCAATTTTCTATAGTTGGTTAAAAAATGGTTTACCTAAGTACTTATCGTTAGTTAGATGTAGAGGAAAAAAAACTTGATAAGTGTTCGACGAAACGAACGAGGAAACAGAAAATTAACCGATTCACGAGTTGTCGTGGCAAGACCGAATACATACACCTAGTTTAGGAAACACGATATCTGTATCGTTAGGAAATTGATACTACTCTCTGTCGGGTATTGTATATTATTTGGGTAAGTACAATATGTTTAAGCGTAATTAAAAAAACTATGCGTACGATTAAAAATGAAACGATATGTTTTCTTGCAAAAAATTTCCAAATACTCGTAGATACACGCGAGAAGGTAAAAGACGTTTCAGGTACAAGAAATGTTTCTTCGATTCTGTTATCGCGTCTTGGTACCTATTATCTCTTTTAATTCAACGGACAGACGCGTATACATTGTATTATACTCATGCATAGATACGTGAATCGACATTTTAAGCAATTTTAAGAGCACCGATGTACCGATGTACCGATGCACCGATGCTGGTACCTCGAGATTACAATGGTGGCGTGAAAAGGTGCGTATTTTCTGCGTTGAATAGGAGAAATTATAACAACGTGTTGCTGTCATTCATTCGTTTACTCGGATTGTCGAAATATCTATATACCTCTATACACGATATACCTTAACGATGTACCTAAAAATGCAAGGAAAAATGCTTTCTCGCTAATAATGTTGTTACATTTTTTCAGGCAAGTCTGTAAACGGTAGATTGAGAATGACTTCGAACCAGTGGAATTCGAGTATCGAACATGTTGAAGCGGACGAGGCGGAAATCCTTCCGGCAAGGAACGCTTCCGTTTCTCCGCACTTTGTTCGAGCTCCCGTAGAAGATCGCTCGAAATACGAAAAATTGTTGTTCGATGTTGGCGAGGTCGATTCGAGCGACAGTGACAAGGAGGTGCCTAATCGAACGGAAAAACTAATCGAACAGAAGAGGAGAAGGATGAAGAACAAGAACAAGAAGAAGAACGCATTGCGTAGGAAGAAGAAAATGCAAGATGCGAAAAATTGTACGATCAAAAACAACGAATCGGACGATTCAATAGGTTCTGCCAGTGATTTGAGAACGCTGAATGACACCGAGTGCAACGATATCGATATCGATAGCGATCACGATACCGATACCGATACCGATACCGATACCGATACCGATACCGATACCGATACCGATACCGATAATGATGAGGAGCATGGCGTGATTCGAACCAACGGTATTACTATTAACGAGGATGAGCAGACAAACGACTATCATAGTCATGGCGACGATGACGACGATGACGATGATAACGAGGACGGTGACGATGACGATGACGATGACGACGACGACGACGACGATCGTGAGGATGTAACGCGCAAACAGTTGAATAAAAGTGCGCCGGTAAAAATACGAGGAGCCTGTGATTTTATTGCCACGCATGAACATAATAGAACAAAAAGGTCAAAGAAACATTATCAAACACACAAATTAATGACTCGAATTAATACGGATCCTGTCGTTGGACACCAGTACGGGGAGAAACCTTTGTTACTGGATGACGAACTGGACCTGGAATCGAAAATCGAACGATCGAGCGTCGATCCGTTCGTTGGTCATCGCTATGATTCGAGTTCCCTATCGTTAAACGACAATATTTCTTCAAATGGTAACGGAAGGACAAAAGTTGGAGTATCTGCGCGTTGGCAAGTAGAAGAGGATGTGTTTGCTCTGGCTCCGTTTCCTAAATCAGCCCATTCGAGGAAAGCTGTTGGACAACGAACGACTTATAGAAATACGATGTCGTCGCTTATTCCCGCTTACACTTTATCCACAATTCCCAATGTCGCCGTGTTAAACACGGACGGTTCACGAAAATCGTCTACAAATATCACGAACAAGGAATCTTACGAGGATAGAAATTTTTCAATCGGACAAACTAAACGATTTTCCTCTAAACTGATCTCGAACGTTTATCCAGTTATTGGTAGGAAAAATAACCAGAGTATGGAAGAAAGAATAATAAAAAAAAAAAATGAGAGAAAGGAAGAAAAAGGAGAAGAGGAGGAGGAGGAAGAAGAAGGAGGAAGTGGTGGAGGAGAAATAGAAGTAGAAAAGGGAAAAGAGAATAAAGAAAAGGATTTGTTTGGCTCTTCTCCGTTTAGTCTAAACAGTTTTGTAAATCCTTTTAATACCGTTCCAAATCGATGGACGATAACGGAACCGACAACAATTACAACGGCAACAACGACTACGACTACGAGGACAATGACGACGACGACAACGACGACGACGACGACGACGACGACGCCGACGACGACGACGTCAACAACTGTATTTATAAATCGAGAAGTATTGCGTGACAAGGACTGCTCCGAAGCTTCTGTTAATTGTATGGTTCCGTGTTTACGATTTATGGAGGTAGCGCGGTCGAAAGATGCTGACACCTCGATAGGGGTGACAATGTCGAATTCAAAGTTTCTTGGTACGAGACTGGATCGTAGCGAAAGTTTGTCAGCTACGGAAGGGAGTATCGTCGAGCGTATAGAAAGCGCGCAAAGTTCCAAGGATTTGTTCGGTTCCGTTCCGTTTGATGAATTTCGCTCTTTTCGATCGAACGAACAAAAAAGGCCGACCTCGGTGCCCTTTTATTCCCGATCCTCGGCAAATTTCCTTGAGGATAGCGAACGCGCAATCTCCACGGATAAAGCGCATTCACCGAATACCGTCCAATCAATGTCCGGCTCGCAAACGGCCTATTCGATAGAACCGATTCGACATCCCACGCGAATTGCCGCTGAAACAGTTAACAGCGTATCAAACATAGACATTGTATCGGACATTGTTTCGCCCATGTCGCCGGAGCCTTTGGTCACGGATGATGCGCCAAAATACAAGAAAGACAAATTTAAATCGGACAAGTCGAAATATCGTTTGATCGACGAGAGCTCGGCCGGTGGCGAGCTTGTCCTCGATGCTGCTCTACTCTCCTCAAAGCCGTCTCACAAAGTGAAATCCACTTGTTACAAACGAAGCCCGAGAACAAAAAAGTGTTCAGCGGTTACCGCGGCAGGCTTCAGTAACATGAGTTTCGAAGATTTCCCGAGCGACGAAAATGAGGAGAAACAAGTTAGAAATACCAGAGTCGCGCCGTTCGAAGTGATCAGAGAGTCGGAAAAACGATTCGGATCGTTGAAAAGAAGGAGCAATCCGTTCACTTGAGAATAATACAACCTGCTACAAGGTATAGGTATAGCTATGCACCGCCGCATATCCTTATGTTTTATTCTTTATCCTTTATACTTAATACTTAATACTTTATTTGTTCCTCTGTCTTCGCGACAACGCGACAACGCGACAACGCGACAACCCTCCCTCCAGTTAGTTGCCTTTATTTTCGGATGCCTGCATCTTTTTTTCACTCTCGTTTATTCTCTTGCCTTTTATCATTCTGTTAAAGCTCTTAAATTCAGTGGAAGAAAAATCGTCTCTTTTTTCGTTTCTTTCTTTACTTACGTCTCTGAAACACGATGCTTCGAGTCGCTGCTGTCCATTGCGTAAAAGATGCGGGTAAGCTCGTTGCTCGGATAAGCATTTCGATAGCTGATAGCTGATAGCCGATAGTCGTTTCACCGATCACCCTGTTTACCTACAACATCAAGTATTAAATAAGAAAAAAAAAGAAAAGTGAAGAGAAGCAGATGAAAGAAAGAAATGAAACACGATTAATTGGAAAATTAAGGAAAAATGAGAGAGCGGAGAGAGAGGTGATACAAGGAAAAGAGGAAAAACTGGTGCATCTATTTTTGCAGCTATAAGCATTTTCACCACGTATTTCTACCAAGTATTACTATGATTCATCGATTATTGTACATGAGATATTTTCTTCTAAAGAAGGAGATATCAGGTATCTAAAACTCACACATATACGCAGTCAAGTGACATCCGCTTAATAAAAACTCCGTTTCTCTGTCCAGCGTTGTGCGTGTATCGTCTATTGTACACTTTGCGCTGTATACGAGTTGCGAATAATGTGCTGAATTTCTCGGAGAAACAGTGTTGAGAGGCAGAAATGTTTGCCAGGGATATTGCTCTTTAGTACCTTTTATTCCTAATCCACGTAGAATTCAAATTTTGTAACAGAAATTACAATTATTCGCTGGAAACGGATCTTTTATCGATCTGTGCTTTTTCTTCTCCTTTTCACTTTTAAGCTTCACCAGCACTGTATCGCTCTTGTAAACATAGAAAGATCAGGTAAATGAAAAAAAAAAAAGAAAAGAGTAAGACAATATTATATAAATATCTATATAATTAATATATTCGCATTAATATATTCTGATACACGTACAAATTCAGGTATTTCTTTGTACGAGTGCGCATTGCGAAGATCGGTGGGCGCGTTCATGTAGGTAACGTTTATGGAAAATGTAGATATTAGCCAATACGTATTTAGGTGCCTTCTTTTGTTAAGTAGAATGTATTTCAGGCTTATACTCTTTCTTATCGTTCAATGTAAGTACAAACAATGGTATTAGAAGAGAAGCGGTCAAGATTTTATTTGATTCAGTTCCTATACGTAGCTGTAAAAGCTAAACTCAAGAACAAGTCTCGATCTTGTATTCAAACTGTATTCAACGGGATATTAAAAGAGACAAACGGAAATGCAAATAGAAATGCGAATAAAACAAGTCAAAACAAAAGGAACGGGCAATTCTTTTTTAGCAAGTAACAATGAACGTAATGCGATCTTCTCACGGCAGTCTACGTAGAAAAAATCATTTAACTGATTACAATAAAATGTCCGATTGCGATGAAATGTTTCCAGTATTTTTAGGACAGAAAACAGGCGCTGCTTTAGCAAATTTTATTTCTGAATTGCGGAAAAGATAACGTTTTATCCTTTCAGGAAAAATGCATTAAGCGATATTTGTCATCGGTAGTGCACATTCCGTACTAATTACTTATTTTATACGTATTCTCATTATAGTCATCGTCATCGTCATCGTCATCGTCATCGTCATCATAAACTGCTTTTAAATCTTACTTAAACGTTATCACTGCCCTCGATACTAGACACGTTGCATCATTTTTGTCAACTGGTGTTCCCTTTCTTAGGAAGTATGCATAAATCGTTGTTATTTAAATTCTTTTCTTCTTTCAACACTTGACAGAAACACTTGTCTGCTTGAAAAATTAATGCAGAGAAACAAAAGAGTACGTTGCCTCTTCGACTTCTTCAAACTGTTCGAGATAAAAGCGTATAAGTACACGAGTAAAATGTGCATCGATTTGCATCGTTCTGAATTTGCTATTTAGAAGACAACTGAATTTTCAATTCTTACAGTTTCTCCGCCTCGGCTATTACTTGTATATGTACAACTTTTAGCCAATATCTAACAACAAGATTGTTGCGCACGTACTTATATGTATACATACATATGTAACGCTCGTACGCGGTTCATTGTACCGTTTTGTTCAAAAAATAACTACAAAACATACCATTTTATTTGTTTCTTTTTTTCTCCTGTAATTTCACTTAAGTTTGTTTATCAACGCAAACAAAACTTTTCTTACACTTGTATATTGTATCCTAAAAAAAAATAAAAAACATTGCTCCGTTTGTAACATGTTCATGGAAGTGAAATAAAATATATGTCATTTATGTGGCGAATAGCGATAAGTATTATACAATTATACCTTTCTTATGGGCGTTCCACCGCTCGGATTATCGACAACAAAGGAAACAAAGTTTATACAAACGTTAGGCGATTAAAACTTTGATTATTCGACAAATTCCTGAAACTTGTTAGTGCATACGTACGCATGCACACCCAGTAACAGGTAATAAATAAGTTCGAAATAAAAACAACGTATCGCTATTGTATCCTATGCAACGTTGATTCCGTCAATTACTAAGCAACTAGTCGAATGATACAAGAGCAGAGAATTCCTCGTGTACAGATTACAGAACATTTAATCGTGAAATCTGAAATTTAGTTTAAAAATCGAGTACTGCTAGGATACTCGTAACAATCAGCGATGCTTGGCGTACTCGTGAGTGTTCGTATCCGTATTTACAGTTCTGTGCAACCTAAGCTTTCCTCGGTTAAAGTCAAGTGAAAAATAAACAGCTAAACATCTTTATTTATGTTTCTTCTTTATGATGTACGACGATAGGAGGGTCTACGTTATATTTTTCCAAATTTCTTCGAAAGTTGAAAGTTTGTCTGTCTGACCTTACTCGTAGCCAAAGAAAGTCTTACATTACATATGTACCTCCTGTAATTGTACATTTAACGTGCCTATAAAATAGCACGACTGCTCGTTAAAATAATAACAAATTTCATTTAAGAAAATAACGGAATAAACATTTATATCTGTCAAAATGATATTTAACAGCAACGAAACTTTTTACGTGCGATTACGATATTGAATAAGACTATAAACATCCAGGCGATAAAGTTCAACCAGGTAGAAATAATGGTTAATCGTAGAGCAAAACCAGTGTCGGTTTCTTTGCCTCGTTCCCAGTTTGTATTCGGATCAACCACTACGTCCGATTGTAAATAATCCATAAAGTCAAAAATTGCTCCGCACGATAGTCTGTTATGTATCACCTATAGAAAAAGAAAAAGAAAAAGAAAAAGAAAAAGAAGAAAAGACAACAATGCATTTTCTACGAATGTAGGTATACGGATAAATTGTAAAATTTGTTGTTAAAAAGACTAGCCTACCTCGGCTTCGCGACCTCTCGAATCTAAAATTTGTATCAACCTTCTTCTGTAATTGTTACAAGTTTTATAATAACCATCAGTCGTTACAACTGCGTGAGCCAACGATAAACAGCAGAGCAAAATTGCAAGAAACACAGCTGGTATCCACTGTTCGTACGGAGTTCTTCTTTTGACTCTCACTACTACCGTTGCTTCGCTTTTGTTCAAGTTTCTGTGCAAAAATACTCATAATTTGGTGTATTACTATGTATGTATGTATACTGCTTGATTTATACAAAATGTAATAGTAATAGCAATAGTTATGGTAATAATAACAATAATAATATTACAAGTTCGCGTTCGTCTCGATTACGGTCCGTTTACATACTTCTACCTCTACTAAATCCATTTTTTTTACCATATTTTCATCTTCTATCACGAATAAATGATAGAGTTGGGCCGCAAACAGTTGAAATAGATCGAGTCTCGAATCAGACCATATTCGTATGTAAGTAAGCACTTGTGTATGTAGCTACCTGGCGGCATCATCGTACATTCGTACGGGTTCCTCGATACTTTTATCAATGCAGCATCGATATCCGTGATATCCGCCAAGGCAGAGACCGATTAAAAGCGTAGGAATCAAACCGTACACTCCAAAGTGGCAAAGTTTTGCGTCACCTCCCAAGAATGTTCGAAAGGTATTGATCCCGTACAATATACAACCGCAATCGATGCTGATACAAACGTTCAAGATCCATGCCCAGTATTGCCAAACTGTCGCCAAACAGATCAAACCCGTTACGGAAAAAATCGCAGACGACGTGTACAGTACGCTGAGTACGCACTCTGCTTGTCTTTCTTTCATCGTCTTTTTTCTTTTCCACCAAAATTATTGTACCTAACAATAAGAAGAAATACCAGTTATTTACTATCTTCCAACTTACGCTCTTCTACCCGATCAAATCAATTTTACAACTTTTACACTCGTAAGCGAACAAACAGGAATCTGATACAACCCTTTACGGGGGAGTAACCCGCGTACGCGTCTACTTAGCAAACGGCTAAGAAAAGCAAGTATACGAAGACAGAGACAAATTGCAACAGAGAAAGAAAGAAAGAAAAGAAACAAACGTTCGCGTTAACAGAAGGCAACAGTCACGAATATTTCAATATTCCGAAAAATAAGATGTACTACAAAGCATTGCGTATGTATATGTTCGTTTGTTCGAACGGCCGCGCCGCGCCGTTTCGATAAACATTCTCCGTACGTACCTACCTACACTCTTTACCTCCATCTATCTATCTATCTATCTATCTATCTATCTCATTCTATGTATGTATGCACAAGCTACTATTTTTGTAGTTTATTAATTCCTCGACAAATTGTCCAATTTTTATTACGAGAATTAGTTATTCAACGTATCGACTTTAGCACCGTATAAATTAAATCAACAAGTGAGGAAATGGAATGCCTAATCGATTATAAAAAACACAATACTTTTCGATTTTCTGCTTTCGTACGTGCAATCTTTTGCTTAAGAAAATTATTCAATCTAAACGATCGATATGTAATGTTCCGTCTTTTATAGGATAAATCAAGCCATCAATTTTCGCATCGCATCGCATCGCATCGCATCGCATCGCATCGCATCTACTTGCCTCGAAGAAAATCGTCAAATGATAAATAAATATCCCTTACCAGTTCGATATTATTTTAAGATGTCTTAGTTTACGAACAACAGCTTCTTTAACCGATAACTCGTTTCGAAAACTCTTCTAAATATATTTTTCGTCGAAATGTTACTTTCCTACTAACTCCTGGAACCTTGGCACGTAAGAACGTTTGCGCGTCTGTGTGAATACTGCGTGTTTCTTGTTCAAATAAGCCGTGGATTTTTGTTGATGCTCGTCGATGCAATATCTATGAACGCCAAAAATCTTCTATACAGCAAAGAATAAATATTTACTCGATGCGATTTTATCCCGTTACACTTTTCCATTTTTACAACTACAAATACGCACGCACATACATTTATATGTTATGTTATGTTATATTATACATACATATGTACATACACATATTATGTATATCTTGAACCTACGCTGTGATCACTATGATGACACCCACTTTTGACTTTATTCGCTAGTTGCACAAAGTACTTTAACACTCGCAACACCTTTTTTTGTGTTTTCTTTTTTCCCCACTTTTTCTTTCATTTTGTTTGTCCGCCCTTTTGTCCGCAATATAACGGATCAAAACTTGCCCGATCAACGTAAAAGTCAAGTGTAATCAACAGCAGAGAGATAAACTTTGATAAGATTATCGCCCCCGTTACTGGCACAATAATAATCCAGGTGTTACAAACTGTACATGCTGTTTTTACTCTTCTTCACTGTACGTTGAAACGTTAAACTAACAATCAACATGAAATAATTCCTAACTTAATCTCCAGAGGAAACACACGTGACAATAATATTGTACAATTAGTTTTATTTATATTGCAGACTGATTCTCCTCATTTTGATAAATTTTTCATTTCATTCTTTTTTTCTTTATTCTAGAGAATTTTCCAACGAGATTTTCTATATAACAAAAACAAATCGAACTCGTTGTAAGTTTCTAATACCTTGAAATCTCCTATTGATTTCATCACTTTCATCTGTAAATAAGCAAAGAAAAGTATGTCAAGATACACGAAGATGCTTGCACATATTACGTATGTATCCAGAGCTGGATAAAATCTCTATGTATTATATTAGTGACAGATAGTAGACAATGTATTTTAGTGTAAAACTGGAGTAAAAATTCAAACAAATATGAAAATGGAATAGTACGTTAGTTGCATCAAGTTTCTATAACAAATATATATCTGATAAGCAGCGTTCGAAATATTCCTCTCGTCGAATACAACGATATACGCTTATATGTACTACATTATTAAAACTTTTACACTGCGCTATTATAATTTCCACAATATTTATATAATATTCATTCAGCAAAGAGTATTATCAGATACAAACATATTTAAATACAATAAAACTACGTTATATTGTACTACAGTACAATAAATGCGTACAGTACTGTTCAAATTATAGATAAATTTATTTTGTCAAATTTTTACAATTTCTTTTTTTTCTTTTCTTTTTTCATCATGATTCACTACCCTTCGAAACAAAATAAAATATTTTTATTTTATGCTTCAGACTATTCAAATAATTATATTCTTTTCATAAAATTTAAAATATTATTTCATTGTTATATGCACCTTTTAAAAATTTTACCCAGCTCTGATTACTACTGACAACGACAATTCAAAATTATAAAAGAAAAAAAATCCAATGAAACGGTAGAATTATCCGTCATTACTAGGTATACTATCATAGGAATCAGTTACTACTCGTTTGCCAAAACATTACTTCCACTTTCATACAAGCAAAATAAAACAAAATACAAGAAAGATATCGTTACTGAAATTCAAAAGTATTAAATAATGAATAACTAAATTAATGGTTCTCGTTTAACCCTTTCGCTGCTATTGACATCGTATAGGCACTCGAGAGATTCACTCGCCCTGTAGTATAAGTACCCGTTTCCTTCCAAATTTTCTCTCTACAACATGCATTTTCTGTTAAACTCTTCTGCAGTGAAAGGATTAATTGATATCGTTGAGATCGTTCCATTATTGTTATATAGAAAACATAAAAACATAAAATAAAAATAAAAATAGGAATAAAAATAGAAAAGAAAAGAGAATTAGTAATAAATGCAATTAAACGATTTTTAGACACTTTAATACCCCTTAGTCTCAAAATCTTTGGTTGCGCTAAAATTTTAACAATTAAAATAGAAATATACATTAATATCTAGAATAATTCAACACTTTTTTTATGTACATACATATTCCTATGCTGGGTTAATATTACGACGTCTCAATTCGAATAAGGCTTCCCGATTATTCCATAAACAATACAATGATGCTACTCCTAGTCCTATGCAACCACCTAATGCACACTTTTTTAGACCAGCTAAAAACATTAAACAATTATATTTTGTACATTTTTAAAACGCGTGAACGTACACCCATATTATTGAAACGAAACATACTTGTAGATTTAAATAACATGCCCGTTCCTGTTGCTGCTACTAAAGTATTCACGGAATCATCCGTCCCTCTGGCCCAAGATAAAAGTACGCCAAACCCGCTATACATTACGGATACTATTCCGAACGTATTTGCTAACGAAGAGCCACTTTTCATAACATGATTAATTAATCTGTCAAAGAAGAATCGCACACTCTGATGTTCATCCGATATATGATTGCAACTTTTGTTACAATTACATTAAAAATAATTCCAACTACGTACTGAGTTCTTCTAAGTTTGCCAGTTTGACCAGCTAAAGCTGTTGCTTTAATGCCTCTATATAAACCAGTTGCACCACCGATACCAGCTCCTATTATGCATGCTGCACCTATTTGACTGAAAGCCAACTCAAAACGACCTCTTTGCTTTGCAGCACCTTCTGGAAATATGTATTCTGGCTGGCTAGGAGGAAGGTATGCCGGATCAAAGTTTAAATAAGGACTAAGCGGTGCTAACCCTTGTTGAGACGTAACTAGAAAATATAATGTACAATGTTACATAAACTTTAATTTTAACCAAAACACCCATGTATTCGTTTTTCCTGTTACTACCTTTGTATACTCGTTATACTATTATTCCTATCAAATATTTAAATTGTTTTTGAAAATAAAAAATAAACAATAACATTAATGTCAATCTATCATTTTGTCAAACTAGTATCTCGCAAAAATAATAAAAGCACCTTTAATATTTTGTTAAACTACTTTGCAATGGTTAGTATACAAATCATCGCATTGTTCTCAATAAATGAACTTAATATACCCAAAGTATTGCAACTGTTTGTCTTTATATCATTATTATTAACAGAAAATATATTACCAAAATGTTATCAATAAAATTAAAAGTTTCCTAATTAAAAGCACATTTAGTAGGAGAGTATTTAAAACATTATTTTAGATAAATACTATCTTCACATTACTTTATATGAACATGAAATAAGGTTATATATTTATAATGGATTCATTGCATGTATAATTGCCATGTTACATCAATTACAATGTTTAATGTTATAAAATCATTCTAATTTGATTGTTATAAAATCATTCTAATGATCCTTAAATTATTTGTTAAATTATAAATTATAACGTGTTTAGCGATGGAATAAATCACTCTATGTTAACTTACCTGGTATGTTTAAATTACCATATTTTGTATTATTTGTTGTACTCTCATTGCGAAGGTCTATCATTTTTATAATCTAACTGGTCAAATTTTACTTTCTTTAATTATTTTATACCAAACATTCGTGAACACTCAGATCAACTCAGATACCGGGTTTGCACAGGTTTGCATCAGTGCACGCTTCCAAAAATCGATTTAGGTTCAACACCCTGAATATGTCGAGAATAATTTTTTTTTCTTTCTCACTTGAAATTTTTACTATATGAAATTGAACACCTGTAACCCAGTAACCACAAACACAATAATTCAATAGAATCGACTAATGATGCCACAAATTGAAAGTATTGCATTAATTTTATATAATCATCAAAAATATTCAAAGTTCATTTCTGGGTATAATCGATAATCGATTTCAGTGTTACGATAACCCGAGTTACAAATGCAGAGAGAGCACTATAGACGCAAAGTTGCAGAAACGTAAAGGCGTACAGGCCTAAAGGCGTAATTACGAAAAGCGTGAAAGCCTAAAAGCGTAAAGGAACATAATTCTGTTCAATTCTTTTTATTCACGCAATGAATATGTTGAGAGCAAACCTTAGTATATTGTACAAATAATGACATGTTAAGGGTATATTTTAGTAATAACGTCAGATTTACAGTAATTTTAATATTATCTTTGTGAATGTACGTACATACCTTTTGTTAACGTTCTCACATGATTCGCGTGTGCATGATCGTTACGCAGTGATTATTTTATTCTGTATTTAGATTGTTCGTACAGAAGGCTTAAAATAACCTTCAATTGTATGTACAAACATTTATAAATATACCTAATGTTTCTAATTATGATTATTGTCTCCAATTTCAATTCTGGACCATTCATACGATGTATTCCGTATGTAAAGTATGTATATATTCCGAAAATTCTATTGATACGTATGTACATACACGTTTAATTATGTATCAAATTCAACTAACAATAAGTATTCAAAATTCGTGTGCAAAACTTAAACGTACATGCATACATATATAAAATGTAGACTGATCGTGAGATTCGTTAATTGAATTAGTAAAACAACTATAAAATAGGTACTTATGTACTTAACTGTGTATGTATGTATGTATGTATGTATGTATGTACATATGTACATATATGTATATTATATTTGGATGCGGTATAGGGTCTTCGTGATACGTGCATGTATGCGTATGAATATTTGCTCGATGGTAACGAACCATGTTAAATAAAATTTTTAATTGGTCATTTTGTCTGTACGTCTACGTGAAATGGACATCGATCTTTCTTATTTCTGAAAGTTTCGTATCGGCAATGTCGGCAAATAGACAAAGTGGTGAAGGGGAAGTGCATTTAGAACAAAGGCGACCTCTATTGTGGTAACGGCTGCGCATCGAACTATGTAGTGCATTGCTGTCGAAAATGGCGTCAGGTTCGGAGCTGCCAGAATATTCGTCTCCAGAAAAACGACGAAAAGTCGACAGCATCGGTTACGTCGGTGCCAGCGGTGCAAAACTTGATTTCCAAGGTTACGATACATCGCAAGCCACTCCAAATGAAGATATCGAAGGTATTTTCATAAAAAATATGGTCAATTTATTAGTGAAATTTGCAACATTGCAAGATGGCGGTTAAAAAGGCGTCCACTCGTCTTGCGTGACGACCATCATTTGTTCGTAGTTGATAGAAGATCAAAGCCGCCATGACAGTTCCTATGCCTGTCGCAAACGTCGCATTATAATTTATTTTTAATCTTACCGATTATAGAATTGCACTGTTATTGAATTTTTACTGATTTTATGTAATAAAGTTGTTCCTTAATCGATATATTTTACATTCCTTTTTCTATTTATTCTCTTTTTCTGCCGTTTGTTAAGAATAATTATCGAAAACTGGTGAGACTAGAAAAACTAGTACTATAATATCGGTATATGTACATACGGTACGTATGTATATTCGACGAATGTTCACAGATGGCACGATTTTCATTTTGCCTAAGCGACCGAGCAGTATATTTATGTTTCTGTTCTTCATCGATATCCCGCCACTTTTGAACTTTTTTAAATTGATTTTTTAAGTCTCGAGATAAGGTGGTTCGCTTTAAAATATTACTTTATCGTTTACAATACTATTTAATAAATATAACGTGTATTATCTCGATATGATCTAATTGGTTCATAAATGAGGAAACATTTATTTCAAATTTTAATTTTAACGTGTTAATTGCCTGCGTAACAAGAAATTGGAGTAAAGATGAAACATTATTACAGAGACATATGGAGGAGATAGTGGATTCAATGAGTTGAGCGACGAATCTAAATCGGTTTCTATTTCTCCAGATATTACAAATTTGATGACAACTCCATCCCGAATCGATTCGACTAGCGATGATACTGGATGCCAGTAAGTTTTGCTTTTTTATTAATATTTTTCATGATCTTTATTAATATTTACTAAATTTGTTTATATTGTGAAAAATAAAATTTTTTGTTTTAGAATTGACACTGCAGATGAGAAAGACGAAGTATCGTCAACAGTTTCAAATTTGTCCGAATTATCCGGCCTGTCTGATTTTTCTGGAGAAGGAGATGCCAATCATCAGTGGAAAAATGCATCTTCTTGGGTTCAGAAACAAATGTTGACAGGTGCCGATCCCCGGGATCTTCTACATCATCTTTTGATGGATGCTACTCAAATTCCAGAGCAGGTCGATGATCTGACTCTTTGGAAGGTATCATACGAGATAATATTAATTTCTTTGTAATATTTCAGTGTCATTGTTATTCTGTTTTTATGTTTTCTTTTCCTTTTCTTTTTTCCTTCAGATTATAATAAACGTGATGTCCGAACCACCGCGTCGACAAAAGTTAAGACATATTAATACTTTAGCAGATGTGGTTAGATTAATATGCCAGAGTAATAAAATCATTGTCTTAACCGGAGCTGGCGTAAGCGTTAGTTGTGGTATTCCTGATTTCAGAAGTAGAGACGGTATTTATTCCAGATTAGCACAAGATTTTCCGGATTTGCCTGATCCACAGGTAAATGACTGAAAATTTGTCAACTGCAGTTGTTGATTGTTGTTAAAGTCTTCCTTTATGATGTGATTTGTTCGCCATTTTGACAGGCTATGTTTGATATTAACTACTTCGGTCAAGATCCGAGACCATTCTATAAATTTGCGCGGGAAATTTATCCTGGACAGTTCAAGCCAAGTCCTTGTCATAGGTTTATAAAAATGCTTGACAAGCAAAAGAAACTTCTAAGAAATTACTCTCAAAATATTGATACGCTGGAACAAGTGGCAGGTATTGAAAATGTAATCGAATGTCACGGTAAGTATAATATGTATATTGTGTAAAAGATTTCCTAATGAAATGTTATTAAATGCTTTTTACCCTATATAAACCTAAATATCTGCCATGTAATACGTTTCGCATTTAAGGATCATTTGCGACTGCATCCTGTACCAGATGTAAATATCAAGTAAGAGCAGATGATATTAGAGAAGACATTTTTGCCCAGAGAATACCTTTGTGTCCGAAATGCAGAGTTAACACTTTACCTTCGATATCAGAGATTAATTGCAACGAAAGTTATAAAGGTAATTATAAACATGTAATACAGTTATAAGTTATAATGTTATGAAATGTCGTAATAATCTTACAATAATATAAAAAAAGTATGACCTGCCATAATTGATAGAGAGAAGAAGAAGAAACAAGAAAATGATTTTCATGAAAAATTTGTACAATTTGCAGATTTAGTGACACAAGGCATAATGAAACCAGACATTGTTTTCTTTGGTGAAGGACTTCCGGATGCTTTTCACGATGCAATGGCCAAAGACAAAGACGAATGTGATCTTTTAATCGTAATAGGATCATCGTTGAAAGTTCGGCCGGTAGCGTTAATTCCTTCCTCTATTCCGTCTCACGTTCCACAAATTTTGATTAATCGTGAATCATTGCCACACCTAAAGTTCGACGTCGAATTGTTAGGAGACGGTGACGTTATTATTAATCAATTGTGTCATCTGTAAGTAATAATTGTTTGTAAGGTGATATCTAGCGTAAATTTTGTGTTACGTTTCTTTCAAATTGTTGGTCTCGTACATTCACCGATTGTTGTTGATCGATTTTATAGGATGGAGGATTGTTACAAGGAAATTTGTTGGAACGATACAGTTCTTAAGGAAGCGACACAACTTTTACCGGCGTGTTACTTATCGGATGATGCGTGGGAGCAAAGTCAAGACACAACATCGAATACCATGTTATCGCGAGATAGTATGGAGACTGATTTTAAAGCAAACGATTCCTGCTCTATCGAAAGTGAAAGTAACCATGTAACGCACGATAATGCCGTAGAACACGTAGAGATCTCGCGCGTCTCGCCTTTTTGTAACAGCCACGCAAATGGCACGGAGGGTACAGAAAACAAGTTTACTCTACTGGGGGAGAGTCCAAAAAGAAGATTGGGTGAATCGAGTGTAGAAAGTAGTCCAAAGAGAATGAATTTTGGTAGTAGTACGACATTAAATTTTAACTCGTCCACATCGGGGTCAGAAATTCCTAATGGTTCGATTGATTATAAACTTCATGTCGTCTCAATGGAATCTCTGTCAAAAGATAATGGGAAAGTTTATAATTTGGAAGAATGTCAAGTATTTCCAAGAGTAACAGCAGAGAGTTGTTCGGAGAATACGACGTTCGATTCTAAATTAAAATCAGATAATTGTATAGAAGATACGGGGTTATTGAACATAAACGACGATCGCATAGCAGCAAGTACCGTTGAAGTGGAAAAAATTAATTTTAAACCCAGACAGGCATCTATCGATTCTGCTTTGGACTCTGGAATAGGTGATAGCTGCAATAGCGTTGACAGCCGCGATGGAAAAAATGATAAAGAAGAATTAAGCGGTGGAGGAGGATTAAGTCGAAATTATTGGCAGCCCAAAGTTCAGAAAAGTCTTGCTGTAAGATTACCAGGTACACAATTTCTGGAAACTAATATTTTTTTATATATTTTTGTAGAGTGTAAAAGCATTAATATTTGTCAAAATACGTTATAATTGTTTTGTTTACAGAAAATTCGTATTATCAGTTAGCACCTGGAAAATACATATTTCCTGGAGCGGAAGTATATTTGGATCCCGAAGATTATGATCACTGTTCTTTTTCCATAAATTCCGAAAGTTCAGATAGCGACAGTGATTCCTCATCTATGGAAGAAGAAGATGACGACGACGAGGAAGAAGAGGAAGAGGAGGAGGAGGAGGAGGAAGAAGAGGAGGAGGAAGAAGATGATGATAACGATAATGATAATGAGGAGGGAAGAGAAGAAGGAGAAGCGAATGATGGTGGTGGTGATGGTGATGGTGGTGGTGATGATGACGCCGTTGACTACGATAATGATGATGACGATGATGATGATGATGATGGTGGTGGTGGTGGTGGTGGTGGTGGTGTACAAACGGTGAATGAAAGGGCGATGAAGAAAGATGCAATGGAAGAACAGGAAGAAAAACAGGAGGTGAAAGTAGAGGGGAAAAAAGAACGAAGAGGAATGAAAAATGAAAATAAAATGCAAAAGACGAGTAAGTTTCAAAAGCGAAAACGCTTTTCAGAAAAATTAAAACATCCAACATGATCGCTAAATGATGAAAATCAACTCGGACCGGGGTGACAAATATTCAATAAATATACACATCGAAGTAAATGACAGTTATAAAGGTGTAGAATTGTGTGAAATGAACAAATCTCAATGGTGAACATCATTAAGGATAAATAGCATTTAAAGAGTGGCAATTTGATTCTTGTTACTCTCGTTGAACTTTAACGTTCGCTAAGACAAAGAATAAACAGTTGGAAAAGAGTGCAATTTTCACTAATGTACATTACACGTATGCATACATGCCCGCTGAAAGGTAATGAGCGCTTGTAAATGCAATTTAAATCTATTTTGACAAAATTTTGTTAACGAAGCAGTAGAGAAAACAGTATAACTGATTCAATTTTTTTTATCTCTATTAATCCTCTATCTAAAGAGATCTTTCCAAATGTACAAATGTTACAGATACGTATAACTAACGCTCCCGTAAAATATTTCATCAACTTTTTAATAAGACTAAAAATTTTTAACTTTTTTCCAAAGAATAACAGCTAAAATATAAAAGAAAAAATCCACGACTATTTGTTCATAATAAATACGATAAATTCTTGTTTTTTCTTACCGTATTGTTGCACATGTTATTTTTATTATCGTCGTTTTCTTTATTACTTGCTAATATTACAAAAAAGTAAATCTTCTGTAACAAAGAAGTAACATTAGGGAAAAGATTTCTATTTGGTTGTAACTTGTAAATATTCTGTCAAAACAGATAGGTTAAATGTTGAGAGTATTGTGCAATGATAGAAAGATAGAAAAAGGAAAAGCAGGTAACATTTCACGCTTTTCAGAGAAATCGATGTAATTATAAAAAGTGAATTTTCTTCGGTTTGAATCTTTTATAAATCTAAATATATACGTTTACGTGTATATGTAGTATATACACATATTTAAAGTTAATTTTTGTAAAAGCTATTAAACAAGTCGTCCTAAGATAAAGTACACGATAAATGGTAAATAGAAAAACATTTCTCGTAAACGAGAGCCAATATAAGCAAAGGAATTTCAAGATAGATTAGTATTCAATTTAATACTAATGCCACTTTTACTTACCGCTGTCATTTTTATAGTTGATATTATTATAACAGAATATCGTTATGTGTCACGCTGTTGTATCTACTGCTACGTAATTAGCTATCATTAGTAATTATTTACGTTTTGTAAATTATTATACACTTATAAGTTAAAGTTCGGAAGAGTATCAAATAGGAAATGCTGAATTTTTTAAATACAGCATTTTTTAATATCGTGCGAGAAAACACGAAAAAAAAGTATTAATTCTGTCACAAGACTTGTTAAAAATATGTTAATGCCTTCAGAGCAAAATTGAACGAATGAATATTTGCATACAATACGTATGTTGTATCGTAATCGTAATGAATCGTATCGTATCGCATCGCATCGCATCGCATCGCATCGTATAGTATCTTATAGTATAGTATAATATAGTATCTTATAGTATAGCATAGTATAGTATCTTATTGTATCGGTATCGTATCGTATCGTATCGTATTCTTTCGTGTCGCGTCGTATCGTATCGTATCGTATCGTATCGTATCGTATCGTATCGTATCGTTATCGTATCGTTATCGTATCGTATCGTATCGTATCGTATCGTATCCTGTCGTATCGTATCGCATCGTATCGTATTGTATCGTATCGCATCGTAATTTTATGGTATCGTATCGTATCGTATCATATCGCATGGTATTGTAATTTTATTTAATTGTATAATCGCATTTAGAAAATGTTTAAAGGGTGCTCCGTATACCTTTGTGCGCGTGCGTGATGGGTCATGTGCGAGATTTATGTGAGGTATGGTAAACAACAATGACAACTACGACCACAACTGCTGCTACTACGACGATGACGACGACGATGACAAATCCAAGGACAGTGTTAGGTGTAGTTTTAAGTTTTAGAAATAGCTTTCAATAGCAAAATGGAAAATTAGTCGCAATGATTTCGCACTGGATGTTTTTAGATTCGTTAGGTTTCAATTTATTTTTATTGGAGCACGGGCGAATGTACAAAGCAATGTTGGATAGCTTGGCATTGCGTGTTATTTTTATATGAATGAGGGAAGATAGAGTAGTAAACGTACAGAATTAAACGAAAAGCGCAGTATAACAGTATGACACGATGATCTTGGAAAAACGAATAATGAAAGTGAATCGTTGTTGTCACGGGAGACGGCGATTCTCTTTCAACATTTATTTATTCATTGCAAATATTTCTAAAGAACGAAACGGTTGTGCAAACATCTATTATAATTATTAACCAGATGATGGGTTACTGAACTCGATGCGTGAAAAAGTAAATGAAATACGCACGTTATACATACGTATATGCATAGTATAGAGACGCGCGAGAAGACACACATATACATACATACGTACGTACGTACGTATATATACAAGATGTTGGGCTTCGGCTGGACATCCTTTGAATAGATGGTAGCTGGGATGATTCCGAACAACTGTTTTCTTTACCAAAATGAAAAACGTCAACCTATCAAAGCGCGCATAACGCCCGGCCTCAACTGTGGGAGTATTGGCTAGCGTGTCGCTATGCGTGCTTTGATTGGTTCATCTTTTTCGTTAATAATTCAAAAACTAAGCCTTGACAATTTCGGTAAAGGACAAAGAATCACCCTAGCTACTACCCTCTCAAAGGATACCTACTTCTAGTTGAACGCCCTGTATACGTATTCTCACAAAGTAAATGAGATTATTAGATCACCAAAAATAACTAAAGATTTGTTAAATATACTTCCAACACGTGGCACGAAGCTTTATTTTCTGAATTAGTAGGTCGCATAAAAAAAATTTAGAGAAGCGATTTGGAAATAAAGCTCTGTTGAGATGTCCTGGGGGATTAGGCAGAAACGAATAGGATAAACTTGTTTAATGACTTGGAGAAGAAACAGTAATTTAGTTTCTCAGGAGTACAGTCAGTTTTTATAACATTTAAAAGATTTATCTTCCGCTATGTACAAATAGCTTTATTTATCATTGTTTTGCAAGAGGCATGAATTACGTACTATCATTTAAAGCCTCTATTTTGTCTATTTATTTGAGATCTACATAAATAGATAGATAGATAGATAGATAGATAGATAGATAGATAGATAAATAGGTAGATAGATACATTAAATAGGTAAATAGGTAGATAAGTAAGTAGGTAGGTAAATAGATAGATGGACGAACAGACAGACAGACAAACATACGAGTAAAAAAAAAGGTAATAAGATGCACGTACTATAGAGAAATCAGTGTCGTATATTACACGTGTATATGCATATGTATGTGTATGTACTTTGGATATGCAACAATCATTTTCCCGTGTACAAACAGTATGCATATATGAGTGTTGATATACATGTAAAATATTGGTTTTAATCAATGCTCTAAAGGTTTTTCATACTACCTTTTCAAAACTTTATCCTTCTCTCTGTTAATCGACTAAACGTGTAAAAACAAATTGTTTTGTTCCCGCCTGGTAAATGAATAATGAATACTATTCGTTCCATTCAATTGGTTGTCGATTCCAGTACTCTATTCTACTTCAGCATTTACTGTTTTTCCAGCTACTGAAAGAGGGAAGAATAATTCAACTGTTAACATCATTACGTGCGTTCCTGTTGTATAATGTTAAATCAATATATTACACATCATAGTCGATTTCAGAGAGAAACATTAACTTGCAAAGATTGGACAATCATGCTACTCGTTTTTTTTTCCACGTACTGACTTTTTGTATAAATGTGTCACGTGTAAATATTTATTATTATTTTTACAATATAATGAGTCGTAGAGTTTCGATCGTTTCGGCTGAAGAATGAACAGTAAACAATAAATGAAACATTTTTTTCTATTTATTTACGGGGTATCAATGGTTAAAATGTCTCATAGTTTCCTTGGTAATTTTTCATTGTTCAGCCAACACGAAGAAATAAGATACAGAAACTCTAAATTTTTTTTTTATAATTTGTTATTTAATATAATGAATGTTATGAAAATGTTCTCTATTTCAGACGTTATAAGTTTTGTTTCCGTGGTATTATTAATGTATAAGCTTATCTCCTAAATTAAACATTTTTCTATGATACGACAATTGTTTATTATTTCTTTTATGGAAAACATTTACATACTGTTTCATAGCAGCATTTTCTGTGTGAAAATTTGAACATTTATTAAATATTTATTTATTTTTTCATTTATTTATTTATATATATATATATATATATATATATACTTTTTAGAATACTCATTAGATCGGGTTCAGTCGGATTAGTTCGAGTCTATCTTATTTCGCGCGTACTTAATCTTTTAGCACAGCTAAAATGAAACTTGATGGGTTCTTGTACATGCTAAAATAGAAGCAAACAGGGCAGATTCCTACTTTTTGTATGAGTTGGATACTTGGAGCAGCACCTTACCGAGCGCAAGCTAAACCACGTGAGTGAACACTGTCTGTTCCTCTTCGATAATGGTATAGGACTACATATTCCTAAGGACGCATTATGTTCATTCGAGTAACGGCCATCCATTACGAATACAATTCGTTGATCTAAATAGGATTCGATGTATGATTTCCATTGCATTCTTCCCCTCTCTCCCCTTGCTCTGTTATTTTCTTGTTCGTCTTTTACCGCTGCTCCTCTTCAGATTCTAACGCAAACATTTTCGTTCCTTGCATTTTTTTTCGTTGAACGCTTATTATTTATGTTAATGTTTTTATCATTGATGCGTTCAGTGCTTCGAATTAGTAAGCAGGAACCAAGAGAGGAATAACATATGTACATGATAAGCATAAAAAAAGCACAAGGAAATCTCGTACGTAGAGTAGTTGCACGTAATCAATATTCATAGCTACTATGTACCGTTTTTTCCTCTTCTCCATTGTGTCTTAATAAAAATGTACAAAAAAGATGAACAATTTGCAAAATTGGTTCTCTAACGAAAAGATGACCTACATATTTTTAAGACGACATAACGCGATGAAAAAGGAAAAGTTCGACGCCGAAAGAAATTGTAGTACAAGTAGGAAAACGAGGAGAAAGGGAACAACAGTTGTATGGTTTGTTTCTTTTGGTAAGCTGGAAGCAATTTCCTAATTTTGTTCCTTTATACGTTTATAATTTCCTTTAATATTTGATCCCCAAACACAGAAATAACGCTCTTTGATACGACAATAATAATATTATTATTGTTATTATTATCATTTAGTTAACATAATATGATGTATTTCATTCGGTTGTCCGCGTGGCAAATCTAAGCCTTTGTTTTTTTCGCAACGCATACTTCCGACACGCGCATAGAGACGATTGAGAAACAAAGCTCTTTTTTTAAATTCGGTACACGAAATTGAAGGAACGAAAAAAAGAAAAAAAAAAAATGATAATAGCATTCTAATTTCAGATGTACTATTAAAGGGTATGTGAAAGCCAAAGCAGACGTAATAATAATTGGTACGTGAATTTATCGCAACGATCGTATAAGACTCAAGTCCCGTATAAATTGGGCAAGTCGATCCGGCAAAAATGAAAATAAAAAGGGGAAGAAGTTTCGAAAATTGCCGTCGGCATTTCGCGTATCGAATCGATCGAAAACGATCCTGGAGTATACAAGTAGCATGGCCGAAGATAGATCGAAGACGATGAGAGAACACAAACGATAAAAATCCTTTGTTCCGTTTCGCTGTTACCGCCACCGGCGTTCTTCCTATTTTACTTTTTCCTTCTTCTCCTTTTCCTTCTTCTTCTCTTCTTCTTCTTCTTAAACTGTTTCGTGTCGTATCCGGTGATTATTTGTATTGCATAATTATACTAGATAATAGTATTAAGTTGTAGTAAGGATTTATCGTCTTATCATCTAGCATGACAAATCGAATCTGTGTTTGTAATGGATATAATTAGGATAGTAATGTAATTTAAGTGCCTAAAAACAATGCTTCGTCCTCCCGTTCCATCATCTATTTACTAATTCAAGTTCCAGGTCCT